GCCAACCTAGCAGTTCGAAAGCACATCAAAGTGCAAGTAGATAAATAGGTACCGCTCCGGCGGGAAGGTAAACGGCGTTTCCGTGCGCTGCTCTGGTTTGCCAGAAGCGGCTTAGTCATGCAGACCACATGACCCAGAAGCTGTATGCCGGCTCCCTCGGCCAGTAAAGCGAGATGAGCGCCGCAACCCCAGAGTCGGCCACGACTGGACCTAATGGTCAGGGGTCCCTTTACCTTTATATTTGACCCAGCGAAATTAGGTCCCTCCCTGCCCTGTATATGTCACCAGAATCAAGTCCAAACCTATGCAGCCAAGCTTTCCCTTTTGAGAATGCATCGCTGGCCATCATTCCATGTTGCTCAGATGTGGGACGGGGTGTGTGGTCAGGGCTGGTGGTTGGGGGAGAGAGTGTCAAGCTGGAAGTGCAGCGGTGTGCTGGTCTACAATTCCCATCATCCCTGACCACCGGTTCTGCTAGCTAGGGATGATGGGAGTTGTAGTCCAAAAACAGCTGGAGACCCAGAGGTCCCCCACTCTCGAAGAAGCTTCTTCTCCCCTATTGGAACATTAACAACATGTCTTGTGAAATGAAAAAAATTATGAATAGTTTAAAAAGATAAAAAGCAAACTAAGTAAAAAACATAAACAAGCCTACCCCTATCAAATTACAGTCTTAATTTTTTTTTTAAATCCCTTTTGGCTTTTTGATTCCTGCTTACTAGAACACACACACACACACACACACACACACACACACACACATGAATTGAGCTAAAGGTTTTTCAACAACATGGTTTTCTCATTATCCAACCAAAATCCCTTCCCTTTCAGGAATGCTGTGGGGACTTCATATTTTTATTTATTTACTTTTGTGTGTGTGAGATGATGATGGATGCTCTCTACCACGTTCGTTTCATGGGAGCTGCTTTTATTCCTTGCCCCCTTTTGTCCTTTTTTGCAGCAGGCGGAGCAGAGCAGCGAAAACATCGTACATCAACAATAACGAAAAGGATACACCATAGCAGGGAGAGTTGTTCCCTTCAAGGCCAACTATGCAAATTTAGCATCTGGAGAGCAGATGTCGATGATTGTTGTATATTTTCTGTAGCATCCATCTACCACCCAGTTTCCATTTGGGCAAGTATTTACCTTGCGGTAAATGGAATGCAGTGGATGCACTGGCCACTGCCAACCTGGTGCCCAAAGTCTGGAGGGCACAAAGTTGGTGAAGCCTGCAGTACACAACTGGCCCCACAGCTGTTCTGTGTCTTACAGATCTAGAAACCAGTTTCAGTCATAGGTGATAGATTGCCAGGTCAGCACAGTCTCCTAGACCCACACAACAATGGGGCTGATGCTCTGCTATCCCTGCGGCCCACACTTCCCTAAGATCTGTGCTTTTTTTCCTAAAAAAAATGTTTAGGGATACTCTCATTTTGACTCAAGAAAATCACCATTTTATAGTTCAAATCGGGGGAAATAAATACAGTAAATGGACAAAAGTACAAAGATTCACAAAAATTTAAAGGGTATGCGTACCCCTGTGCACCCCCAGAAGAAAGCACTGCCTAAGATTATGTGAAATAGTGAAATCATGTGGTTGGATCACATGGGCTGTCTTCATACCATTGCCCTCAACCGACCCCATGTGATGTTGCTAACCCAGTGGTTTCCAAGCTATGTTCTGGGCAATTCCGGAAGGTCAGCAGGAAGATTAAAGATGGGGAAATAGCTTGTCCAAGACGACTATTTTTTTCCTGCAATACACCATTAAAGTTAAGGAGACCCCTGACCATTAGGTCCAGTCGTGACCAACTCTGGGGTTGCGGCGCTCATCTCGCTTTATTGGCCGAGGGAGCCGGCATACAGCTTCCGGGTCATGTGGCCAGCATGACTAAGCCACTTCTGGTGAACCAGAGCAGCACATGGAAACGCCGTTTACCTTCCCGCCGGAGCGGTACCTATTTATCTACTTGCACTTTGACGTGCTTTCGAACTGCTAGGTTGGCAGGAGCTGGGACCGAGCAATGGGACCTCACCCCGTCGCGGGGATTCGAATCGCCGACCTTCTGATCGGCAAGTCCTAGGCTCTGTGGTTTAACCCACAGCGCCACCCACGTCCCAGTAATACACCATTACAGGAATGTAATATATATTATAGGTATAGGATAATGTAAGATTCTCTCCAGTTTATGTCTCTCTACGTATTTGGATGTCATTTTTTAAAGACAAAGACTCTTTTGTTCTCCGTGTTGGAGGCAACCAGAAAAGTGAACTGGAAAACTGGTAGAGGGCCATCCCTGAATGGCTAACAAAATGATGGCATTTCACTGTCATTCATTCGTATCCTGCTTCCTTCCCAAAATGGCTTCTGCCTTCCATAAAACGAGCAGCTCGCTTTTAAAAGGAGCTAGTTCTAAGTTGAGCTTTGTTCAACTGAATGAAATCATTTCAAGCCCTGACGGTAATCTAACAAACCATAGGCATGTTAGAACTAAGGGCGTCACAAAACCAATATTTTTGTAATATCAAGGGAAAGTCCCTTTTCCTAATAATTTCATGGTAGCACCAGTTCCTTATTAATTTTTAGTTACGGAATGTTGTCTTTTGGTCTGTGTTATTGTTCAGCACTTTGTCGACATCCAGTTGCTTCGGAAAGAGAATTATTCCAATTCTTATGGAGCAGCCTGCTCCATAACTCACTCGCTGACTCCTCTCTCCATCGTTTCTCGTTTCTTACTCCTGCCTTAACTGTCTCCCCCGCCTCTTGCCAGCAGCGTTTATGTTGTCCTTTTGTAATTACTGTGCTCAGAGAGCAGGGTTTTTGACATTGAGGGCTGATTTACTATGTTTGTGTTAAGAGTGTAATATCACCCAAGCCCTAAGGTTATTCTAAGTATACATACATAACATTGGAAACTGCTACCAGAGAGCTGTGCATTTTTAGATATATTACTTTTTCATGTTTGATTTATTTGATGGTGTTTAAATATGTACAAAGTTGCTGTCACTGCGACTAGGTATTTAGTTTGATGTGTTAAGGATATTTAACCAATAAAATATGATAAATGTATGTGTGTGTATTTTACATGTTTGTGTATATAGATATATACACACACACATAAAATACACAAATAAATTTTAAATCCAGAAATTACAGCAGCTTTGTTTCAAAAGTTTCTCATTTTTAAATTCACTTATTTAATAAATTTCTTGTCCATGCTTCAGCATGCATGGCCAATCCCAAGGTGGGAATGATTTTAGCAGCTTTCTGATCACGATGCTGTCAGGGAAAGATGTTAATATATCACCTTGTTTTTTTTCTGTTCTCTGTACTCTGCTCTTTGCTAATTCTAGACATGCTTGCTTGGGAAATTCTGGGCATCATTCTGACGTTTCACAGCTTACTATCCTCGGGGCACCTCTATGATGTGTGCCCTTCCCACAATAAAATTGTTGCCTGCAAAACCACAGGGAGGGGAGCAAATCGCTTTTTGTGCACTCACCACCCTCCAATGAACTTAAAAATTGTCTAGTACAAAATTTCCTGGGCCTGTTTGTAATTTGACAGGTTTCCTACCTAGGGACACACTTCTCTGATGTCTCCGTTTTCAGTACAATTGCCCACAAAACACTTGGGGAGATTAAGTGATGCCATTATTATTATTATTATTGTTATTATTATTATTATTATTATTCCCATCCCAAACTGTAAAGACTGCCCTTGTGGAAAAATTGCTGCAGCTCCCATTCCTAAACTTGGCCGGCTTCATCCTAACATGCCTGCAATTTTCATCCAATTCTGCAGATGTGGATCTTCAGCCAAAGCAGGCAGCCTCCAAAAGCACTTAGGAAGAAAGCAGGCTCCTTTCTGATTCGCCCAACTGGAGCCTAAACCGAATCTTGTAGTAAGTGCACATCTGTAATGGACCTTTAGAAGATCCAACCTCTCCATTCTGAATGAAATCAGCCCTGAGTGCTCACTGGCAGGACAGATCCTGAAGCTGAGACTCCAATACTTTGGCCACCTCATGAGAAGAGAAGACTCCCTGGAAAAGACCCTGATGCTGGGAAAGATGGAGGGCACAAGGAGAAGGGGGCGGCAGAGGACGAGATGGTGGGACAGTGTTCTCGAAGCTACCAGCATGAGTTTGACCAAGCTGCGGGAGGCAGTGGAAGACAGGAGTGCCTGGCGTGCTCTGGTCTGTGGGGCCACGAAGAGTCGGACATGACTAAACAACTAAACAACAAAAATATGGACAGACTCCAGTCTTCAAACCCTCCAGTGCTGCTCCAGCACGAGTCAGCAGGTGCTCCCCACAGCTTCAATACACCTGCTGCTGCGTGTACAACTCCCTTTGGAAGATTAATGAGCAAGGACATTTTTTTTTAAAAAAAAACCTGCATTGTTTTTGGAGGCAGTAAGAAAGAACTCATGGGATTTACACATCCTGCCCTTTCCAGGTTAGGGAGACCCAATGTGGACTCCTTTTGCAAAGGCTCCCAAACTGTGGAACTGGTGCTTACCTACCGCCTTGGCAGAACAAAGAAACCTTTCTGGCGCCAACTGCAGGGAAGGGTCATAACTCAGTGGCAGATGACATGATTTGCACGCTGAAGGTCCCAGGTTCAAATTCAGGCTTCTCCAGATATGGCTGGAGAAGGCCTATGTGTCAAATCCTGCATAACTGCTGCCAATCAGTGTAGGTTATACTGAGCTAGAGGAACGAATGGCCTGCTTTGGTCCTACATTCCCCCGAATGGCCTGATCCCCCTTCCCCTTCCAAACAGCCCGGTATAGTGAATTTTTAAAGGTTTTACTGTTGTTGTTTTTAATATTTTATTGTCTTCTATCACTGGAAGCCACCCAGAGCAGCTGGGGCAACCTAGTCGGATGGGTGGCATATACATAATAAAATTATTATTATTATAAATATGCAACAACAAGTCAAAAAAAGGAAAGGAAAGGAAACACAGGGCTTGTAAGATACCCAGCAAGGCTGAAATTCATTTTTAAAAATAAAATATTTAATTTGTTAAAAAAATAGTGTACATATTTCACATGTAAGAAACACACACGTATAAAAAGTTTCTAGTGATGAAAGGCAAGCCAATTAATTCGATGTCAAAACATGTGGTTGATGCAATTTCTGCACCGTGTATTGTTTCCGCACAAACAGCTGTCAACGCTCCCCTTTCCCAGCTCATGCGTCTGTGTCACAAATACACATGCACACTTCAAAACGTATCTGCCCCTGACGAATCTGCACTACCGTGGACAGAACTGAAGCTTCGGTCGTCTATGCTGGCAGATGGTACAATTGTAGACATCTTTGCTGGCGAAGGCAGGAAACTTAAATCAGGTGCCATTTCTCCCCCTGAAACAGAGAGAAGATTTAGTCGACTCCAAGCTGAGCCAAGCGAACAAATGCAAGATGTGCTAAAGCTGCCGTCTGATTTCATCATCTTCGTATGTAAAAACGCCATGAGGCCCTGCGCATGCTGTTTGGAACATCCCGCATCGGCACATGGGAAGACAACGCCAGAAGATTTTATGCAGGCAGCTGAATTGTTGACTCAGATTTTCCTGGGTGTGTTCTCTGACATCTGTTAGCCACCCACACTGCTAGTAACCCGGACAAACACTAAACAGGAGAGGGGCTAGTTTCTTCCAAATCCAAAAATAGGAGAAGAAATGTTAAGCTATTCAAACCGTACCGTATGAGGATTACAAGCATCCATGACTATAATCGCTAAAGACCACTCGACCCCCTTAACTCTGCCCATCTCTCTAGTGGGGCCACTTCAAATTGCGGTTTGCAAGTTTGTTTGGGAGGGTAAGTGAAAACCATCGTTTGCCTAGTCTGATGTACTCCATGAACATAGATGAGACAAAGAACGCACACGTGAGTCTTGGGCACACATGTGTGAGCTGGCCCAGGAAATGGCAGCTTCTTATGTTTCTATGATATGATTCCTGTTCTCTGCACACCAGTGTGGCAACCATCAATTGACACTAATGTGCTCTGGAACTCTCTGCCTGTTGATGTGAAAAGAGTACAGCGATGATGTCTGGTTACAATCCGGTTACATCTGTTTTAAAAATTGTTTTAAAAATTTCATTGTGCATCTTTTAAGATGTCATAAAGAGCTTCTAAGCATTTTTTATTGTACATTTTAAAATCATGAATGTTTGCTGCCCTGGGCCCCTTTGGGAAGAAGGACAGGATATGAATTTAGTAAACATTTTAGAGAATCATATATTGTCTTTGGACTTCTTTTCCGACTGCTAATTTGCACAAAGCATAGACTCTCGTCATTCTACTGGATCGATGTGCACAGCAGCTTGAATGTCCATCACATCTGACTTTCATAAGGCAGCCCCCTCAGCCACAAGCTCAACTAACCTCACCTGAAACTGAAATCCAGAGCAGGCAGCTATTGTTATATGAAGAAACCAGGACTGGCTGCGCATCTTGCCCACCCAAGGTGCAAGAAACCAAAAGGAAGTATCAGTTGAGAGCGCCGGGGCCCTGAGTCCTTAGAAGTACGAAACCCAAGTCTCTAGCGCAGTTTGCATTACTACTGAGGCATGCTACATTAATAATCTTGCTTCTTTCACTGACACGCATAGCAACTAACATTTTCCCTCAACCCTAGAGGGATAATATTTACCAACTCTTCCCCTGCTTAATTATCTACTGTGGCTATGCAACGGCAGCTCAGATTCATATAGTCTGTTCTGTATTGCACTTCGGAGACTACTAATTAGCAGATCAGCCCTGGCATTGAAGCGGCAGACAAGCAACGGGTATGAGTTTCTAAAGCAGGGGTAAGCAACCTATGGCCCGGGGGCTGGATGCGGCCCAATCGCCTTCTAAATCCGGTCCGCGGACGGTCCGGGAATCAGCATGTTTTTACATGAGTAGAATGTGTCCTTTTATTTAAAATGCATCTCTGGGTTATTTGTGGGGCATGGGAATTTGTTCCTATTTTTTTCCAAAATATAGTCCAGCCCACCACATGGTCTGAGGGACGGTGGACCGGCCCACGGCTGAAAAAGGTTGCTGACCCATTCTAAAGTGACCAGCAAGAGGCCACTTGGCTCTTCCTGCTCCCCTCCCAGGGTCTCCTCGCCACCAGGCCAGCCCAAGTTTCTTTAGCATGACGGACAGCGAAACGAACCGTGCCTTTGCACTTTGGTAAGGCTTCTCAAGGAAGGCAGTGAGGTCAACTATCCAAGCTGCTCTTGCTCAAGATGCTAAGAAGTCTGACATTTCAGGTGCTCAGCACAGCCATGGATAAGAATATGGGTTTCTGCTGTCTCTTGGAAAACAGCAGAGGCATGGAGGCAGAGCGTGCCTGTCTCTCCATGGCAATGATATAACATCCTATAAATATAGCAAACGAGAGTCACATGCCATGAAAGGCCGGATTCAATTAAAAAATTCTTACACTGCCTCTGAAAGATGCTGGGGTGCACACCCTGGCGGGTCATGCAACTCCCAGGAGAAAAGGAACAGACACTTTATTAAAAAGAAAAGTCAATGGGCTCTTCTTGGACCAACTATGTGGAAAGTCACAGATCTCAAGGAAAACAGCAATTCACAAGGAGAGTATTTGGAGATCTTGCTGCGAAGCTCCTTTCCAGCTGGCCTGCTTCCTCCTTTCTCAGTTGCGTCTTTCCAGAATGAGAGGGTCTCCAACCCTTTAGAGCCTTTCTTTGCAGAGAAGTGGTTTGGTGTCCTGCTTCTTTCGAGCTGTGCTGTTCCTTTTATTTTAAGGTTGAATGAGAACTGCCGGCTGCTGTTGCAAAGGAAAGGAAAATCTGGGCCTCGTGATGCACAAGCAGCTGCCTGACTTGTGAAAACGGTTTTCGAAAGCGATGCTTCCAGAAGCACTAATGCGCTACATGTATGCCTAACAGCATTTTCCCAGTGGACCTAAAAGCTGTGGATCTAATGGCTGTTCACAAAAGATAAAGACTGAAGACTGCTGAAAATGCTCACTTGGCTGCAAGTGAAAACAGCATACAATGAAAGGGATCTAACAACAGTCTTAAAATGCTACAAACTACCATGTATTAAACCAGGGGTCAGCAAACTTTTTCAGCAGGGGGCCGGTCCACTGTCCCTCAGACCTTGTGGGGGGCCGGACTATATTTTTTTTTGGGGGGGGGGGAATGAACGAATTCCTATGCCCCACAAATAACCCAGAAATGCATTTTAAATAAAAGCACGCATTCTACTCATGTAAAAACATGCTGATTCCTGGACCGTCTGCAGGCCGGATTGAGAAGGCGATTGGGTCAGATCCGGCCCCCGGGCCTTAGTTTGCCTACCCATGTATTAAACTTATTACCGTATTTTTCGCTCTATAACACGCACCAGACCATAACATGCACATAGTTTTTAGAGGAGGAAAACAAGAAAAGAAAAAATCTAAACGAAATAGTGGATATATGATTTTTGTGGTTCATGCATGTGATCTGACAGTGAGTTTGGAGTAGCCCAATGCAAAAATCCTGAGGATCCATGTGGATCCATGCTTTGTAACCATGGAGGAGGGAAGGAAGGGGAACCATGGATCCTCTGCTCACGACTGCAGCAGATCCCCCCCGCCACCCGCAGGCATTCGCTCCATAACACGCACAGACATTTCCCCTTACTTTCTAGGAGGAAAAAAGTGAGTGTTATGGTGCAAAAAATATGGTAATTTTGGATTATATTCTGGAGAACCTTGGGTTTCCTCTGAAGTTTATAAGAAGAGAGGCCTCAGGGCCATAGTGCATTTCAGCTCAATGTCCTTTCAGTGTGTGACAGCAGTGGAAAGGGACTGAAACAAAAGGGCCCATGCCACACTGCCATTATATCAGGAAATGCAGAATCTTATGCTCTCAGCTCCCACAGATCAACAGAGAGAGCGGCTCAACAGGCCTGGCTAGCATGAAGCAAATTTGCCCCAGAATCTTCTGCGGTGAGTAGAGAGGAATGTCTTCATGGCAGACCAAAAAGTGGAATTTGAAAGGGTCCCCTGTCACAGATTGGCCGAATGCAGAGGAATGGTGGGCGGCACCAGCTGTGGAACCCCCAAGGGAAGAAGGCTCAGAGCTCATTGCTGGTGGGATAACACTGAGTGGTCAGAGGGAGAAGCCTGGGAGGAGGTGTTGGAAGCTGAAGAGGTAACAGGGTTTAGTGAGAAGGAATAGGCTGTGGCAGAGAGAAGTCAAGAGACTGGAGGCTGGAGAGGAGGGGGCCACGAGGCAGAGATGAGGCAGGTGGCTGAAGAAGCCAGGGGGGTCTCTCTCTCTTGCTGTGACCAGCTCCTCTGACCCACTGGTCTCCTCAGAGGTCTGAAGAGGGTGGAGTAGAGACAGGCAAGATGACAGAGTCTCAGATTGCTTGGGAAGAACCCCCAGGAGGAGGAGTCTTAAGAGAGCTGTGGGAAGGCAGGGACCTTTAGTCCTTGCAACTGACTCATTGGGGCAAGACCTACTGGGAAGAGTTGCAGTGCTCACTAGGCACTCTTTGAATAAAGAGTTAGGTTCACTGACACCTTGTGAGTTATTGCTGACATGTTCCTGATGCCCACCCTGACATCCCTGATAGAGAAATGAAAAACACCTTTTGAAGCATCTGGTCCTCTCTCTAACATCACCCCTGTTCTTGTCTGGAGGTACAGGTAAACGACTTTTCCGTGCGCTCTGGTTTCTGTCACGGTGGTCCGTTGCGCCAGAAGCAGTTTAGTCCTGCTGGCCACATGACCCGGAAACCTGTCTGTGGACAAATGCTGGCTCCCTTGGCCTGAAAGTGAGATGAGCACTGCACCCTGCCTTTGACTGGACTTAACTGTCCAGGGGTCCTTTATCTTTCTCATCTGGAATCAGTACATAAGAACCACTGGATCAGGCCCATGGCCCATGTAGCCCAGCTTACTGTTCTCATAGAGGCCAACCAGACGTCTACGGGAACCCCAAAGTCCGATCTGAGCACAAAAGCCCTCTCCTGCCCCACTGCAGTTCCCAGCAACCGGTATTCAGAAGGATGCTGCCTCCAGCTTTGGAGGTAGAGAAAATCCATCGGGGTTATTAGTCACAGAAAGTCACGGAAAGCCTTCACGGCCTAGGACCCTCGTACCTATGGGACCGCCTCTCCTGGTATGCCCCATGGAGGACCTTAAGGTCTATAAATAGCAACACCCTAGAGGTCCCGGGCCCTAAGGAAGTCAGATTAGCCTCAACCAGAGGCAGTTTGAATCATAGGGGGCGGCAAGGGAGAAAAAATCTCTGGATGGTGGTTAAACTGGAGCAGCAAAAGATGTTAACAGGACAAATAATGGGGAGGGGCCAAGCAACAGAGGTTAAGGTCCAGGCTGGGTGTGGCATGTGGGCCTCAGAAAGCTGCCCATTTGGGAATTTGACCCTTGGACTGACAAAAGTCCCCCCCCCCCCAGGCATAGTTGAACACTCTAACCAGTGTAGCACACAGCTTCTTGGAATTAACTCACGTCTTTCTGCCAGACCAAACCATGTTTGCCGCAGGAGATACCTTTTCATTACTCATTTTTGCTTGATGACTATGGCCTGGGCTAACGTAAAACAGAGAAAGTGGGTGACCTTCAGGTCTTATCCAGTCCTTTATATCTAATGCTTAATGGCAATTATCCCTGTGTCCAACACTGCACTCTCCATTGAAGGTCACTGGACCAGTGACTCCAGTTCTCCCAGAGTGGCTACAAGATGGTTCTCTAAAACCACGGCAGAATTTACATGCAGGACTGAGACACGTTCATGATAATGTGAAGAGTTTAATGGTGTGAAAAGGTCCGCACCTCAGCTGCTTTTGCAGCAGTCTGTGGAGAGGCAGTCTACTGGGCTGAGTGCCAGCACTTCCAAAATTACTCGCAAGCATCTGGGACAGTACTGGAGAGAGGGAGCCGTCAATAAGCAAAAGGTTTCCCATTCTCCTTCACGGATCATGCCACACTGAGCTGCAGTGGAGGAGGAGATTTCCTACAAACAGAAATGGGCTGAGAGGGATGGGCCTTTGTACAGATTGAATAGTTCCAAAGGAACAGGAGGCAGAGGGTAGGAATATAGACCTGATTCTTACAGTACACAGAAGAAGCAAAAAGCTGGCTGCTGTCATTTCCCCTACCCCGATTTTTCTTTTGAAACCCAGAATCTAGAGCTCTGCAGAATCCAGAGTTTTTAAAACCTAGACTGAACCCACGGAGCCATTAAAATCATAAGGGAGCTGTTTCCAGAAGAACAGTGAAGGGATAGAGACTTTGACTATCATCATGGGGTGGTTGGGCTCACTTGCGCTGCCCCATCTCCAGCCCAAGGAACCTTCCGAATGGAATTCCTGCCACTGGCATCGTGGATATGTGTCTCTTAATGAACTGAATAGAGTGAAAGATTATGAGTCATGGGACAGGGACAGACAGTGTGTGCATGAACTCAGTTGGGTTTGTTTTGTTTTTTGGTTGCTATTTTGTTAATGTTGTTGCTACTGTTTTATAGATGATAAAATGCAGCATTGATTTGTTAACTGTATAATATGGCTTTTGTTGTAATAGTTCAGTTCAGCTTATTTTTTTAGTTGTTTTGTTGATGGTGTTTTATGGATTGTTTTACTGATGATTTTTTCATTGCTCCTATATGCTGTATTTGTGCTGTAATCATGTTACTGTATTGTTATTTGTTTTTTTGTAAGCCGCTTTGGGATTCATTTGAATTAAAAGCGGCACAGAAATATAACAAACCAAATTAGTCAAAATTAATCTGTTTTCCTACTGCAGTGCTTTTCAAGATTTCTGGCCTGCCTTTCCTTATTGACTAGCTGGCTGAAGGATCTCCGCTTGATAACCATGGGACATCTGTTCTGGACAGACTTGTTGGGTTTTAGTCTCACTCCGTGACCCGTGAGAAAGCTCCAAAGCAGAAGATCAGCAGTGGTGGACAAATTTGCCTTCTGGAACCGGGTTCACTGAGGAAGTCTTGAGAGCTACCATGGATCTCTGAGTCCCTTTCAAATACAGGCCATAACCAACTGATGTGCATCATGCCGATCCTGGAAGTACTTTAAAAATGGCAAAAACAACCCTCAAAGAGCCCAGGCACGAAAACAGCACCTAGCCATCCCACAAGCCTTTGCAAGTGCAATCCCAGGAGCTGTGGCTCTGTGGAGAGCTGGTGTTTGAGCAAGGAGGTTTGGAGGGAGCGATTGTGGTGGAGTTTGGCGTCTGGTAAATGCTGCTGTTTTTTTCAAGGCTTTCCAGAGGTTGAGGGGTGTTTGCAGGCTTTTGACTGACGCAGGCGATACCTCGGAACGTAACCCCTGCATAAGTGGGGAGTTGTCTGTACAATTTGAAAGCCGCTGCCGACGTCGTTTCACTGCTAAGCACAAGTTAATGGAGACAACAAAAATGACTTCAATGTCTTCTTTCAGGACCCTTTCCAAAGATGCTTCCTTTCTGTTTGCTTTTTAAAATAACAATAGTGACGTGTTTGCATTGTTTCCCCATCCAGTTTTTCTTGTTGTTGTTTGGGGGGGGGGAAAACACTGACCCCCAAGTTCCGGGAAAATCCATTTTCAGTTATTGTTTATTCTGCACTTCTCACACCCCTCCCCTGGCTTTAAATATGAAGCTTTAATCTTTATTACAAATATTTGTAGCTTATATTCAACTTAATGTTTTATACAAAAATGCTATATAAGGGAAGGCTATGAAGAGGGGAAGAAACCGAAACATAAGCAGATGATTAGACTGGGATAAACTGTTTTTATTTTAGTGAAAGGAGATAGCACTGTTGCTATCACTTACTGCCTGGGCTTGGGTCAAAACTATGCAAACAAGGAAAAGTGTTTTCGCTTTAATCTCATCTCTTTCATCTGCAGCCCAACCCAGGCTGACTAGGAAAGTGGCCCAGATTTTTAACAGAAACTTCTGGGACTGGAAGAAGTGCAGCCAAGTCAAGCATTAAGTCTGCTTCCTTCTCGCTCACACACCCTAATATCTGCACTGAGCTAATACGCAGATTAAGAGAATCCCTCGAATTACTGTTTTGTTCTATCTGTTTTATAAATGTATCTGCCACCCTAAAGCCAGGGCCTCTGAGGGTGGCTTACAAAATATTAACACCGAACCAGCAAGTTAAGCACAAAATAAAATAATGCAATACTACAGAGTGTACAGGGAAACACACATTAGAAAACAAGAAAGAAAAACAGAACAAAAACCAGCTAGCTGGTACTCTGGCAGTCCTGCATTTGATGGGATTTGACCCAGTACCGGAAAGATATCAGAGGCTATGGCAGGTGATCCTTCCTGGGAAGCACATCCCACATTTGCTGAAATGTCCTAAGTCATTTAGGAGTGTTTTCTTTTTAAAGGGTTTTCCCCCCAAGCAATCCGAGACTGCGCCTGCTTGACACTAACCTCTCCTCTGCCCTCTTCATGCCTCTTCTGATTCAGGGGGAAGGGAGCTTGTCACAGTAGGAGGGGGAGACACCCATGACTCTTCACCAGCCATTTCTGCCTCTTGGCCTCCCTCCTCTCCTGCTCTGCTTTTGATTCTGGACTTCTCTCTGCCACAGACTGCCCCCGCTTACTAAGCCCTGTTACCTCTTCAGATTCCGACACCTCCCCTCCCTCCCAGTCTTCTGTCTCTGACCACTTGTTGTCCCACCACCAATCCCTGGGTTCTGAGCCTTCTTCCCTTGGTGGTTTGCCAGCTGGTTCCTCCCATTATTCCCCTGTGTCCAACCAGTCCATGACATTAATTGCACTGAGAAACAGACTGTCAGCCAACGTAGATGCCCGAGTAGAGGACAGCTGAATGTAAACCCAAAATACACAATGTAGGCAATGGCTCTGGGCAGTCAGGCAGAGGGAGGGCGTGCTGTGCTTCCCATCTGCAAACACGTTCCCTAGTAGAAGCCGAAGAACAGCAGTACACATTCCTGCTGTTCCACAGAGGCTTTTAGGTCCAGTTGTCTCATAAACCGTAAAGCATGTTGATGGCCCAGCACAATTCTGTTTCCTCTCTCCAGAGCTCTGGCAAGGCCAACAGATCAGGTGTCTTTATTACCATTTGAGCTACTAGAAGAATTTGTCCGTAGCTAGAAAAGCATCCTAGCATCAAGGCAGTAAACACGTGAATTCCAAGGGTCCTGCTGGGGCCAAGTGCGCCAGATGGCAGAGGTATACAACATAACAGTAACCTGAGTAAATATTGTTATTTATTAAACTTATTTGTCGCTTTTCTTACAGAAACTCAGAACGACTTACAACACAAGCCTTTTAACATTCCAGTTTGGTTCCAGCTGATTTTAAAAAAAAAATTAAAGTGTTTCTAGACATGTGAGGATAAGCTTAAATGGATGTGCACGATGGCTGGGAAAAATCACGTTTAGGAGGGAAACAACTGGGGCGGCTTGGCTGTCCTGCTTGCGAGTATCAGCAGACGGATTTACTTGCAAGCTTTGTGTTATACTGGAGCAGAGGAAGCCAGCAAGAGAGAAGCTATTTTAGACAATCAGATCTGTTTCTGAAAGTGACAGCGATAAGAATCCTACACGCAACGGGTGCCAGGAGCAAACAAAATTAATGCAGCGTTGAGGAACCCCCCCCCCATTTTCACATCAGATGGCGCGCTGGCAACTGTAGCGCTGTGGCCTCACGCTGCTCTTCCAAGCATTCCTCAAAGCTGAGCAAGAAAATGTGTGTGTGAGAGACAGAGATCGCATCGCCATGCGCGCGCGCACACACACACACACACTCAAGAGCAATGTCAGAGCCTTCGCCTTCTCAATCTGTCTCTACAGTGAGCACACACACGTGCAATTATAATACACACACACACAAGGCACATCCATCCACACATACATACATAAGGCACATCTCTGTGTTAAAAAGTACAGTAGGAGTAGCGGTAAGTAATCACTGCTCCCTAGAAAGCACATCGACTTCGTAATAATATCTGAATAATTGCCAGTGGCAGTACCTACTTTTCCACACGTAGATGATGCCCCGGGGGAAAAGAGGATTGTCATATCACAGACCGAAGGAAGCCTCACTAAGGCCAGCTGTGATTTCCAGGGCTTTAATAGGTCCGGCCCAGCCATTCAGAGAAGGCCTATGAACCTTGAGGACCAGATAGCCGTTTTACAATCTAGAAGCAGGGGCTGCCAGGGGTCCCAACCGTGCTGCGTGTTAGAAGAAGAAAAATCCCCATGCAGAAAATGCATGAAGCAGCATAAAGTCAGGGTCTGCAAACAGCCCTTGAAGTTTCCTGAATACAAAAGCAACCTTGTGTCCATTGGCAATCCTAAAAGATAAATAAATGACAGTTTGAACAAGCAAATCCTCCTTGTATTGTTCCACACCAACTATTATCTCGAACAATGCCACAGGAAGCGGTTCAAAGCAACATTAAAGGAGGTGCCCCTGGTTTATGTGTTTGTGTGTGTTTTAGAAATCGCAGTTCTCTCAGATGCTTGCAAATTAAAAAGCAAAAACGCAACCCTAGAAAGTTTTAGAAAGAAGAGATGGAACTGGGGGCTCCCACTGCTGAATTGCGGGGTTCAGCAGTACGGTATTCTGTTCAGTGTACACACACACACACACCACCAATGGGAATAAGAGCCGGTTCAAGTTCTAAGTTGCCATTATTTGGCTAATAGCTTCAAGCTGCCAGGGCACAGCTGCATGGGTCCAGCCAGACAGGCTCTCACAGCAATGCTTTGATAGCGTGGGGGCCCTTAAGTGTCAGGATATAGAAAAGGCAGCAGTTGTTGGCTGTGAAAACAGTCTGATGCAAACCAGATGGGGGCTCGCTTGACGGGCAACACAAAAGGAAAACAATCGGTTCATTCAACAAAAGTCAAGCTACTGCCCAAGAGAGTTAGCAGAACACAACAACAGTCAACCAGAGTGGAAGCAAACAAGAAACGGTTGTGTGGCTCTGGTTAAGAGGGGAAATTGCTCCTCTTTTGTTTAGGCTGAGGAGTTTTTATTTCTAATTCTTACATTCATTAATTTCAGTCCAGATTAGCCTCCCGATCCCCCTTTCCTCCAGAGTGCTTCGAGTGTGTGTGTGTGTGGTTTTTTGTGTGTGTTGCTCATTCTGCTTCTGCCTTAAGGCACCTTAAGAAAACTGTAAAGTATATATTTATTTTACTTGGAATTTCCTCTTGGAAATTTCTAAATAAGGCGGACCTTCTTTTCCTCGAACACCTCCCAGAAGGTGTGGCCATCTCACTGCTTTGACAGTAAAAAATGAGTTATCCACATAGCAACAACATTGGTGAACCCATTTTTATCTAAGTGGGCTTTGTTGTGCTGGAAGTATTCCCTCTTTCAAGAAATCCTGTTCGCACCAACTTGCCTACTGAGGAACTCCTGCAGGTATGTGCCACAACAACCCAGTGTGGTCCAGAGGATTCTGGGATACGTTTTTTAGCAGGTGCACACACAGCACATAACCAGGTCTGCTGGACCTCACTGTGGCCCCTGCATCAACTGAAAGTGCTAACTACAGCAGACACTCTTATGTCTACCGATTGGCAGTATGGAGGCAAGGGAAGGTTTCAGGGAGTCTTCTTCACCATTACTGACCATCCATCTGAGGACCATGCATAAGATATCACAGACATCAGGGTTCACTCCTTATGCCAGATACACTATGCAAACTTTTCAGGCATTCAGAACACCTTTAATGGTCCCTTCCATTTGGCTGATTAACATCCTGTACCCTTTTAAATACGTTTGTGGGAGGGAGGGTTATTGCTTTATTTTTGTTCTTTTTTTTATTATGCATTTTGCGTTTTTATCTTGTATTTTCATGCTGTGAACCGCCCTGAGTTCAATGGATGAAGGGCAGTATACTTTTTTGAATGTCCCGTATTTGCCTGTACTATCTCTCTGGTTCTTACCTTTTCAAATTATCATCACAGGATTAGCATGTCACACTAAACTGTGGCCGAGTGCAAGGGTGGGGAAGCTTTGGTCCTCTGGATATGGCTCATATAATTCTCTTCCATCCCAGCAAGAATGGCTAACTGCCAGGGATTATGGGAATTCAGCAACACTTGAGCAGCAACCCGCACCTGGCGTAGTGCAACATGCATGAACCACAGCAAGCACAACACTGTGTGCTTCTCTGTTCCCTTTTCTCCTCCTGCGCAGCCGGCAGGAGGAGCTCAGAAGCTTTTGCTCTTACGACAAGCAGAGAACTAGAGAGTCAACACCTGAACCAGAGAGCCAGTGGTGGTTTAGTGGTTAAGAGCCTTGGACTAGGACCTGGGACTGCAGGGTTCGAACCCCCACTCATCCATGAAGCTCACTAGGTGACCTTGGAGACAGCCATCATCTCTTAGGTCTAACCACCCTCACAAGGTTGTTGTTGTGAGGATGAAATGGGGAGGGGGAGGAGGAGGAGGAGGAGAGCCACATCAACCACCTTGAGATTCTTGCGAGATAAAGGTGGTATATAAATGTGAAAAATAAATAAATTCAAAAGCCAGGCAGCCACGTACATGTGTGGGACACAACAGTGGGAATAAGAAGCATGTTTTCTAAGTAGCATATCGCTGTGCTCAAGCAACGGGGAATAGTATTAAATATTCCCTATTTATAATTTTTTCATAAAAATAATAATTCACGACTGCAATCTGCTAAAAGAAACCTTCATTAAGGCCTGCCAACTATGCGCAGCAATCACTTGAACTACAATTATGCTCTTCAGAGAGGGAGAGGGAGAGGGGGAACACAGGCAATTAGGGAACCCTGAAACACTGGCAATTAGGGAGCTACCCAAATAGGCCTGGCTTTTACTTAAAATCTTAAACGGCTTTTCTGAGTTAAGTGCTGTGTTTCATTGAACTAATGTAAACCTATTTGATGTCAGATTATGTACAGAACAACACATGCGCGCAGCCTGGCAACGGTGGAGTGTCACACAAGCAACTAGCCAACATGGTTGGAGTTAAATATATAGTACCGGAACATCCCTCTGCTGCAATCCTAGACATGAGAACCAGGAGATAAGTTACAGTAAGTTCAGGGGTCAGAGGAAGTTCACTGCACCCAGTTCTCATTGAACTCAGTGGGATCCCTTAAGCTATGATTGCCATTAGCTTTGAGCCTGCTTGGGTTGTGCACCAGAGAGGCAGCCATGACTCCCTGTGACGTTTTCCTCCCTCTGGAACCCTGGGACTGAGTCCAATGAAGGTAGTGCTAAGGGGGGAACCTCAGACCTGGCCCCCAAGCCTCCATCACCTCCTCAGCCACATTCATCACCGACCCTTTAGGGTGGATTGTTTTGCGGCGGAGACCAACAGCCTCTCCTCCCCCCAGCCATGTCCCTCTGCCTCCACATAATTTTTATCATGAATCCCCATCACACCATCTCAACAATTACTCCCAGAAACGAAACAACTGAAATTCCATACATACAGACGCACGCACGCAGCACCAGCTATAACCTGCTCAACTTTTTCAGCCTCTAATTTAGCCCCCAGCTTTCTGCACTGTATATGCCGGGGGGCAGTTAAGGACAGCTTTATATTTTCTGCTTGGCGCAACTCGGAAGTGACAGGCACCATGCTGCTGCGGCCCTAATTTGCAAGAAGCGTAGGGAAGGGTAACTAAGCGGCTCCTGGGCTAATGCAGTCATTAGCATCCCAGCGTGCCCCTTCCTTTAAACATCCATTCATTCTGCTTTTCGGTTCCCTGTTTATGTAAAGGGACGTATGCCTGATGGGGTGAAAGCAGGTCAGCCTCACCAGCTCAGCATCACCCTCATCTGCTTTTATTCAGGGCCACTCAAGGCGGGTGCCAGCGGGATCCTTGCCCATCTCGCCGTTTCACTTTTCTCAATGAAGGCAGTGGCAATTACTAGTTTCATGAAGTGCACAATGTAGGGCGCTCAGAGCTGTTCCAGCTATATCCTAGAGTAAGTGTCCGGGTCCTGCGAGGGACTGTGAGAAAGACTTGTTTCTGGCAAGAAGCCTTTTGGAGGGGAAAGGAGGAGAGAATAACAATTGTTTTTAAAAGCGTATTTGGCACAGATGACAAAGCAAAGGCCCTACAGGATGAAGTTTCACCAGTAGCATAGGAGTCCAAGGTAGCACCAAGAAGAAAACAATATTAATGTTGATTTCTATTGCAGCAGCTGGTAGCACCTCTCCTTCTCTTCCCCACTTTCCCACTTTATACTGAAAGGCCTCACCAGGCTCCACATTACCTGTCATTTACTTTATGTTACTTCTTTAGAAAAAAATATCGATATACTGCTGTATCACAAAAAAATACGAAAGTGGTTTACAATAATATTTTTATGTACCAATGCCGCATAGCAATTTAAAACCAGAGATTATTAATTCATTATTACTGAATAGTGTGCTTTTAATTGCCTATGTAAAGCCTGGTGGAATACAAAACTTTTCAGCAGGCCTTTAGAGGTTCAAACAGAAGGTGCCCGATGAATCTCTGTTGGTAAAGGATCCTACAAGACTGGGCCGATGACACTGTTTCGTTCTCCTTCATGCTGAGGTCAGCTGCTCCTTGTCAACTGGGGGATGTTGTCACCACCAACACTCCTGCAGATGATCTCAGTGACTGAGCTGGGATCAGAGTTTAGACAGTTCCCCAGGTATTGCTGGACCTAAGTTGTTCAGGGCTTTGTAAATTGGCAAGGACCTTCATCCTGGTTGGCAGCAAATGGGCAGCCTGTGCAGATGTTCTAACAAGGGTGTTATATATTGTTGGCCACGTGTCACCATCAGCAGTCTGGCTGCTACCGTCTGCTCCAGCAGGAGCTTCCAAGCCAGGCCCAAGGGCATTCCCACATAGGGTGCATTACAGGAATCCAGACTCAAGGTTACAGAAGCATTTCTGGCCTTTACAGAAGACATAGAGATACAAAATCCTGCAGTAAGACCTACTGTCATAATTGTTTCAGCCCCATGCTTTGACTCAAATTCCTAAAGGTTTTTACTCAAGCAAGCAACAAACCAGAACTGGAAGACCGGGCATTATAAGCTTACCAAACCTTATAACCCAGGTAGCAAAATGTGCTTTGTTAGCTACTCATTTTTCTGAACAGCGGAGTAGCAACTTAATACAGTGGTACCTCGGGTTAAGTACTTAATTCGTTCCGGAGGTCCATTCTTAACCTGAAACTGTTCTTAACCTGAAGCACCACTTTAGCTAATGGGGCCTCCCGCTGCCGCCGTGCCGCCGGAGCACAATTTCTGTTCTCATCCTGAAGCAAAGTTCTTAACCTGGGGTACTATTTCTGGGTTAGTGGAGTCTGTAACCTGAAGCGTATGTAACCCCAGGTACCACTGTACTGTAACCAACTCTACTCTGTTGTGACCTGGCCCTAAAACCTCATCAACTTTCTAGGCTCAGAAGGTCTTATGGCTCTGAAATCTACTAGAAGTAGTCTGGTGTGAACCCCTCCAGTGATATCTCAAAGGGGGAGGAGTAATTACTAAACTATGAACCCAGGATTGTTCAGACCTTTCAGATGGAAGTCTGTCCCTGAAAGCTGTCCCAGGTTCTGATTCTGGCCAGCTCTATAATGCCACTTCCTAAAGCCACTTCTGGAACACCAGCAAAAAGACCCCCAAAACCAAGCCAAACCAAACAATCCCATAGCCTTATCATTTTCTTGTCCTGATTTGAGCTCCACAGTTGGCTCCAATATCATCCCTTCCAGCTGAAGCATCTGGTAGGGATTTGCTATACCACAGTAAGTACTGTAATTCATTAGAATAATTCCTGGCTAATGAAGAGACGACAGCAAACTATCTTGCAAAGCCAAGTAATGAATCTATTAACCGAGGAAATGAATTCTGTGACACATAATAGCTTCCAAATCTAAGGAAGGAAGATGTTTTGAGTACAGAACACGAGCCCCCCTGGAAGCTTTCACAATTGCTCTCCAGACTACCCATTTCCCCGTGGAAGCTGCAGCACTTGCTAGATTGGTTGCGTAAGGGTTGATAAGCATTTTGGTTCCGCCTGTGTATCGCATGCACACACAAAAGATCCAGAATACTCATTTTCAATGCCATGAAATATTCACTATTATGCATTTTTTGCTTGGTAGGAACTGGACTGGCTCCAATACTTAATTGGCTCCATGACCACAAAGTTTTCAGCGAGTGAGATTTCTGCACAACCCAATAGATAGATAGATAGATAGATAGATAGATGGATGTGATGGGGAAGTGTTTATAAGTCAAATCCCCTTCTGTGACCCAGAAGAGGGCACATCCCACTGCATAAGGAACACAAATCCTGAGCATTGCATGGAAAAGACAGTGATCACTCAAACTCACCCTCTGGTCTATGGGTCAGAAAATACTGGTACTTGTGTCTAGTCCTTTCCCTCCAGTTTTGGGGACTACCAACACTTAGGACTGGGATCACAGGTGATTGCATAGTACAGTGGTGCCCCGCAAGACGAATGCCTCGCAAGACGAAAAACTCGCTAGACGAAAGGGTTTTGCGTTTTTTGAGTCGTTCTGCAAGACGAATTTCCCTATGGGCTTGCTTCGCAAGACGAAACGTCTTGCGAGTTTGTTTCCTTTTTCTTAAAGCCGCTAAGCCGTTAATAGCCGCTAAGCCGCTAATAGCCGTGCTTCGCAAGACGAAGAGACTCGCGGAACGGATTAATTTCGTCTTGCGAGGCACCACTGTAAGTCATATTAAGCAGCTGACTGTTCAGCTAGTCGGGAAGAGGAAGACTAGTATCATATATATTAAATGGATTAGATCTTATCTTTAAGCAAAAAGAATAAACAACAAACTTTGCCCTGTACACCCCTAAAAATGGGGCTTTCCTCCTCCCTGAAACTGAAAAAAGCTCAACAACTGTGACCTGAACCTCATAAAATCGGGGCATTCCTCCTCCCTTAAAAAAGTGCAACAACTTTGACATAACAGCCCCCCAAAATCAGGGCTTTTCTTCCCAAAATGGGGGTAGATCACTGCCAGTTTTTAATTCTGTAAGTAGATCGCAGTCTCTTGCGAGTTGGCCACCCCTGTTCTATGTGAAACCCACTCTTGGCATTCTTCCTTAAAAAAAGAACAGAAGCTGCCACCTTGTGGTCAAGAGCTCATATTTAACAGATTGACTCATTCATACATGATGCAGCAGTAACATGTTCTGTAATGCACATGCAGATACATGTTAGCCACATTCACAACATATGTAGGTACACACTTCTACAAAATATCGTATATTTACAGACCCATAGATTTTCTGACATTATAATGGCTTACTTTACTCTTTTCAGCTCCTGCTGAAAACATCTTTTGTTTACATACATAGATAATTTTATTTATATGCTGCCTTTCCAAACCATGCTCAAGGTTACTTTGAAAAAGTGGAAAAAACACACTACAACATAACAAAAGTAGTCATAATCAATAAATAAAATATTAAAAAATACACAACTAAACTGAACCATTTCCACAGAAATCACAAGATCCAAAATAAAACCAATATCAAGAACAGCAACAATGCCCCCCAAACAAGACCCCAGCCCAAGAACCTATAAACCTATTCAGACTTACAGATCGTTGACATATGTTTTAAGCTGGTCTTTAGCTTATTGAGGATTTATTTCCTTTAGGTTTTAGGCCATTATTTTAAATTGATAACACTGCTTTGTTTTTTAACAATCAAGCAGTATATAAATTTTATGAAATAAAACAACAATAGATTTCAACTTGTTTTTTAAAAAAGCAAATAAAACGATTTCACAGAATCGCAGTATTTATATCCTTTTTCTTTAGTTCAAATACCACTACACGAGGCTGCTTCTCACATCTATGCTAAGATTCCCAAGGAAGTATATAAAAGTTTACCTTGAAACCTGCAATATGCTTTTAGCAAAGCACATTTCTGAAATTCAGCCTCAATCTATCGTTTCTCTCAGCTTCTATAACATTCTATTCCAATAAGCTGCCAAGCTTAACTAAATTTCAACATACAAATGGATACGAAAGATGGTACAGTATTATTGTAAGATAGAATTATAGCTTATTAATTCCAGATCCGAACAAATTGCTATTATTTTACTTCACTGAAGGTTTTTCATTGAGGTTGAATCCTGACAAGACAGAAGTACTGTTTTTGGGGGACAGGAGGCGGGCGGGTGTGGAGGACTCCCTGGTCCTGAATGGGGTAACTGTGCCCCTGAACGACCAGGTGCACACCCTGGGAATCATTTTGGACTCACAGCTGTCCATGGAGGCGCAGGTCAATTCTGTGTCCAGGACAGCTGTTTACCAGCTCCATCTGGTACGCAGGCTGACACCCTACCTGCCCACAGACTGTCTCGCCAGAGTGGTGCATGCTCTAGTTATCTCTCGCTTGGACTACTGCAATGCACTCTATGTGGGGCTACCTTTGAAGGTGAGCCAGAAACTACAACTAATCCAGAACACAGCAGCTAGACTGGTGACTAGGAGCGGCCGCCGAGACCACGTAACACCGGTCTTGAAAGACCTACACTGGCTCCCAGTATGTTTCCGAGAACAATTCAAAGTGTTGGTGCTGACCTTTAAAGCCCTAAATGGCCTTAGTCCAGTATATCTGAAGGAGCGTCTCCACCCCCATCGTTCTACCCGGACACTGAGGTCCAGCGCCGAGGGCCTTCTGGCGGTTCCCTCCCTGCAAGAAGCCAAGTTACAGGGAACCAGGCAGAGGGTCTTCTCAGTAGTGGCACCTGCCCTGTGGAACACCCTCCCACCAGAAGTCAAAGACAACAACGACTACCAGACTTTTAGAAGACATCTGAAGGCAGCCTTGTTTAGGGAAGCTTTTAATGTTTGATGGATTACTGCATTTTAATATTTTGTTGGAAGCTGCCCAGAGTTGGAAGTGCTCAGAGAGGGCGAACTGGGCACTCGCTGCTCTCCCCCCGCAAAATTACCTTCATCCTTTTGTCCATTTGCTACCTTGAGCACCTGCACTTCGCCATATGTGCCATGTGCTGCCGAGTGGCACCGCAGTGCAAGGGGGAGGGGCGGAAATGAACAGAAGGCTATCGTGCCAGTTGGTTTAAAGCAGGCATCCCCCTACTTGGCCCTCCAGCTGTTTTGGGAGTACAACTCCCATCATCCCTAGCTAACAGGACCAGTGGTCAGGGATGGTGGGAATTGTAGTCCCAAAACATCTGGAGGGCCGAGTTTGGGGGTGCCTGTTTTAAAGTGACTATCTGATACCATAAAAAATGCGGACCAGCATATCAGGTCTAAGAGAACATAAAAGAAATAATTTACCTGGCTCTTGTGCGACTTCGGATTTCGGTTTCACACAGATGATTCTGGATTTCATGGGTGCTGCCTGCTGTGGCTCCTGGCGCTCTTTCTGTATGTCAGTTATTAAATGTCATTTTAGGCCATCAACTAGACGTTGGAATGTTCAGAACAAACAAAAACCGGCTTAATAGGAACACAAGAAGCTGCCTTATACCAAGTCTGGCTACTGTTCCCCCTAGCTCCCATCAGATGTCAAAGAGATAAACAACTACCTAATTGATGCTTTTGCATTATGGTGCTGGAGGAGACGCTTGAGAGTCCCATGGACTGCAAGAAGATCAAACGCATCCATTCTTAATCAAATCAGCCCTGAGTGCTCACTGGAAGGACAGATCGTGAAGCTGAGGCTCCAATACTTTGGCCACCTCATGAGAAGAGAAGACTCTCTGGAAAAGACCCTGATGTTGGGAAAGATGGAGGGCACAAGGAGAAGGGGACGACAGAGGACGAGATGGATAGACAGTGTTCTCAAAGCTACAAACATGAGTCTGACCAAACTGCGGGAGGCAGTGGAAGACAGGAGTGCCTGGCGTGCTCTGATCCAGGGGGTCACGAAGAGTCGGACACGACTAAATGACTAAACAACAAACATATAGAAGACATCTGAAGGCAGCCCTGTTCAGGGAAGTTTTTAATGTGTGACATTTTAATGTATTTTTCATGTTTGTTGGAAGCCGCCCAGAGTGGCTGGGGAAACCCAGCCAGATGGGTGGGGTACAAATAATAAATTATTATTACTACTACTACTACTACTAGCTCAGTATTGTCTACACGGACTGGCAGCGACCTTCCAGGGTTTCAGCAAGGGAATCTTTCTCAGCCCTTCTTGTAGATGCCACTGGAGTTTGAACCAGGGACCTTCTGATTACAGATGCTCTACCAGTGAGCTACAGCTGCCCCCCCCCTTTTTTGAAAAGCTCATTTAAGAAAAAAAGGTGCATTAACTATGCATTTATCTTTTCTTAGAAAAGTGTGGATTGTAATGCATGTCCATCTTTTCAGGTAAGACTACAATCAAGAAGTAAAATTGAGCTGATTAAATGTGATTGTCTGTGGTTGTCAAACGTGCTAGCTGGGACAGAGGAAGGCACCGATGGTGTGGACTTAATTCAACAAGAAGGCAGGCACTGTTCCATACCCTTCAACATTTCTCCAATGAAAACAGGGACATCCCATTCTATAACGATAATTTTACTATTTACAACCCCACACATCTTACTGGGTTGCCCCAGCCACTCTGGGCAGCTTTCAACAAATATAAAAACATAATTACGCATTAAACATTAAAAAAACCCTTCCCTATACAGGATTGCCTTCAGATGGCTCAGGAGAACGGCATATCCTCCAACGAAAATAGGGACATCCTAAGGAAAAGTGGGAGGGGCGCGGGTGGCACTGTGGGTTAAACCACAGAGACTAGGATTTGTCAATCAGAAGGTCGGTGGTTCGAATCCCCGCGACGGGGTGAGCTCCCGTTGCTCGGTCCCTGCTCCTGCCAACCTAGCAGTTTGAAAGCACATCAAAGTGCAAGTAGATAATTAGGTACCGCTCCGGCGGGAAGGTAAATGGCGTTTCCATGCGCTGCTCTGGTTCGCCAGAAGCGGCTTAGTCATGCTGGCCACATGACCTGAAAGCTATATGCCAGCTCCCTCGGCCAGTAAAGCGAGATGAGCGCCGCAACCCCAGAGTCGGCCACGACTGGACCTAATGGTCAGGGGTCCCTTTACCTTTACCTTTAAGGAAAAGTGGGACATCCCAGGATCAAATCAGAAACCTAAATCAGGGATGTCCCTGGAAAATAGGGACACTAGGAGTGTCTCTTCTCACTTTTTAAATTGCTTTTTATTAAAGATTTTTTGGGGTTACAAAAGTACATACATCATCTCTATTTTCAGATCGCAAAGTCTTTTCTACGGATCAGTTATATTCAATGTGAGACTTTGACGTTGTACACAACATAAAGTTGGGGAAGAAGAGAGCTGGGAGGGAGAGTAGGGGGGTTGTAAACTTTAGTTCTTTCACATGGTACATGTGTGAGGTTTTTGTGTCAGCATCACGTGGGGAGGTTCTCTTTGTATTCATTTATTAGTTATCATTGGCACTGGGAGCCCTCCTTTTAATTCTGAGATGCACGGGACCCAGCCTGCTCAAGATACAAAATTAAGGCTATAACATTAGCATTCGCTAGGGGGACCTTCTTCTTCAAGGAGCTCAAAGTGGCATGTGTGGTTGTCCTCATTTAATCTCAACAACTACCCTGTGAAGCAGGCCAGGCTGAGAGACTGTGACTGGTCAGATGGACTATATGGAATTGGCGGAAATGACTGGTAGAATCCGAGACCAGGGAGAAGAGTCAGTGGAAGAAGATTGGAAGAAATTTAAAGACTATTTACAGAAATATTGCAAAATTAATGAATATTAGAATGATGTTGGATTGAAGTTAAGTGGTTTCTAGCTGTAATGGTATAAAAGAATATGGAAAAATTCGATTTTCAATATGTAAAAACCTAATGCTATAATATATTAAGATTAAAGATCAGGATTAAATAAGGAGGGAAAGGAATTGCTGAACTAAATAAATTGAACTGGAATACAAAAAAGGGAGGCATGAGGAGGTCCGGGAAACAAGTAAATGAAAGATAAGTGATGAAAGGATGGAATTGTTTTTAATTGTTTTTTTCTTTTTTGTATTTTGTATTTTTCTTTTTTCTATTTTTCTTTTTCTTATCTATGTATCCTTTTTTTGAAACTTTAATAAATATCATTAAAAAAAAAGAAAGAGAGAGGCTGTGACTGGTCACACCAAGGCCACACCCTCTGAGCTTCATGCCTGAGTGGGAATTTGAACCCTGGCCTCCCAGGTGACAGCCCAACACTCTAGCCACTGTACCACACTGGGTTGGCAGCTGGTTTTGGACCAATTATTCTGGTCTGAAACACAGCAGATAGATTACTGGCTGGGTTTCTACTTATATACCTCTCTGATAGCCCCCAAATTGTGAACTCCCTCTCTACCCTTGCCTTTGACACCTGAGCTGTATATTTTAGGACCCACAGTATTCTCTTGTTCGCAATCTGTTTTAACAGTTTTTCATGTTGCGTTTTTAAATATAACTCGCCCTGGGATGTCACGGTGAAGGAAAACCAATAAAGGAAAACTAAGGTAAAGGTAAAGGGACCCCTGACCATTAGGTCCAGTTGTGGCCAACTCTGGGGTTGCGGCACTCATCTCGCTTTATTGGCCAAGGGAGCCGGTGTACAGCTTCTGGGTCATGTGGCCAGCATGACTAAGCCGCTTCTAGCGAACCAGAGCAGCGCACAGAAACGCCGTTTACCTTCCCGCCGGAGCAGTACCTATTTATCTACTTGCACTTTGACGTGCTTTCGAACTGCTAGGTTGGCAGGAGCTGGGAGCAAGCAACAGGAGCTCACCCCGTCACGGGGATTCAAACCGCCGACCTTCTGATTGGCAGGTCCTAGGCTCTGTGGTTTAACCCACAGCCCCACCCAAGACCCTCAAAGGAAAACTAATAACTAATAAATAGGAAAATTAATAAAGAACTGAAGGTAGCCCCACCTTACGTTGGGTGACATTAACACAATCCAAACAGTCTAGGTGTTTCATTTGCAAAAATGCACACACAAACCCACAACTTATTTAGGTACAGTAAGCCTGCAACTTATAAGGGGGTTATGTTCCGGGGATTGCGCATAAAGACAAAGTAATGTATAGTCAAAACTATACAAGGTTCAAGGGTGGGTGGGATTGCCTCAATTTTCCCCTCGAACTCCGCAACCTTTCTGCCCCTTTTAACTTTTTTTTGTCCATGCCATTTAGATGCGTGCAAGTTGCAGGTTTACTGTCCTGGTCTACTAAAGATGCATTACCTGGGATGTGCCATCCAAGCGCGGTGCCAAATTGCTATCTCCCTGCGCTGTTGGAGAAACTGGTCGATCCAGCTCAGCCATGGTCATTGGCCCACAAGTAGCAGCAGTGCCTCCAATGGCTTCTCCTGAGAGATTTAAACCAGATTTAAAGCACATAGCAAAACTAAAATTAAAAACAAAATAATACATTACTCCAAAAACAACCCTAATGAATCAAAGCGAGAGGGACCGCCATCATCCCAAGCACCTGGGATTCTCTTGGCTGCGAAGGTGCTATTTAGACTCATTTGTAGGCTACCCTCAAAAGACAAAAAGCAATTATCTTGCCTACTCATCATACTCTGAGCACAACTCCCATGTCAAAAAGTCGGGGGCTCTTTGTACTTCTCTGCGTGCGTACTGGTGATTTTTTTCTGGAACAACTGCAGCGTGGACTTTGCCAAGAGCCTGAGAAAGCTTTGAAACTGAGAAATCCTCAGCTTGTTCTCATTGGCATCACAAAAAGGTTTTAGCCATAAATCTCTTTAATATCACCCTTTTGAAATTTTTGCACATTGGAAAAAAGAAAACCACAGTGAATGTTTTTGAAGAGGGTTGGCACAGACAAAATGAGGCCAATCTTTTAACTGAAGATGGGAGTGTTACGTTTGCTATAACTGTGGTTAACGCTGGTACCAACCAGGTCCCCTGCTTGACTAAAGATTTTGAACTAGTGGCTTTAATCCAGTTAGCTTAAGAGTCCTGGTTAAGTAAGGAATCCATCTAGCTCAAAACTTTGGTTAATGCTGGTGCTGATATATTGCTGAATCACAGCTTAGGGGGAATTTGTGTCGGAGACAGGGAAATGAAGCATTCAATCACATGGTTAAGAGACTAGCTCTGTTGCATCAGCACTGGCCCAGACTGACTTTGTGGAATAATTTATTTTTAAGCAGAGCAGACATTAATGCACAACCTCAGAGCTCCTAAGAATCCAAGCACATGAATTTGTGAGCCTTCCAAGCAGATAGGTACATTATAAAGGTTTCCAGCACAGAGAGAAAGTCATTTTATTATGTGAACGAGCAAAATAACCCAGCACACTCTAATTAAAAACAGAGTAATTTGCTGCAAGATCCACAACACATTTGCAGACTCTCTGAAAGGAACAGTATAACCTGTTGCAACATCAACAGCACTGAGCCGACTGCACTTCAACTCAGAGCTGAATTTTTTATAGCTAAGCCATTAGCTACAAAAAACACTGATTTATACTGGAAATGTTGATAGCGCCACAATTATCACTTGGCAGCTCAAGCAGACATGACCAGCTCATAAACTCTTGGAACCACTCACAGAATTTATGACATACAAAGCAAAGGCAGCTCACAAGACTGAAGACATGCTATAGGCCATGAGCCCTGGAATGCTGTACTGTATCAGTTGTCACGTGATTATTCCCCCCCCCCCCAATATCCAAACCGAACCCCCACTTTTAAGCAGAAAGATTAGCATAATATGTATTTCTTCAATACATACACAAGGTCAGACTGGAAATATGTAATATTTTATAAGAAGGTGATGTAATGGGCTATTTGATTGTTAAACTTCTAAATTATAACACAGGAACAAGACTGAAATAAAAAACAGCACTTAACCGTAACTGTTGATGGATTGATGCATAGTCTCATGCTGCACCTTATACATATAATTTTTAAAAAAGGAATTAGCCTCAAAAGTGGCAGTCATTCAAAAAATAATTACCAAGAATTTTAGTTTTTCCTGGAAAAGACTCTTGTGTGTTGAATGCGCTATTCTAACTGAGCTGTGTTTTTTCCTGCTTTTGCAAAAAAAAAGTGCTACTCATGGAGAAGTTAGAGGTTTTCCTACCAGGTTGTTTTCTGGAAGTGGTTAACAAAGAGATCAGCACAGGAAGGTGCTTTATATATAGCCAGACAATCAGCTATCCTGGAAAAACGTGAAAAGTGGGGTCCCACAGGTTTCTGTCCTGGGCCCATTGTTGTTCAACGTCTTTATAAATGATACAGACAAAGAAATTAAGGGGATGCTCATCAAATTTGCAGATGACACCAAACTCGGAGGGGTAGCTAATGCCACAGAAGAAAGAATTGGGATTCAAAACAACAGATTGAAGAACTGGGCACAAACTAACAACATGCATTTCAATAGGGACAAATGTAAGGTTCTGCACTTAAGAAGAATCAGATGCATAAATACAGTGGTACCTCGGGTTAAGTACTTAATTCGTTCCGGAGGTCCGTTCTTAACCTGAAACTGTTCTTAACCTGAAGCACCATTTTAGCTAATGGGGCCTCCTGCCGCCGCTGCACCGCAGGAGCACAATTTCTGTTCTCATCCTGAAGCAAAGTTCTTAACCTGAAGCACTATTTCTGGGTTAGCGGAGTCTGTAACCTGAAGCCTATGTAACCTGAGGTACCACTGTATAAGATGGGGGAGACCTGGTTTACTAGCAGTACTTGCGAAAAGGATCTAGGGGTCTTGGTGGACCACAAGCTTAACATGAGTCAACAGTGTGATGCAGCAGCAAAAAATGCTAGCGCTATTCTAGGCTGCATCAAGAGAAGTATAGTGTCCAGCTCAAGGGAAGTAATAGCACCACTCTATTCTGCCTTAGTAAGACCACACTTGGAATACTGTGTCCAGTTTGGGGCACAACAATTTAAGAAAGATGTTGACAAGCTGAAACACGTATTGAGGAAGGAAACCAAGATGATCAAGGGTCTGGAAACCAAGCCTTATGAGGAGTGGTTGAAGGAGTTGGGCACATTTAGCCAGGAAAAGAAGGGACTGAGAGGAGATATGCATTACACTGCTAACCAGTAGCAGGGGACATTTTCAAGCATATTCCGTACTCTATTTAGGAAACCTCCAGAAAAAAAAGAAAATTAAATTTGCACCTGCAACCCTGTCATATTGTCCCGGAGATGCTGCGCGCTGAAGTGGCTTTTTAGAAACCCGGCTGCTAGGCTGGTCCATGTAAACGCCACGTCCCATCAGGATGGTTTCTGCAGCTTCCGTCAGCTTCGGCCGCTGCCCCTCGCTCAGTTCCCCAGCACTGTCACTTGTGTTCTGGAGTAAAAGGGAGAGAAACAGAGGTGAGAGAAGGGAGGAGGCAATATTCCGTCCTTCTAGCAATCATCCCGACTACTATGAGGCAGATTTCCTCCCCACACCCCGCCCACTCTGACAAACACCCCACACAGAGTGGAGCATGGGATCACAGGTGTGATCTGTTCTATTTTGAGAAATGAACATACCTCACTCCGACAGATCTCTTCCTGGGAAGCAAGTGGTGCTTGGTTTAGTCTTGAGAAAAGGGAGAGCACTGGGTCCTTGTGGTATCCTCTGTGAGGTCTGTGTAACACTTGTCCTTCGCTTGGAGGATCAAAATCCTGAAAGATGAACAACAGCATACTTTTTAAAAAAATAAATGCATAAAACACAGTCAAACCTCGGCTCCCAAACGGCTCGAAAACCCATACGTAAATGCTGCGGTTTTTTAATGTTTTTGGGAACCCGAACGTCTGATGTGACTTCTGTTTGAGTGCAGGAAGTTCTTGCAACCAATCGGAAGCTGTGCCTTGGTTGTTGAACATTTTGGAAGCCAAATGGGCTTCTGGAATGGATTATGTTTGACAACCAAGGTTTGACTGTAAAAGCATTCATTACTGAGGTCAGTCACTCTTCTGAAGCCTTGGGAGACACTTTCAATGACACAGTAGTTTAGTGCATAGGGGCATCAACACACTCTGTGCTGCTGCAATTATCATCACCATCATCATCATTATTAGTGTTCCACATATGGTCCAAGGTGATGTACAAAATATCCTGAAGGAGTGTTTCCACCCCCATCGTTCAGCCTGGACACTGAGGTCCAGCACTGGGGCCTTCTGGCTGTTCCCTCATTGCGAGAAGTGAAGCTACAAGGAACCAGGTAGAGGGCCTTCTCGGTAGGGGTGCCATCCTGTGGAACGCCCTCCCATCAGATGTTAAGGAGATGAGTAATTACAGTGGTGCCCCGCAAGACGAATGCCTCGCAAGACGGAAAACCCGCTAGACGAAAGGGTTTTCCGTTTTGGAGGTGCTTCGCAAAACGAATTTCCTATGTGCTTGCTTCGCAAGACGAAAATGTCTTGCGAGTTCCTGCGGGGTTTTTTTCCTCCCCCCCCCTTTTCCCCAAGCCGCTAAACCGCTTATCAGCTGATGGCTAAGCCGCTTATCAGCTGATCTTTAAGCCGCTTAACAGCTGGTGCTAAGCCGCTTATCAGCTGATCGTTAAGCCGCTTATCAGCTGATCTTTAAGCCGCTTATCAGCTGATCGTTAAGCCGCTTATCAGCTGATCTTTAAGCCGCTAATACTGTAGCGCTAAGCCGCTAAACCTCTAATGGGCTTGCTTCGCAAGACGAAAAAACCCGCAAGACGAAGAGACTCGCGGAACGGATTCTTTTCGTCTTGCGAGGCACCACTGTATATAACATTTAGGAAACATCTGAACGCAGCCCTGTATAGGGAAGTTTTTTAAGGTTTAATGTTTTACTATGTTTTTATATATGCTGGAAGGTGCCCAGAGTGGCTGGGGCAACCCAGTAAGATGGGCGGGGTACAAACAAACAATTATTTTTTCACTGTTTTGTAATAGCTTTTATTATTATTATATAATCTCACTCATCCATTCACTCCTAGCTTTGGTTTGGCTTAGAGATACCGTATTTTTTGCTCTATAAGACTCACTTTTTCCCTCCTAAAAAGTAAGGGGAAATGTTTGTGCGTCTTATGGAGCGAATGCAGGCTGTGCAGCTATCACAGAAGCCAGAACAGCAAGAGGGATTGCTGCTTTCATTGCGCAGCGATCCCTCTTGCTGTTCTGGCTTCTGAGATTCAGAATATTTTTTTTCTCGTTTTCCTCCTCCAAAAACTAGGTGCGTCTTGTGTCTGGTGCGTCTTATAGAGCAAAAAATACGGGTATGTGCAAAACTCAGCCACTGCCTCTGACCAAACCGGCCCATTTGTCTATCTGGACCATTTAGAGATGGCTACCTGGGGGGAACCCGGTTTTCTGCTGCCGCCACCCTGAAGACCCCATCAATTTTGGCAGTGTCTAGTTAAATGATTTCATTACCATCTCATGGGCATCATGAAGAGTGCTGGTCATACTGTCACTTAGATTTGGAAGAGACAATCCTCCTTCTGCAAAAGCTGGAAGGAAAAACATAACAAGCATGCACTTACGCACGGCAGGCGAAGACACAAATCCATTCCACTTGCAAAATAACGAAATACAGTGGTACCTCGGGTTACAGACGCTTCAGGTTACATACGCTTCAGGTTACAGACTCCGCTAACCCAGAAATAGTACCTCGGGTTAAGAACTTTGCTTCAAGATGAGAACAAAAATCGTGCTTTGGTGGCACGGCAGCAGCAGGAGGCCCCATTAGCTAAAGTGGTGCTTCAAGTTAAGAACAGTTTCAGGTTAAGAACGGACCTCCGGAACAAATTAAGTACTTAACCCGAGGTACCACTGTAGGAGGTTAAAAACAAGGACTGAAACAAGTTTTGGCACAGAGGGTTCCAAGCTTTCAGGTGGTAGTGGGGGAGGTTCTCCCTACCTTTCCCCCTCCTGCATTTATTTTCAGGCCACTGTGCAGTTCTTCCACCCCACAACTTCTCTGCTTTCCTTTGGGTGAGGTCACACCATAAATGCAATGACACCACAGCATTACACAGCCAATCAGATCTGGAGGCATGTAGGGCTGGGCGATATCAGCTTTTCAACATCGTGGTGTATCGCCAGCCAAACATCGCGGTTTGGCGATACACTGCGATTTTGAAAAAACAAGATGCATTGGTCTCTGCCTGCAAGACACCGGGTGAAACCGCCCCAGCTCTCACCTTGAGAGGTGAGACAGCTTCACCCAGGCTCGCGGGCTCGGACAATGCGCCTTGTTTGTGCCGCTCAGCTGGGGGGAGGGAATGAAAGCTTACACCAAGAACAAACTTAGTTGGTCTCCAAGGTGCTACTGGACAATTTTTTTATATATTCCTCCCAGCTGAGACAGCCCCAGTGCTCTTGCCACTCGCGTACGAGCGGGAAGAGCACCAGGGTTCCTTTAACTGCTCACTATGGGGAATGGCAATCACGCTCCCCTCACCTGGGCAGTTTCACAGAGCCCCCACACTGCCGCCTGTGGGCTCCTCTAACTGCTCGACTGAGGCAAGAGCAGCTGCACACTCCTCAGTCGAGCAGTTTAAAGATGCAGAGGGAGGAACAAGCTGCTACCAGCTTTCTCTCTGTGTGTCGTATGAGGGCAGAGAGGGATGGTGGTTCTACACTAGCGATATATCGCTGAGTGGAACCGCTACTGCTCTTGACTCCCTCCAGCAGACGCTGCTAAGAGAGGGACCCAGGAGCACTGACGGTTTCACCAGCGATATACCACTGAGTGAAGCCAACATCGCGGTCAGCTCCTCATACCGGTCCTGGGCTATAAATTGATATATTGCCCAGGCCTAGTGGCATGAGAGTGTCACTGATGGCAAACAAGGCAAACTGTTTTGCTCCAGCTCTGAAATAGTCAGTATTGTGGTGTAAGGGAAGAAATAATGCATCCCCATTGCAAAAAGATAATGCTTTGTTTTGCCAAGCTGCAAGAGTTTAATTAATTTAAAGCAGGGGAACGTTTAAAAAAGATAGGCTTCCTCTCCCTTGTAGTAAGGTAAAGGGACCCCTGACCATTAGGTCCAGTCGTGACTGACTCTGGGGTTGTGGCGCTCATCTCACTTTATTGGCCGAGGGAGCCGGCGTACAGCTTCCGGGTCTTGTGGCCAGCATGACTAAGCTGCTTCTGGCAAACCAGAGCAGAGCACGGAAACACCATTTACCTTCCCACCGGAGTGGTACCTATTTATCTACTTGCACTTTGACGTACTTTCAAACTGTTAGGTTGGCAGGAGCTGGGACCGAGCAACAGGAGCTCACCCCGTGCATGGGGATTCGAACTGCCCACCTTCTGATCGGCAAGTCCTAGGCTCTGTGGTTTAACCCACAGTGCCACCTGTGTCCCCTCCCTTGTAGTATGTAGTGACCAAGTCCAGAATTCTACCACCTCCACCACCGCTTGATGTGACCCCCAGAAAAAAGCACGAGTTGCTGATTATAGGAACAAAGGAAACTGCTGGCTCCCAAATCAGACCAATGATGCACCTAACTCAGCGTTGTTTGAACTCACTGGCAGAGGATGGAACTTGGGACATTTCTGCATGCAAATCAGATTCCCTGGCACTGAGCTATGGGCCCTTCCACATGTTCCATAAATCTTGCAAGGTCACCCTCGGAGCTCTCACACTATTAAGAGGGCATGTATTCAGTCTTGGAACAATTAGAAAATCAAAAACAAAATGCTAAAGAAAGACAAAGAGCTGGAAATAGCTTCACCTTTTGCAGCCAGCAGCTGTCCGTAACTGTACAGAATTTCTCCTTCTGAGATTGGCCTCCCCGTGGTCTCAGTTTCCGTGGCGGTCAGACTGCTCTCCTCTGTGGAAAGGCCAGAACTGGGGGTGTGCACAGAAGGGGATGGAGCCCTGGGCTCCTGCAGGGGCAGTTCGTGGGGCTCCGTTGGCTCAGGAGCTGGCAAGACCAAAGTGTCCGGCTCTTCATGTTTGGCCACAGACATTATGCTAAAAATGACAAATAATAATAATAATAATAATAATAATAATAATAAAGAGCACCATCAAAAACTGATGCCACACATTACTAACATTGCTTAAACCTTCGCCAGTTTGTCAAAAATGTATTTTCTGTCTTTAATTTTACTTGTCCACAAAATGGTGGGTTTTTTTACTGATCACACTTGTTTGGGTGATGTTAGAGCATAATCTGTTAGGATATTGATGTTCCGTTCCACCTAAACAGGTATGTGGAGCTGTTGTATGTCACATGTCTGTTTACATTCCAGCACAGCTTGTGTATAGCTTTTGCCTTATGCTTCTTGCTCTTAGACATGAAGGAGAGCTGACATGTTTTCTTTGTCTTGATCTATGCTGAATAAACTGCTTGTAAATATGCTTTACATATGCCTCTGTCCGCCCTTCCGTCGCGAAGAGTTAATTACTCTGCTGATTAGAGTGTGCTCCAGCTTCTGAAGAATTCTGAAGCTGCGGGTCGCTGTTTGATGCTGTTCCAAGGACCAGAGATTGCCCGGCTACCGGCCAGGGGCCGGAGCCAGCTGGGGGCCTACAAATTGCCCCCGTTTCCTTGGATGCATCCCAACATAATCAACAAAACTGAAAAACGGTTTGCTATAAAATGATGCACAACCCACAGACACTCTGGCTGGATTGGGGCAACTCATCTCAGCTCTCTCCCTTCTGCTTCCTTGCCAACCGTACCTGTACCCTCTAAATAACAACTACTCATCACGCCCACTTCAGGTAATACTGTCAAGAGGACAACTCCTTCCTTGGCAAAAAAACCTAGCTAGCTAGCCTCACAGTGCACTGCTTTATGGGTGAATCACTGTTAAAGTGACCCGGAAACTGCAATTAATCCAGAATGCGGCAGCTAGACTGGTGACTGGGAGTGGCCGCCGAGACCACATAAAACCAGTCCTGAGAGATCTGCATTGGCTCCCAGCATGTTTCCGAGCACAATTCAAATTGTTGGTGCTGACCTTTAAAGCCCTAAACGGCCTCGGCCCAGTATATTTGAAGGAGCGTCTCCACCCCCATCATTTAGCCTGGACACTGAGGTCCACCTCCAAGGGCCTTTTGGCGGTTCCCTCATTGCGAGAAGCCAAGTTACAGGGAACCAGGCAGAGGACCTTCTCGGTAGTGGCGCCCTCCCTGTGGAACGCCCTCCCACCAGATGTGAAGGAAATAAGCAGCTATCTTCTCTTTAAAAGACATCTGAAGGCAGCCCTGTTTAGGGAAGTTTTTAATGTTTAATGCTGTATTGTGTTTTTAATATTCAATTGGGAGCCGCCCAGAGTGGCTGGGGAAACTCAGCCAGATGGGCGGCGTATAAATAATAAATTATTATTATATTATTATTATTATAATTACGTTCCAATATTTCACTGAATGTTTCTTGACAGACTCTCTTTTTTACTGATACGTTTCATTTTTATATAAGAATTTAATATTAATAATAGTAACATTTGTTCATCAACTTTCCACAAAAAGGCGACTCAAAAGAGGACTTCTAGAGCCATATAACGCACAAGGCTGACAAACATTTATAAGCAAACGCAGTGGTAAAAAGGATAGAACCTAAACTGCCCAGGTGTGCACCACAAAAAGGCCTCTGAATGCCAGTTGCTGGGTATCACTAGCAGATCAGGTCCTGTTTGCGAGTTCCCAGCTGGGATCTGGCTGGCCATTGTGAGAACAGGATGCTGGACGAGATGGGCCATTGGTCTGATCCGGCAAGCTTTCTTATGTTGTTAATCAACCCAAAGCCAGGGGAAACAAGAGTGTCTGAAAGTTGGCAGTGATGGCTCCAGCAGTGTTAAAATGTTGTAGTTTCTTTTTTAGCAATCTTATTGCGTTTTATGTAAACCACTACGGGATTTTGCATATTAAGTTGAATATAAATATTAGTAATAAATCAGTACTTCTCTTTATTGTTGCAGCTAAGAAGTTTGCAAGAGGAAGATTAGGAGGTGATTTTTTGTCAAGTGTTACGACTCACAGAGCTGCGGGGCGATAGCTCCCTTCTTCTTCACTCTGCAGGCTGGGCTTCTCTTCTTCCAGAGGAAGCTCTGCATCTCCCCAGGGGTTCGGAGGAGTCTGCCTTTCCACCACTCCTCTGCCTGGGACATGCTCGGATACAGGAGGGCTAGGCGTGGCTACTCTGGGCGGTGAAGCCACAGGGGTGACCACAGGGGTAGCCACTGGGCTGATGGCTGCTCCAGCCTTGGATCCTACAAAAAGAAGGGATAAAGAAATGCCAAGCCAAGCTATGTTGCTACAGCAAAGGAATGTATGATTCTTGCTTGCAAACATTTCGCTTGCTGCATGGAGCAAATATACACTCGACAGTCCAGACTGGTCAAGAACAAACTAATTTCTTTCTGTTTCTATTCCCGATTGCTTTGAAGTTCTGAAAGTTCCCCAAGTATGGTTCCAAAGTATGCCAAATCTGATTTCTGTTTTTGATGGAATTACAAACTTGGGGGATCAGGGAAATGCTGTGGACATGATGTATCTCGATTTCAGTAAGGCTTTTGACAATGTCCCCCATGATATGCTCGAGAGCAAGCTGGTAAAATGTGGGCTGAACATTTCCCGACTCTAAGATTCAATGATTCTACAATTCTATGATTGATCCCTTCCCCAAACCTAGATACACAGAAGAATTACTAGAATAATTTTGATAGTTCATAGCAGAAGAGGCTTGTGTTGTTGTTTTGGAGGGTGGGGTGATGACAACACAACTCCCAATATGCCAATCAATCAAGAAAGCTCTTTCTGGACAATTAAAATACACCATGCTTGAAAACAAAGCTGATGAGTGTAATTAATTTAGCAACTTTTCTAATCTGATAACCTGTTTTGATACCTGCTGCTGTTAGCTGCCTCAGATCAGTATTTCCATCAATTTCAGATACAGACAGAGAGGACTCTGGGGTTTTTACTGGAGATGGTTCTTTTGGAGGAGGAGGGGATGGAGGAGGTGTGGCTTCAGGTGTGGCGAGTGGAGTGCACAGTATTGTTTCCTGGAAAAATACACACACAAAGGCAATTGAAAGAAAGTAGTAAAGCTGTTACAAAATATTCCCTCCACTTTATTTCAAATAATCAAATCTGAGTGGAAGAGAAAGAGCCAGGAATTCAAAGCTTACAGGACGTAGGATTTCTGCGACAGTGCACAGTTCAAGGGGATGTGAGATGGAATATTGATTGGACTTAGTCTAGCTTGCAAATGTTTCTGAATCTCAAGAAAACCCACAAGCAATAAATAAAGGACACGTGCTTATTCTTATGGTTAATAAAAGCTTACCCTTTAGAATCAAAACATAAATGGAGCATAAATGGTACTGGGCTACATTTACAATTTGCAGCAGCTACATGCAGAATGTGTATAGGTTAGCCTCAAGCAATGCCAAGTATTTTCAGTCTGGGCTGATTTTGGGTGAATACTATTTATTTTTTTCAGGAGAAGGAGCAGTTTCAGGACAAACTGCAAGAAGTCTGAAATTCTGGGTTTTTAAACAACAGTGGACCGACGGACCTATATTTAGCAATTTAGCTGTTAACCTATAGCTGTTAGCCTATAGACCCACCTTGCAGCAAGTCCACTTGCCCAGACAACAATCTCTTCTGGTCAAACAAATGACCAAACTTGTTGCTAAAGTCACCCTGGCCCTGGAGCACACACCAGTAATGAAAAGAGTGACTCTGGGAATGTGGAGAGTATATTTCTGGCTCATTTAGTTCCTAGCCAAAAGAGAATTGAAGTCCAGGTCAGGAGATGTAACTTCCAGGCTCGTTTCAGTGCTGGCAACAGATTCAGAAGTTGCACACCATCTTTGCCAAACAAGGGCAGGAAGACCAGAAAGCCTCTTATTTCAAACTTTTTGTCATTGTTGCTTACATGCTGCAAGAAGCAAAATGCCAAGGGTGGTATTCAGCTAAGTTTTACTCAAGAGTAGACCCACTGAAATGAATGAACTTGACTTGGGTCCATTAATTTCATTCGGTCCACTCTGAATAAAACTTAGTTGAATATTATCCAATTACTACAAAATAAATAAATAAATTCCCAATTCTTAATCACAAATCACAAACAAAAAGAAACAAGTCACCTTTTCTGGCAAGGGTGTTGTGGTTTGAGGAACAACAACAGCAGAGGCTGCCTGCTGGCTTTCGCTGTCACCCAGCATGACGGCAACTGTCTCAGCAAGAGCTTCATTCACAAAATGTCTAATAATGTCCGAATCCACTGGGAGACCGGCATCGACAAACAGCTGAAACCCCCCGGTACCTGCTGCTTCAACTAAAGATAAACCAGAACGCAGGCAAGAACCAAATATTAAGGCTTGTATACTATTTTTTTTGACAAAGTAATAATCATAAATTAGTAAGAATACAAATGGGCACCCAACCACCAAGACCATTCCCACTGTAACTATCCAGCCTCCCAAAATTTCAACACATCTTGCGATGGTTTGACCCCTTTCTGTTTTAACAGTACAAATTCTACAAACACCTTCCATATCTCCTCAAGATCGTTTCTCCTGCATATTCCCCATCTTACCTTAAAGGCACATGTTAATTTATCATTAATAGCTATATCCCACGCCTCTTTATACCATTCTTCCATTTTATATTCTACTTCCCCCTTCCACTTCCTAGCAATAATAATTTGTGCAGCTGTCAATGAATTTGTGAGAAAGTCCTTCATAGCCTGTGAACCTTCCACCCCATCGTAAATTAAAAATAATGCTAAAGGCTTGTATATTAAGAATCAAGAGTCCTGTTGTCCTTGGGCAGCAAGAGCTTCCCCAGCCTCTCTTACCCTCCACCCCCCTTGAAAAATGGATCCAGAGGGTCAGGGGGAGGAGCAGAGAGAAATCAAGACCCTCTGCATAAACTTTAAGCGGATTTTCCTGTTTGTGCTAGAGTGATATCTGGATCCAAGGTGACGTGCTTGTGTGGCAAAAGCAGTCCTTGATTTTCAGATTTCTGGCATGCAGAAAAACTTCCTTTTCTTTAAAAAGTATGCTACTTCAACATAAGGCAAAATCATGTATGATATGGATAGAAGAGAAGGAAGTTATTCTTCCTCTTCTATAATATTTGAACATGGTGGTCACCCACTGAAACTGATTGGCAGTGCATTCTTTTCTAAAATCAGGAAGTACTTCTTTACAGAATGCCTAACTCACTCATGAAGTACGCTACCAAGAGATGTGCTGGTGCCTGGTGGCTTAAGTCAGCCTACCCACAACCTGGTGCACTCCAGATACTTTGAACTTAAAGGTGGCTTTAGGAGGGGGCTCAGACAAACCCTGGAAGAAGCGGTCTCTCTAACAATGGCTCTCACCCAGTTTAGCTAAATGGAGACTCCAGGTTCAGGAGCAGTATCCTTTAGAATAGCAGTTGTTGGGTGATAACGTCAGTGCCAATCTAGCTTCTGACTATCTCAACAACACATGGAAGTCCCAAAGATATGCTGGTCTACCTAGGCCAAAGATGGCCTTTGGAGGCCACCAGAAGCATTCTGAATCCGACCAGGAAACTAACTATATGTCAGCCAGCGGAGTTCTCTTAGTGCTGGAGCAATATGAACCAACACCGTGCTGCTGTGTTCTTGAAGGAGAACTCCAGGCACAGAGAACACGTTTAGTGGACCCTACAATTCCCGCAGGCATTCTTACATTATTATACATAATAAAAATGCTTTGCTGCGTTGAGTTTATCTGAGGGGTAGGGCAGGGAAATTACTTGAAACCTAAAAAGGGGAGGGAGTGTTAAGGTTGAGAACTGTGTGGGTTATTTTTTTTTGACCTGGCTTGAGCAAGTGTCTTTAAACACCTTTCTCGGTTGAGCTAAACGAAAGCAAGGCTCTAATCTCAAATCAGGCTATTAAGAACATTCATTTTCCTTGGATCAGTCCACTTTCTGTAAATACTTCCCTCCATCGGGGGTTGGGGAAGCGACAAAGAGAGAAAAATATTGCAGCTTTTGCTTACCGATGTCTGAGGATATATCTTGGTTGTCCTCGCTCTCTGATGAGCTTATGTTGGGCACTGCTTCTTTCTGGGGTGGAAACATCCCACTGATGATTCGTGCCATTACTTCCTGCTCCACCCTGGTGGAATAATGATTTCTATATTTAATGCACCTGCCTTTATGCTGTTTATGCCAAATACAGAAGAGCAGAGTTAGAAGCCTTGGCCTGCAGGCTCCCAGCATCCAAATGAGGCAGCCACCTCCCTCTGCCTAATGGAAGGGCTGGCCCTGCTGCAGCCGATGGGAGTTGCAGGTCAACAATATCTGAATGCATGTGGGGGACACCAGCTTAATCCCTTACGTTGTGTGGCTAACAAAAACCAAGGCCAAGTGCGTGTAATGGGGTTTACCCATTCCTCCCTCCCTCCATCACGGCCTTCACAGCCCAAATGCAAGACCATGAATTTCTAAGAGCAAGGATCTGTTTTGCACAGGTTGCTCTGTAAAACGCCACATACTCGGATGGTCCTATAGAGCTAATGACATTCCATCAGCGCATCACCATTGCACAGCGCCTGCTCTGGGAACTCACCAGCCAACCAGCTTGTTTTCCAGGGTCTCCCGTTCTTCTATGATCTCATCCAGAATGTCTGCTGTGGGCTGAGGAGCAGCAGGTGGAAAAGGAGGGCCACTGTATTTTGGAGAAGCGGTTTCTCCTTGTCTGTCGAAATGTAGGACCGGCTCGGAGAATTCCGGGACATCATCGTCTCCTTCGTCCTAATGACAACAAAGGCTAATTTAACACCGCACAACCAAGCGGTATTTCAGTACAACTCCATTAGCAATAAATTTCATTGAGTTCAGGGTCCAGCACGCTCGACATTCAGAAATGTTGGCAACAAGGCTGTGCTTCACAAGAAGTTGTGCAAATTTCAAAAAATGGCATACGGACTTATTCTGCATAGCAAGGCACAACCACAACATTGTAGAGTGGGTCTGGGGACTCTCTAAGTAGCACTGATGGCAAATTTTTAGAACCAGATTCCCCTCCCTGTAAGCTCCATCACATTTCTTAATCCAATTTCCTATTCCCATCAGCTATCAGGTCTTTGCTAATGTTGGTAGCTAAGTGCTCTGCCAATCCCATCAGCTACGTTGACACGGGTCCCTTATGAGCAGGGAAGACCATACTTTGAAAACAGATATAGCAAAAACAACTTGGAACAGCATGAACCTGATTCAAGAGGGTATTACAAAAGTAGAATATCCATTTACTTATTTATAGTCCAAGATCCATAAAGGTTCTTTAGGCATGGCCAGAAGAATTTTTGACTTCAACCTTTGACCAGAAGCCCCTTGAAAGCTAAAAGCACCTTAGAAACTCTTTTTGAAAATACTCATTTCAAAAAAAGTGGTTGCCACCTGGCTTTTAATACTCCTGTTCACCAAAACCAACCACCACCACAAGCAAAATCAAGGAACCAAGTCCTCCTAGGCACAGAAAACCAGGCATGTGGTTCTCTGAATCACTGACAAATATTTCTATCCAAATTTTCTGTTCTAACTATGCTTCATTTACTTTTATTCTTTCTTTCGTCCTTTATCTTGATGCAGAGGCTGCCCTATCCCTCAAGCTCACAGCAGGTAATGTTTTTATTCTACCTCTGCATTCACAAGCCCTGAAAGGTAGGGTTTACTAGCATTCCCATTTTGCAGATGAAAAATTGAGGTGGCGGGCAACTTGCTCCAGGTCATAAATTACTCCATGTCAGAAGCAGAACTCAAATGCCGGTCTCCCACTGGCCTTGACCAAGTTCTGCCATCTCAAGCGTTGCTTCTAGAGCAAGCATCTGTTCATATGCTGTGTTGGTGCACACTTTACAATTCAACTGGATTTCTGCAACAAATTGTATTCTGCACATTAAAATTTATGTTGCATGTGAATGTTAGAGTTCAAAAAAAGTGTGTGTGTGTGTGTGTATTCTACCCAGCAAATTCTACTCAATATCTAATTACTGGACAGCATTTCTCCCCACAGGTTTTGTTTGTGTTTCTATTTCAATGAAACAGTCACTGAAGAACTGAAATATATAACACAGAAGGCTACTACCCTTAGTTTATATATTTTTGATAAAGAAAAAGTGAGTATTCTGCCAAACACTTTGTGGGCATTTCCTTTGTGTGCATGTGCTCTCAACAAAGCTGTTATGAGGCTTTTCTTCTGATGTCTCAAGTATTTCTCCCTTCAAGTATTTATATGCTTTCAGATTAAAGTTAATCCTTTCACATCTTCAGGCTCATCGTTTAGGCAAACCCAAGCCAAACATGTGCTAGAGTTGGAATGTTTTTGTGGTCAAACACTAGGCCAAGACTGCCAAGGATGCAGGATGAAAGCAACGCCTGAGAAAATGGGAAAAAGGACAAGGGGCAGGAAAAAAACCCTGCCTCTTGCTCACATCTAAAAAGAAAAAAAGGATGATCCTGGTGTCTTTTATTGCTGCTTCATAAGCACAAGCTGGAAATAAATGACCAGGAGGTTTCACTTTACTTATTAAAAAAGAAAGGAAGCATCTCAAAGGAGAAGCATTCTGGCTTCTGACACAGCTACAGCTTAGGTAAATGAGTAGGAAATATTACAACTCCTTCCCAATTAAGAAAATAAATGAAAAAAAGCAAACTGCATGAATTCAACACTGCAGTTATACAAAGCTAATCTCCAATTTTGCATTGCTGAAACTGTTGTCACGACAATGATGATACAAAGTGAAATTGGATGGCCAATTGGATGATACACAATGAGGTTGGATAGACAGAATCTGTCATGGATGCTTTAGCTGAGATTCCTGCATTGCAGGGGGTTGGACCAGATGACCCTTGGGGTCCCTTCCAACTCTATGAATCCATGAAATACAATTAAGATAACCTTTTGCATTCATGAATACCAGGATTACAGAAACAGTTTCATTAATCTTAACTCAGGGAACATATTTTGGGGAAAGGAACATGGAAATTCAATGCTACACAGAAGTTAGGACATTCACTGGATTGTGATTAGTGATGCTTACACGCCGTTGTCGACAAAGGTCTGTATAGTTAAAGCTATGGTTTTCCCAGTAGTGATGGATGGAAGTGAGAGCTGGACCATAAAGAAGGCTGATCGCTGAAGAATGCATACTTTTGAATTATGGTGCTGGAGGAGACTCTTGAGAGTCCCATGGACTCCAAGAAGATCAAACGCATCCATTCTGAAGGAAATCAGCCCCGAGTGCTCACTGGAAGGACAGATCATGAAGCTGAGGCTCCAGTACTTTGGCCACCTCATGAGAAGAGAAAACTCCCTGGAAAAGACCCTGATGTTGGGAAAGATGGAGGGCACAAGGAGAAGGGGATGACAGAGGACGAGATGGTTGGACAGTGTTCTCAAAGCTACGAACATGAGTTTGACCAAACTGCGGGAGGCAGTGGAAGACAGAAGTGCCTGGTGTGCTCTGATCCAGGGGGTCACGAAGAGTCGGACACGACTAAACAACAACAACAAGGGGCTGTGAAAAAGCAGCCAAGAGAGAAGGAAAAACCAGGGACTTGATTGTGCTCAGCATTGGTCGCCTTCTTTACTCTCTCTTTTCACCCTTGAAAGCAAACAGAAAGTGGAGGAGCCTATGCCATGCTTGGGGGCTTCCTCTTCCATTCCAGCCCCTCAGAAAGATCTCCAGATGCACAAATTGCTGAATTTCCAACTACTCTGTGGTTTTTTTGTGATGCTTTTAAGCTCCATGTGGTGCAAAATTAAGTCTGGTGGTTGCAAGCTGCCTGGTACAAGCAGGCCTTGCTGTGCAGATCCTGTGGATTTGGTTGCGCAATACCTTTTGTCAAAGTCTCCTTGGCCTCTAATTTCCTTGTTCCCGCCTCAGCCTTAGCAGCAGTTTACACGGAGCGGCAGGCTTTTACAATAAGAGGGAAGCTATACAAAGAAGATTTGAGGTGAAACTCCAAAGAAGCAGTGAAGATATCAATAGGAGCATTGCTACTGGCTGCTATAAATGAGGGCTGATTGTTTCTTTAGAAGTAATTTTCATGTTAGTGAATTAAACATTCATCAAATCAGCTTACTAAGAAGAATGTCCTGCGGGTAACAATGGTGACCCTTAAAAAATAAATATCACATTTTATCCCCTGCAAAGTGAGAAGCTATTGGAAAACCCACCTGACTGACACCAGTAACATCGATGAAGTCAGCACCAGGAAGTTTCAGTTCTTCGTCCTGGGACAGACTGCTTTCTGCAGTAGCCTAAAAAAATACAGATTAAGTGAACTTTGAGATTTAGTAGAGGAAAAGAATGCAAAAAGCCACAACAACCTTCTTGCGACACTGAAAGAAAGCAGGAAAGTAGAGTGGGGAGGCTTATATCTTGGGACCAGTCACCATCCACCCAACCACCAATATAAATATGAATGGGTGCAAGAGGAGAGGTGCATTTGGAGGCACCACCGGGGTGGGAGACAAGCCTGTTTTCCCCAGCACTGGAGACCCCAACCACTAAGAATCTAGCCTTTCTTGGTCATGGAGGATGGAATGTTGGGAACAAGACAAGGCAATCAAGTTTGCATCCTGCCCTTCCTCTATAGAGTTCTCCCATCCCAACAGCCAATGGGACTTAATATTGACTTTAGAGACTTCCAATCAAGCCTTTATCAAAGTGTGTTCTGAGGGGCTGGCAGTGAGACAAGTGTCGGCATACAAAAAAGAACCAAATGACAAAGTGCCCTGCAAAGGTGCCCACAAAATATAAACCAGGTTCTTCAAGTTTAGGCAGTTACAACATTTACTGTGCTATCCTTATTCCTGGTTTCTCAGCTTCCAAGCAAAGCAGCCGTGTGAGGAACTGTCTTGGGGCAGTGCTTGCTTCGCAAGAAATTTGCCACATGTGAAGTGGCCATTCGATGCTAAATGTTCTCAACAACAGCCATTCCAGACCTTTTTCCTGTGATAATAAACTGATATATTTATGTATCAGAAACTAGCAAGGGTGAATTCAAATACCTGTATCACCTCCTTTGGAAAGGAAATCTGGTTGACGCTGGTGCTGTCGCTTGAAATACTGTCAATGTCAACATTAGGCAGCACCTGGAAAGTAAAAGCCCACAGATTCAATCTAGTTTCTGTTAGGATATTTCCGTTCCACCTTAAAAGGGAGCAGGCTTTGTGAGTCAGAGTCTGCGCATGTCCTGTTCACAGGATGTTTATGTTTGCTATTGCTTTCGTTCCTCTCTGTGTCGTAGACACCGAACCAGGCAGTCATGTTTTTCTGTGTTCTGATCAACGCTGAATAAACTTGTAAATAATGCTCTCCTGAGTGCAACTTTTGGCTGTGCATTATCTGCTGATAGAGTGTGCATGAGCTCTGGAATGTGGCAAGAAATCTTCTAGAAACTCATGTCGCTAATTGCTGATACTGCGTGCCTACGGGAGATCGATGGATCGTCCGGCAGACGGCTTGGGGCCATGATGGGCTTTGTCTCCCTGGCAGTATCCCAACAGTTTCCCATCTTCTGAAGTATCAGGAGGACACGAACCAAGCTTCCGATGCAATCTTTGTCCTCCCTATACCATTAAATGCTCAGCCTGTGGCATTCACCTGATTTATTATTTACTCAGTTTCTGGACTGCCCTTCATCAGATTCTGGGGAAACCCAGCCAGATGGGCAGGGTATAAATAATAAAATCATCATCACCATCATTACTGCTTTAACCTAATTTTTTTAAAGAAAAGGATGGAGCCAAACTACTGGGTGTGTGGAAGTAGTACATATTCCAATATTCTTATTTAAGTTGCTGACCCCCTAGCACAAGGATGGGGAACCTGAGCTCCCCCTGTTGTTGCGGGACTTCCAACTCTCATCAGTCCCAACCAACCACCATGGTGAATGGTTGGGAAAGATGGGAACTGTGTAGCCTATGCCTGCTGTACCAGTTTCAGTTTGCAGTCATGAGGGCTAGAGCCTTTGATTTGCAAACTGGATTGTCAGGAAACCAACAAGCTCCCAGGAGTTACTTTAAAAGGTGCGGCTGAAGTTCTGCTTGGCCCCTTGAACCTCAGAAGTCGCTGGCTTTTAAGCTCTGATTTAAACAAAAGCAAAAACCCACAATCTATGCAAACACACATTTTTTCTGACCATGAAATAAAACAGATCTCAAAGCTGAAGTAACCGGACACAGAAGATGGAGGGGGATCAGGGTTAAATTCATAGAGGCAGCTCTTGCCCTTCTTGTTCCATACCTGGACAGTCAGTTTGGGAGGGTCTTTTTTCTCCAATTTCATCTCTATTATGCCAATGTTGGGCTTCTTTACCTTTGGCTGTGGTTTCAGGGGAGCAGGAGGAACAGAGGATGTCACAGTAAGAGGGTGAAAATCACCTATGCTTATTCCTGTAGGCTGAGAAGAGATGCTGTTGATTTGTTTTTGACCTAATGTAAGTGCAAAACAAAAGGAAGCAGGAGAGAACCACCTTTAACAAATTCTGAGCCAGAACGCAAATTATAAACAAAAGAGAAAACTGAACATGTGTGATGATCTATAAATCCAGCCAGCCAGCCATAGACATCCAAATACACACCCTTCTAGTAGCTGCAATGCTGTATTTCATACCAGACCAACAGTAAACTGCCTGTAACACCTACCCAACCTGTTACTTTCCTCATTTCTGTCATAAAGATCATACACACACACAGGCATGTCGCCTTGGAAAAAATGTGTGAAGTTTTACGGGCCGCCTGCTCATTTACTACAGAGCCAAGCTCAATATCCTTGTATTTATTTGCAAAGCCCTGAACCACAATCTGAACCCTTACGTTTCAGCTTGATCTCTGATATCATCTGTAGGAGCACTGCGGTCATCCCGAGTTGGTGGGGCTCATTTAACAATGACACAAAAACGAGATAGTAACGTTGTCAGCCCTGTCCTGTGAAATGCCTTGCCAACAGGGATTCAGCAGGCACTTTCTGTCTTAACCTTTCAACATTTGCTGAAAACATTTCTGTGCTGCCAGACATTTCCTGTAACAGTTAGATGATGATCTGTAATCTTAAATATTCATGTGGTTTTTATTGTGCACTGTATATCTGTAATTGCTATAAACTGCTTTGATTTTTCAAAAATGAAATTTCAGAATACAGAAAGGTAACGTAACTTTCGGGTTGCAAACGTGGCAAACCCGGAAGTGTATACTTCCAGGTTTTGCCGTGCGTGCATGTGCAGAAGTGCTCCATTGCGCTGCGCATGCAGAAGCGGTGCCTCTAGATGTGGACTTTTCGGGGTACGTACGGACCGTTGGAACAAATTAAGTTCATATCCGGAGGGTCCACTGTACAACCATTTTTTATAAATAAAAATATAGGCACAGGATGTGGGGGGAAGCATACAAAAGGAATCAGAGACTCCCTCTCTCAGGCCACTGCATATATAGTCATACCTCTTGTTATGTTCAGTTCAGGTTACGTCTTTTCAGGTTGCGTCTCGTGGCAACCCGGAAGTACTGGAAAGGGTTGCTTCCAGGTTTCGCCGCTCGTGCATGCGCAGACGCTCAAAATGACGTCACATGCATGCGCAGAAGCGGCGAATCGCAACCCGCGCAGTCGCAGGTTGCATTCTGCTCATGTTGTGAACGGGGCTCCGGAACGGATCCTGTTCGCAACCAGAGGTACCACTGTAGAATCATAGAATTGTAGAGCTGGAAGGGATCTAACCCCCTGCAATGCAGGAATATGCAGCTCTCCCATACAGGGATCAAACCTGCAACCTTTGCATTGTCAGCACCACACTCTAAGCAACTGAGCTATCCAAGCATGCCTATACACGAGGATAAAGGGTGAACCAGCTACAGTTTGACTTAAGAACCTAAGAAGAGCCCAGCCAGATCAGACTAAAGGCTCGTTTCCCCGAGCAACTTTGTGGGAAGCCAAAAATCAGGACCAGAGCGTAACAGCACTCTCTCACCCATGCTGCCCTGCAACTGTCTCTGAACCCTGGAGGTACTATATAACATCCTGGTACTGTGCCTTAAGCGTGATTTACCGAACCAAGCATGTTCAGCACTGTGCCTACTATTCTTTCACAAACAGTTTAACAGGCTTCAAACCTGCGGCAGTTTTCCTAGAACTGATTGCTCCTAAAAGCACGAGCCTGAATATCAAACTTCCCCACTGTTTTGTGAGAATTTCGTTTACTACAGTGACATCTAGGGATGGTAAAAATAACTACAGTGAAAATAATAAAAGTTACATAGGGGGCGGGGACTCCATATCTGTATGTACACACATCCCAGTGAAACAGCCTCAAATGAAGGTAACAAGTTCATATATATCCTGATGAAATCTGAATTGGAAGCAACTGCCCAGGGAAGAGATCTTAAGATTAAGATGGAAAGGTTGGAGATAACATCTGTTTTTACAGCATTACGCCCCCGCCTCCCAAAGGTGGTGAGGAGGAAAAATCCATGATAGAAATTATGAGGAAAAGGAGTTGAAAATAGTAATAGTACTGCAATAGCCTCAGACAAACCTATGATGCAGTTACATTTGGAATATGGTCTCTGCATCTCAAAGAGAGAGAGAGAAGACACTGGAGTTGAAAAAGATGCAGAAAGGGTTTAACCAAAATTATCAGAGTGATGGAGCAAGACTCCTAACTAGGAATGGCTGCAACAGTCTTCACCAAAGCTGGTGCTTTGGGCTACAACTCCCATCAGCCCCAGTCCCCATGGCCATGCTTGCGGAAGCTGGTGAGAGCTGTAGTCTGAAACATCTGGAAGGCATCGGCTTGGGGGAGGCTAAGATCTGGAGTAAAAAGAACCCACTGATGTATCATAACCAAGTAATCATACGCAGAACACACACGCAAATGACTGGCCTCTTTAATTTATGAAAAGGGTGAGGAAGGCAGCACACTATGCACAGCATAAGGGGGGGAAATGTTTTCTGTCTCCTATTAATGCTAGAATGTGAGGTGCTATGGTGAAGCCCAAAAGCAGGAGATTCAGGAAAGACTGAAGTAAGTACCTCTGTGCAACACACATCAATCACACACACACACACACACACACACACACCTGTATAGAATTCATAGGTGGCGGAACTAAAAAGGGATTAGAAAAGTTCATGGCAGAGAAAACCATCAGTGGCTTTTGATATGGTATCAGGACCAGTATCAGCTGCTGGAGAAACAGCAAGGGAGGGCTACTCCCTTTTGTCCTGCTTATGGGCTTCCAAGGGGTATCTGACTGGCTGCCATGGGAAATGGGATGCTCCACTCAATAGGCTTCGGTTTGATAAATAGGCTTTCATCTGATAAATTCAGAAGAGCAGCAGCCCTGCTGTACTTTTACCTAGCCTAACCATTTACTAAGAAAGGGTTCCAATTCCTTGGACTTCATTTTTCTAACAGATCCTCTGCACCTCTCATTTGCAGTATTTTTTTCCCCATTAGGATAATCAGACACACATGAATACATTCTGGGGCTAAGAATATAATTAGGGATATGAAGCCTCCCTCAAATCATGAGCTGCCTTGCTCCTGCATCCAGAAAAATCCCATGTGAACCTCTACACGGACAAAGGAGGAAGAACAATTTGCGGTGTAGCAGCAGACTTTTTTCCCTGAGTGAAGGTGGCTCACGTAAGTTGAGCCTCTCTTTTTTCTTTTCCATACCTAATGGAATAGCCATTGGGATGAGATGCCCTTCAAGAGCACCTGAGAGTTCAGAGGTCTCTCTGGTGGGGCTGAAGAGATACTGGAGCTCCTGATGAGAAGCAGATCCTGGAGGTGGCTTCCTAGGACTGCTGCGCAAGTAGGGAGCAGTCTGCGTCCTTGCCGATTTCACTTTCGTACCTGGAAAGAAAGTCCGATAAATTGTGAGTCTCCAGCAGCTCAGTGCAAGAGCGTCTGATGCCAGCTTCAGTCCTTGGCATCTTCAGGGAGGAAGAGAAAAATCTCCTGCCAGAAATCCCAGACAGCCACTGCCATTCAGTGTAGAAATGGTCTGACATGATATAAGACAGGTTATTTATTTACAGCATTTATACCTCACCCTTGAGTCAAACAGTCTCTTAGAGCAGCTTACAAAAATTAACTCTAAACCTGTCTCCTAGGCTATGAGAAGAGCATGAAGCTTTAGAGCTGTGTTTCCCAAAGTGGGTGAAACTGTCCCCTGGGGGCGCTGGGATGATCCAGGGGGGCAGCAGTAGCCTCGGATGCAATTGGGAGAGCACTGAATAAAAATAAGGGGGTGGAGGAAGAATAAAGAAGAAAATGTTTCATCTGTTGTGTAATGACGCTTAATGCCAGGTTGGGCGCTGTTGCAGGACAGTGGTGAGGGGTTTTTTCTGGACTTGGGTGAACCCTCTTTGGCTTCACCCAGGCCTGAGAAGTGGATTGCAGCTTGCCTGCCTATTTGGCCAATGAGAGGCAGGCTGCGGCGCCAGCCCCGCCACTGGGGCAGATTGGACTGAGCTGGCAGGATGTAGGTGGAAATAGAGATACATGAAAGAACACACATTTGTCAATGCATCTTTCTGTTTGTTCGCTTAAAGAAGGTAGATTTCCAGGGAGGTGCCGAGTAATTATTTTTTCTGAAAAGGAGGCGCTAGGCCAATTAAGTTTGGGAACCTCTGCTTTAAGCAAGCTTCAGAGGTCTAAAACATGGAACCTAAAAATGTAATTTCTCTGGTTGTCACACTGTGGTTTTCTTTGCATCTCAGCTTAAAGAATGGAGGGCCGTCAGCTTTCCATTCATCCAGCTGTGGGGGGGGGGGAAGCATGCACAGGGCACAAGCACCACTGGCCCCTGGGCTCAGACCCTACATGTTAGGAACTGGTTCAGTGCCATGACCTGCCTAAGTGGAGCTGTCCTTTCATGGAGCCAAAGGAAGCTTGCTCTTATGAAATTCTGGGAGAATGGAAGGCTCAACAGAGTCTCTCAATCCCATAAACATCCTCAAAATGGATAACAGGGCCCACGCTAATGAGCCCCACCAACCTGCCACTTACCCCAAGCAATGCCAATGAAACTGCCATAAAGACTTCTTAAAAGATCAAGGAGAAAGAACGTTTAAACAGGAAATGAAGGCAGACCGTTTGAAACATTGGTTTTTAGGGTGCGGGTGGAGAAGGCGTTTTACCTACCCTTAACACTCTCTATCAGTTTAGGTCTTGGAGGCTTTGATTTGGGAGAAGGCGAGTTGAACCTCAGGTACGGGGATTTCTTAAGTGTGCTCCTGTGACCCTGGTAAATCGGCCGGCCATATATCTGAGAGAGATAATCTTCATTTCGTGCCCCCATCCATCTTTTCGGAGGCCCCTGCAAAAAACAGAAAATGACTCTGAAACTTTTTAATAAAAAAGGCAACATGCTGGCAGAGAGAGAGAGAGAGAGAGAGAGAGAGAGAGAGAGAGTTGGATCTGGATGGCAGAGACTTGGCCTGAAATACCTGATGGGATGGCCTTGGTCAACTTACTCTCTCAACCTAACCACCTCTCAGTGTTGTTGCTAGAATAAAACGGGATTAACTATTCCAAGCGTTTCGGAAAAAGGTGGGGTGCAAATGTAGGATACAATTACAGTGGCACCTCGGGTTAAGTATTTAATTCGTTCCGGAGGTCCGTTCTTAACCTGAAACTGTTCTTAACCTGAAGCACCACTTTAGCTAATGGGGCCTCCTGCTGCTGCCGCCGGAGCACGATTTCTGTTCTCATCCTGAAGCAAAGTTCTTAACCTGAAACACTATTTCTGGGTTAGCTGAGTCTGTAACCTGAAGCATCTGTAACCTGAAGCGTATGTAACCCGAGGTACCACTGTACTGCTATTTATTTGTGCAGCACCATTGGCAGACATGGTGCTTGAGCAAAAGGGCACCAGCAAATGATGCAAGCGATGCCGCATTTGTTTATAGGGATTTATACCTAGATCTTCAGCAAAGCTCTCAGGCTGGCTTACACCACCAATGGCTTTGTACTTGTCGTTGCCTGGGAATTAAAAAAACAACAAACAAAAAACCCCAGTGCATTTCTGAAATCGGTGATTAAAATCAGTGCAGTTTCAAAAGGTTCAGCCTGCCACCTTGATCCAAAAAGGAACCACCATGCAAATTTGGTTACAACAACTTAAGAGGTATCCAAATGCATAACCAAAAAAGACAAGCTCGGCTATATGAGAATCCAGACCTGGAGAATGTGTTCCTCAACCCAAGGTCCCTGAAATCAGTTGCCCTGAGCTACAGCAGGGAAAATATACTATTTATTTATTTTTTAGAGAGAGAGGAGAGCATAATTTCTAGCATTTATACTATGGTTGGTCCAAACCTTGGTCCATGGAGGTTGCTGGCAGAGCTAAGAATCCCTGACTGTTCCCAAACTCTGCAGTCTCACCTTATCTGCTAGCACTGGAGTGGGCTTTGCTGCAGGCAAATGCCTTTTAGTTGGGATTCCCGTGGGGTACTGAGATTTTGCATGTGTTTCTCTGCTGGCTTTCATTGTCTTGACAGCCCGTTGTGCCCCGAGGACATCATTCCTTGCCATTTCATCCTAAAGGCAAAATGTAAAAGCAGCTGGTAAGGTTAGAGGACAGCAAGGGAGCAGCTTTCAACCAAAATCACTGATGGACTCTTTCAACTATCTGGCCTTCTAATTTGTAACGACATGCACTTTCTCTTTTGTATGATTTCCCCTTCAATATAGCTTTTTAAAAAATGAAGACTTAAGTATCAATAGGTGGTTCTTAAAAGCCATACCTGGATTTCCATGCTGATTGTCTTAATCCACTCATCTACAGACTTTCTGATTCGTATCTCTTCTAGGACATCTCTAGATGAGAGAAGGAAGTGATCTAATTTAGGATGGGTTTGGTTTTTTTACTTGCATCTAGTGAACAAAACTAAAAACTTTGAAACCACCAAGCTTGCCTAATACAGTATTTGCTGCTGGCATTTAGGTATATCAACACAGGATTGAAAACAACTGCCACAGAGCTCTACCTGTCTGCTGTCAACTCATCAATGAAGGCGTGCAGAGCATTCCCATCCTTGGCACGGATAATGGCTTCCAGGTTTTCTTCAAGGAGCTTCTTGTTCTTGCGCACTGCTCTCAGGATCTTTTCAGCATCCCTCAGTATGGATTTGGAAGCCATGGTTGACTGAAGAATGGCTGACTTCGAAAGCTCCTGGAGTTCTGGAAGGCTTGGGGCAACAGGGTATTTTTGCTAAAATCCAAACAAAATGGGATCAGAGGTTCAAATATTCAGGACTGTCCTCAGTGCTGATCAGCCAGATACCCTGATAAGGTCAGCAGTGCTTAATGGAAGCAACTGCCCTCCGTTCGACACCAGTATTGTCAACTCCAGTTAAAACCAAAACAAAGCCTTGGGTATTATTTTGGGGAGACTGGAGGGACATCGCTATGCCTGACAACAAATCCTAATTATTGGATTCTTTTGCCCCATCTTTTTGTGCCTGCCAAACAGCCATGTCACACTTATAATATTTTATTCTCTTGGTAAGTACGCTGTTTATAGGGACGCGGGTGGCGCTGTGGGTAAAACCTCAGTGCCTAGGACTTGCTGATCGTAAGGTCGGTGGTTCGAATCCCCGCGGCGGGGTGAGCTCCCGTCTTTCGGTCCCAGCTCCTGCCCACCTAGCAGTTCGAAAGCACCCTTAAGTGCAAGTAGATAAATAGGTACCGCTTTATAGCGGGAAGGTAACGGCGTTTCCGTGTGCTGCGCTGGTGCCGGCTTGCCAGATGCAGCTTCATCACACTGGCCACGTGACCCGGAAGTGTCTTCGGACGGCGCCAGCTCACGGCCTCTTGAGCGAGATGAGCACGCAACCCTAGAGTCGGACACGACTGGCCCGTACGGGCAGGGGTACCTTTACCTTTACCTAAGTATGCTGTTTTAAATGTGCATTTCATATTTGGCTTCACTTATATTGTCGTTTGAAATGTTTAAGATTTTGTTTTTGTTAACGTTGTTTGTGTTAAATATGTATTCTGTAATTAACCTCCTTTGTAATGTTTTATTTTGAAATCTTTGAAATTGTATTTTGGTTTCCTGTTAATTGTGTTGCTTTGACTGTGTACTTTATATTTGACTTTTTTCGGAAATGTTTGATTCTGCATTGTTTTATTGACGTTTAATATGCTGTGAACCGCTTTGAGATTTTTCTTAAAAATATAAAGCGGTATAGAAATGAAATAAAATAATAATAATAACAATTTACTTTTTCATTTATTGCTGATTCAAACATCCTGGAAAACAGCCACAAAACCGGAAATTTTCATTGTATGAAGATCACTGTGCACACCCGTCTTCTGCAATCTTGTGCATTCCTGATCACACAGCCATGATGGTGGAAGTCCCAAATAGGAACCACCCTTTCCTTTCCTTTCCTTTCTTTTCCTTTCCTTTCCTTTCCTTCCCTTCCCTTGCCTTTCCACTCTTCCTCTAAGGAGATCAGGGTGGTGAACATGGCTCTCCACCCTTTCCATTTTATCCACATAATCACCCTGTGAGGGTTGGCTAGGCTAAATAAGGTTACTAAAATAATTGTAAGCATGAAATATAATAACCACCCACTATAAAGACAACATGGCAGAAATTTAGAAGCAGCACAAAAAGCCTTCAGCCCAGGGTCAGAAAGTCTGGGGAGATGAGGTCTTTGCCTGGTGCCAGGGACACAGCCCTTGTGGGTACCAGGAGAGCATTCCGCAGAAAGGGCACCCCGATCACCACCCACCACAGTTGTGGGAACCTGTAGAAGCACCTCCGATGATGACGGCCACAGCGAACAGACAGACTGATGTGGAGGCAGGCGATCCTTCTGTCGGGTGATGTCTCTGCAGTGCGAGGTTGCCTACAAATTAAAAGGAGAAAGTGTGGCCCTTTGACTCCCAAGGCAATCTTCACAAGTAAATAAAACTACTCGGCCATGCAATACGTGTCTGCAACAGGCAAACGCCATTTGCGGTAGGAGAACCCACCCACACCACCCCCAGCTTCCAAGCCCTTTTGGAGAATCTTAGTTCTCATGGTATAGGGAACTGGTACACAAGTTTCAATAGAGGTGGTGGGAGCTTTATAGCACTGCATTGCTGCCAGGCCCTATACAAACTACAGAACAGGAACATTTAAATGCCTGTAGTTTTACTGAAGGTGCACCCAGGCTGTTGCAGTCTGGCGACCGGCTAGCTTGCCGCTAGTGCATGAAGCCAGATGGAGCCACAGACCAGGAGTGCTGATGGCTTCAAAAACGGAATGAACTACGTGGCAATGAACGCCTGGCAGATGCAAGCATCAGGTCTGCCTTTCTAGTTGTACATGGTCCAGCCCTGCTTTTAAAACCCCACTTTTAAGGTTATGGCAGAATCAAGGTAGGCAGCTGGGCACTATGGTTTTTAGTGATTTCATTGCTCACATATCCTGCAGTGGAATGTTTAAAGGAGCCTTTCGCCAACCCTCCAGAAATTATGGACTACAACCTCCATCAGCCCCAGTGTCATATGTAGACCAAAACCTCTGGGGGACAGCAGGTTGCCGTAAACTGGATTAGAGGTATTTGGTTTTAGGGTATTTTATTGCTCCAAGGCACTGTCTTCATAATTTAAAAACAAACAAACAAACAAATTGACACAGAACCTTCATAATACTATTCATGTCCGACTTCCACTCCTTTGCATCCTGTAAGGCAAGAGGGGAGAAAGAATCTGTTACACTTAGGATAAAGTTCCCTACACAGATATAAAGTACAGTATACCAGAATCATGAGGCATCTTAAAGGCTAACAGATTTATTATGACATGAGTTTGTACAGACTCAAGCCCACTTTGTCAGATGCTTGACATGATGATGGGCTAAGCTGTTTTTGCTGCAAGAGACGAGCGCAGCAACTTGTCTGGAAAGAAAGTATGCTAGAACTCTCAGTTAAAATCTCACCAAGGCTATCTGTATGGAGTTCTAATATACACTTGTGTCTTCCTACTGTAGGCCATAATATCACCACCACCTCTGTGACCCTCAAGTAACGCCCTTATTCATCATGCTAGAAGGCCTAATTTTATCATGTGTTGGGAGAGAGAAAATGTTCTCTTCTTGATTCCGTCCTTTAGGTTACCCTCCATGCCTACCGAAGTTCAACTCGACAGGACAGCTGAACAGTTACGAAAGCCTATTGTACTGCAATAAAATGTGGATCCAACTTTTAATAATTAACAATGCCTCCGCAACCCAGGAAAGAAGCAAAAGGAGCTTGGGGCAGGAGTGCACTCAGGCTATTTCACATTGTTCCCTCACAACAGTGCTGTATGGCTCCAAAGAACTACATAGGCTAGCAGAGTGCTGACACCAGGTGCCCCTGGCCCAAATTCAACACTACACTGAATGTGCAGAGAAACATCCACTTTCCTCCAGAAGGCAAGCCCTCTCTCCTAAACCCCAAGTAGCAAAGACTGCTTTTAAGCCAACATGCATCAGTAGTTGTAAGGCGCTCACTGAATTACAGCCATTGCATGCCATTTGCATTATTTATTCTGCTTAGAGCTGAGAAGAGTCTGAAAAATGGATTTCCTGGCTGCTACATTTTCATTTGCAGAAATCACCTCTGCAAGTTCAAATTTCAGGCTCCTGCTTGCAAGTATTTCAACTTCTCCCACTATTAAGTTGTTAAGTTGTTGTTAAGCAGCTGGAGGAGAGGACAGAGGGTGAAGAAAGAGCTGCGAGTGGAGAAGGGCCCTCTTCCCATCCTTTGGACCCCCTGGCAAACTCAGCAAACCTGCTGCACCTGGAACTGGGTGGAGAGAGGGCAGCTAGATGGGACACAGGTGTGGGCAGCCGGAGGAAGGACCATGGATCTTGGGCCTGCCCAGAACAAGCAAGTCTAGAATGAAAGACTAGGGCAATATCTGCTGTTTGCAGGATCTATTCTCATTTGGGGACTTTTGTGGGTGAGCTGAGAGTTTGTTTGGACCCGGTGTTAGAACCCGGAGGCTGAGAGGGAGGTAGTGTCAGAAGGAAAGCGAATTGATTTATATATATTAGTACCTTTGTATTAATTTAAAATTTTTACATGTGACTGTGTATTTTTTGTAGTATTTAAGCTATCTGATATTGCTTCAGTTTTTTGTAGAGATATTTTAAAATATATTAGGCAGGATAGAAATTAACTAGTCAATCAATCAATAATCAATCAAGTTATTTCAGCAACCTGGTCATATTTTGCTTTACCTGCAAGATGTCATGCATGTCCCGTTTCAGTTGCCCGAGATCGTGAAGCACAGCATCTGCTTTCTTAACTGTTCTCTCAACTGGGTTGTGATCTTGAAGTGTGCTTTTAGACACAGGAAAGGGCTCAGTCTGCTGAATGTTTGATCTGCTACTAAGAAATATTTCAAAGTTCTCATTACTCCTGCATTTCTTCTTCAAGTGCTGAATCAAGACTGAATGAACCAGCAGTTGGCCTTCACCACCTACTATTGAGAATTGGGGAAAATCCCAACCAAATTGTGGGCGTTTATGAATCAAGTTACACAACTCTGGAGAGGGACACATATTCCTACAAGAACAAAAAGGTCCAGAAAGGCAGGGAAACAGACGCTCAAGCAAAGCCATGTTATTGGCCACCAAAGCTGCCATATGTTGGCCGAGCTGGTGTGGGTAAAAACTATTTTTTTTACCCAATTTGCTACTTAGCCCTTTTCATTTTATTTATTAGACTTATATATGGCCCTTCATCATGAGGTTTCAGGGTGGTTCACAAGACAAAAGTTTTGCCCAATTTGAGAATTTCACACTTCTCCATCACTTAAAACAAACACAAGACAATAAAATAGCCATTATCCAAGAGGCGTAAATAAAGCAAAACACCTGACCATTGGATGGGAACTGAGAACAAATGTTTACCCCAGGTTTTGCCTGTATGCACTGGTTAACGGATGCAGACACAGCATCACACCTTGTAACGGGAAACTCAGGTGGTGGGTAGATTGTAGCCAAACAAGGGCCATTGAGAAGTAAGTGGAAGTATCAGCATGCTTGGGGTTACCCCAAGATTTGAAGAAGTACTTTTAAATAACCCAACAACCCTAAGGGGGCAGGGCAGCCCTCTCAACAGTTGAATGAGGACTGAGCCTGCTCAGCAGCCAGGGACTGTTGACGGTCACCTGGAAAAGGAAAATAGGTGGAGGTGCAAGGGGATGGAAAGAGGACAAAAATGCCCTGCTAAGATCAAATGGTGGGGGAAATCATACAAGTGCTCCTTTTAGGAGGGAATATACACAACCACTTTTTCCTGCGGGTTCCACTTGTCTGATTCTAATTCAGTAGTTCAGGCTAGGTACAAAAGAGGCGGACAAAGTTCAAGGGTCAGTTTGCCCTGTTTAGCACAGTTAAGCTCACAGTATGCAAGTGTACTTTTCAACCTCATGCCTATGCAAACAAGGCTTTTAAAGAAAACAGTCTCTTCCATGAAACACACGTCTCAAGCATGTACAGAGTTCAGCTAGGAATTATGGGAGAAGTGTTATATTAATCACCAAAAATGGAAACCTCTTAATTTTCTATTATTTCCGTTATGTGAACTGAGATTAAGATATCGCTGAAGGTCAAATTTAGTTTCTAGGATATCAAGTATCTACAAGCTGTTCGCTTTTTAACAAGGGAGATGCTTACTGCTCTCTTCCAAAACACCACGGCATCACATTGTCACTTCTGGGGTCGTTCCAAGAAGATGCACTCTGGCTTAATGGGGTTTCTTGAGAATTCAAGATGTGCTCTAGAAGTCTCCCTCCACCTAGATGAGAAAAAAGAGCATGCCATATTATAGCGGAATAGGGCAGAGTATAGTGTGCGCGCACGTTCAAATGTGTGTGTGTTTGCGCCCGCACAGAGACACATATACAGTGGTGCCCCGCAAGACGAATGCCTCGCAAGACGGAAAACCCGCTAGACGAAAGGGTTTTCCGTTTTCAATGCGCTTCGCAGGACGAATTTCCCTATGGGCTTGCTTCACAAGACGAAAATGTCTTGCGAGTCTTGAGATTTTTTTTCCGCTTCCCCCCCCTTTTTCTAAGCCGCTAAGCCTTTAATAGCCTTTTAGCAGCTAATCCGCTAAGCCTTTAATAGCCGCTAAACCGCTAATAGCGCTAATCCGCTAAGCGGGTTGCTTCGCAAGACGAAAAAACCGCTAGACGAAGATACTCGCGGAACGGATTAATTTCGTCTTGCGAGACACCACTGTATGGGATAGTTACATTCCTGGTTTCCTTCCCAGAATGAATAGCATTTATGTATTTATAAATTATATCTATGCACATGTGTGAGAAGACATCATATGCTGCCCACTGATTTTTAAAGATAGGCGTGTAGCAAATTGGCTGTAATAATGTTACTTGTCTGAGCATTAGTAAAATATTGAAGCAACATGATGAATACTAGAGAATTGTAAAATTCACATATGGGATTGTAAATAATAATAATAAATAATAATAATAATAATAGTAATAATATATTTATACCCCGCCCTTCCCTGTTCAGAAAACTGGGCTCAGGGCGGCTAACAACAAATTTAAAACACTTAATTGATGCAACAAAAAACAGCATAAAATACAGTAGGGGGGAAATCCATCCAATAAACATTAGATGATCACCAGGGATAGCTGGCTAAATTAGTCCTATTTGGGCTAGTGAGGAGACCAGGGGAAAATTAGCTGTGGGATCCCAGAGCGGGTAATCTTCATAAAAAGGGGAGAGGGAGGGAAGGAAGGGGAATAAAAGATCAGGCTAAGTTCAAATTAAAGGCCAGGCGGAATAGCTCTGTCTTACTGACCCTGCGGAAGGAGGTTAAATCCTGCAGGGCCCTGGTCTCATGGGACAGAGCATTCCACCAGGTCGGAGCCATCACTGAGAAGGCCCTGGCCCTGGTGGAGGATAATCTGACTTCCTTAGGGCCCGGGACCTCTAAACTATGATTATTCATGGACTTTAAGGTCCTCTGCAGGGCAGACCAGGAGAGGCGGTCCCGTAAATACGAGGGCCCTAAGCCACAAGGGGCTTTAAAGGTCAAAACCAACACCTTAAACCTGACCCGATACTCTTTTCTGATACTCTTTTTGAGCTGTAATGGACAAGCTGGAAGGCTTACTTAGTATAAAAGCCTAATACACATTCAAAGAGTGTGAAATGCTTGAAAACTGTGAAGTCTCGAGTGGTGCTGATAAAAAACAACGATACATCTAATGCCAACCAGAGCACTGTTGATGTAGGCGAGAATAGTCATGGTTGTGGGAAAACAACAGCAAGTGGGCAGATCCACATCAACAAGGAGCAAGAGAAGCTCTGAAGCTTCCTAGAGCTCACCCAAAGTTCTTCCACAAGTTGACTGTTGCACATTTTCTTTTTCTCCAACCGGTTGTTCTCTCTTTGCCAGTTTCTGTGAGATTTTAGTATCTTTAGATACCGGCACAGGAGCGTATCTGCGTGGTGCTGGTGTCTTCTGCGAACTAATACCACGGCTTTCATGTTTCCGGGAACATGCTGGAATGTGGGAAGATAGGTTTGCCCAATTAGAAAAAGGCATATTAAAGAGAGTGAGCAGTGAAAAGCAAATCACCAGAATTATGCCAGCGGTTAAAACAACCTCCTCAAGATAGAACAGTCTCAACTTGTCAGATAAAGAAAACACACATTTTGCAAAACAGAGCTGGATATCTGGAAAGAAGCAAGTGCCAGATTATAGTCATGCCCATCTGTTTCATAAGTACTTAAAACACATGTCATGAGCTACAATACGTGCTTGGTGACTGCTCCAGAGTTATGGACTTGTGGAGATCTGCCCAAACCTGAACATGTTTCAGAAGCGATCTTTCAATTTAAGAAACCTTTCAGTAGTCAGTAGAAACCAACAGAGGGAAGTGGGGATGAAAGAAAGAGATTGCTGAAGTTATGCCCTTTTGTCTCTCCTGTCTTCCAGCTGGGACATTTAACCTATTCACAGACAGAATATTCACAGTTCACTATTCTGTTCATACTAGAACCCAGCTACTATTCAGTAGCTGCAGCTACACAAACCTCTCCATTACTTTTTTCACTACTTTGCATTTCAACACAGGGACTCTGATCCAGAAGTCACAGCAACCCTTGGTTATGGAGGCATAAGTATTGAGATGTCTCAACTGAAAAACCGTCATTTATGATTGCTGGCAAACCACAAACCGCGATCTGAAGTGGGTTTGGTGTTAGGATCATGGCCATTGCTCTGCCACCATAGGCTGCTACACCATGACGTGAATTTAGGAATCTGAGAAGACAATCATGGTTTAGCCATTCCATGGCTGGAAGCTCACATCATAGTTTGGGTTCTGAACTATGATTAATTTTAACCATGTTTTGGTGTGGTCTTAACTGAGCTAAACAGGCCTCTAAAGGCAAGAATTAGTTTTGCCATTATTGCTTTGGGGCATTAAGCAATCCTAATCTCATGCCTGGTCTACTTTTTATGGAGTCTTAAATTGAAGATGACAAGAGCTAGAAAACACACAATTTTAACTGACTTTTAACTGCTTTGCAGTTCTATATGAATCAGAGCAACCCAGTGCCTCTCACCTTGTGCAGGTATGGCGTTGGAAGGAAAAAAACCATGCTGGTAAGCAGAGACAGGGTCAGTAAGAGGCTTGCCTGCATTCATGGCATGTGTTGCCGTTCTTTTGGAAGCTGCTGTGTTGACATCTTGGAAGCCACCCGAGTTCAGTGCAGAGCTAATCAAACGGGACTGGGAGAAAGAGGTTTCAGTTCAAACACAGGAATAGCTTGGCAAGAACTTCCGTGCGCAAAAAAGACAGTATCAGTTGCAGAGAAAATATCATAAATACTCGCCTGTAGCTCAGGGGCTCTGCCCACCTCTATGGGCTGCCCACATGGCCTCCAGCTTAGCCCTAGACTCCAAAGACCTCCCTCCCTTTATTCAAGGGTCTTCTTGGAAACAGTTCCCCATTTGCGGAATGTCTTCCCTGGTGAGGTGCCTTTGTTTACCACATTGACATTCAAGAGGGATTTTTAAACATCCCTGTTCATCCCGCCATTTGTTGGGTGAAAGGTTCCTGGCAACCATGAGAATATTAGTTGCGAGGACATTCGACCAATTCCAAATGTTTCATTTATTTATTTATAATGTGCTGTTGGCCTGTTATGCTGCTTGGCACCCCAGGCTCCTTTGGGAGGAAGGTCAAGAAGCTTATTTCTTAAGGGTTGCAAGGATTTCTCTTTGCATAAGGGAACATTCTCCCCCTCTGCTTCCTCACCCCATATCTGTTCTGGGGGTACCCTCCCCCAACCCTATGGAGCATATACAGGAACAGTGTATCTCCTCCTAAGGGTGCCATTCTGTGTGTTTTTGTGGGTTGGATCTTGAGAAGAGCTTGCAGAAGTGGGCTGGCAAACGTTGCTTCCCCCCTTTCCCACCAGAGCCTGCTGAATCGGGTGGGACAAGCTAAGGTGGCCCCACCAGCCCCCTTTCCTTGGGATCCAACCATGGGTTGTTAATGTGCATAGCAGCATAAGGTGAGCAACATAAAGGCACATTAAACCAAAACAAGTTCCCTTAATGCAGTTACATTTAAAAATTGTAGCCAGGGGTGATGTAAAGAATATTCTCATTAAATGAAACAAGAGGGTTCTACATTTTGACCTCGCCATGGTGATCCATGCGATGGTCACCTCCAGGCTTGACTACTGTAACTAGCTCTACGTGGGGCTGCCCTTGAAACTGACCCCAAAACTCCAGCGGGTGCAGAATGCTACGGCGAGACTCGTCACGGGGTCCTCGCTGCAGGAGCACATTCATCCGGTGCTATACCAGCTGCACTGGCTCCCGGTGGAGTACAGGGTCAGGTTTAAGGTGCCGGTTTTAACCTTTAAAGCCCTATATGGCCTAGGACCCTCGTACCTACGGGACCGCCTCTCCTGGTATGTCCCACAGAGGAATTTACGGTCTTCAAACAAAAACATCTTGAAGGTCCCAGGCCACAGAGAGGTTAGGCTGGCCTCAACCACAGCCAGGGCCTTTTCGGTCGTGGCCCCGGCCTGGTGGAACGCTCTCTCACAAGAGACTAGGGCCCTGCAGGATTTGACATCTTTTTGCAGGGCCTGCAAGACGGAGCTGTTCCACCAGGCCTTTGGTTGGGGTTCAGTCTGATTCTTCTCTTTCTGTATAAGAACAAGCATTAAAGAGGCCTCCTAGCCCGCTCACAGGTCCTTTATAAGACCAGTGGTACCAGTTGGCTCTGGAGAATATTAACCACTCTCAATTTTACCCATGGACCGCCATCTGTCCAGATTTTGCTCTGAACTAATTTCAAAATGTATTTTAACTAATTGAATGCCTGTTTTTATGCTCTTTGTATACTGTCTTAGTTTCATGATGTTAGCCGCCCTGAGCCCGGCTCCGGCTGGGGTACAAATAAAACAATAATAATAATGATGATGATGATGCCAGTACCTGAATATTCATTTGCTGCTGCTGCAAATTTTCCAGATGCTGAATTCGCTGTTCCATGAACTGATTCATCTGCTTTTCAAGTTCGCCGACTCTCTGGTGGCAAGGGGGCCCCTCAAGCTGTTGAGCCTTCAAGATGGCTTGCTGGTCTGCAACACGCTGCAGCTGTTTGTCTGTCTCCTGCAACTTGGTAAGCATTTCGGACACAGAGCTCACTTTTGCTTCCAAGTCGCTCTGGACCTGGAGGGAAAGACGCAAGCCAAAAGTTGTGAAGGCCAGAACTTCTCTCCCCCAAGCCTAGATGGTTGTCCTTGGGTTGCAAGAAAAGCTGCCCTTTAACATGGCTGAGTCTGGTCCAAGGAACTGGAGGGCTACCCTCCAATTTCTAAGCGGTATGTTTGGTAAAAAGGGAATTCAGGTTTTCTGAAAACAAGATCTAGATACTATTTCCAGCACACACACATGCATGCACCTTTCAACACCCCCCCACACCCCCAAGAAAAAATCTTGGAGGGTTTAGTTTCTACAGGAAGCTTACAAAGGTTTGTTTACATTTTTTAAAATATTTGCAAGTTGTTTCATGGAGGGGAAAGGCAGGGAATATTTTTTTAAACAAATAAATAATGAAGCCAGTTACTTACTTTGAAAAGTGGGGCTGTAGAAGCTATAGCTGCTGCTGTGGCAGCTGCGATGGTTGTAGCTGACTCTATCTCACTTTGTGTTGACTTGGTACTGTCCTTTTTGTCAGAGCATACATCATCCAGCAGTTGGACCTTCACCTCTTTAAATACAGGAACAGTCTGAATTCTAAATATACAAAACAGGCATGGAAAAGTGTTTTTATTATTTTCTTTTGTAAGAGCCACTCCTGCCCCCCCCCTAAAAGTATTTTCAGTGAACTAATGTCACTTCAAACCTGGTACATGAAGTAAGATGTTTTACACCAGGACATACTACTTGTTCATCTTAGTTGGGATTCCTGCATTGCAGGGGTTGGACTAGATGATCCTTGGGGTGCTTTCGAACTCTACAATCCGTCTACTTCTTGAAGCCTCAAAGTATACCCCTGCCTTTTTTAAATTTTTGAGTCTGGAGATTGCCTGCTCTTTTTGGCTGTGTTTTATTTTATTCTGAGTGTGTTTGGGCTTCTGTTTGGGCGATGGTTCCTAATATCACAAATTTGACTTCAGTAAAATGGGCATTTTGTAGTGCTCATGCAGTAACCCTCTGCCTTGCGGGACATCTTTGGGAGAAGAAAAAGGGCTCAGGAGTAAACCATGCACAAATACAGAATGGAGCCCATAAGGCAGTTGGGTGACGCCTTGTATACTGCCTTCTGGCAACTCCTGCAACCAAGCTGGCACCAAACATCTTGCTTTCCTTTCCTTTGGACCACATCAGCGAGGCTGAGAAGGGGGGGTCTTGTCATCAGGGCAGCTCAGGACCTCCAGACACACTGCCCAGGCTTGCACCCTGGAGAGGCCACTTCATTTTTTAAAAATACAGTGGTACCTCTAGTTGCAGACACGATCCATTCCGGGGTGCGAAAAGTCCGCAACTAGAGCGGCGCTTCTGCGCAAGCACGGAGCGCAATAGACCGCTTCTGCACATGTGCAAAGAGTGCAGAACACGTCTGCACATGCGGCGAAAGCCGGAAGTATACACTTCTGGGTTTGCCGTGTTCGCAAGATGAAAAGACACAGCATGCACCTAACGCAACACGAGGTATGACTGCATTTCCAAATGCGCCCCTGGGCTGCTGCAACTGGCAGGAGCTCTCCAGGGTTCTAGGCAGAAAGTTAATTCCCACCACCTGCATACAAAGCTCAGTGGTACAGCACATAAGAAGATCCCTACATAAGAAGCTTTCAATGCTGCCAGTTTTCTCCAGCGATTCTACCCACTGTGTCCCCAGCATATTAGTAGACAGCAGTAACACTTTTGAGCCATTAAGGAATTCATAGATGGAATCAAGTAAACAGAAGCATTCAACATTTGCTTCCTTACCTCTGCTTGAATACAGCTCTTACAGCCTCCTTCTGCCCAGTATCATACTGGGAAATAAACATGTCAGCTAATGTGGAACAAAAAAACAGAAGAAACTATACTCATTAGAATCTAAACAAAGCACAACCTTACAAAAAGAAAACAAAGGCCTATTCGGATACCACTTATCATCAGAATCTCTACAAAGATGGAGATCAGATCTTGGGCTCACTTGTCACCTTATCACAACCTCGCACAGAACATAACATTTTGCTGTGCGCTGCCCTGGGCAACTTTGGGAGGAAGGGCGGGATTTAAAATTCCCATCATCATCATAATACCAGAATTTATGGAGACCAGGCTTTATTTTGAATCTGGAATTTCTCTAACATTGTAACCGAAACCCTGCTTTCAAGCAGATTCCGGACAACTACTGTTAGGCACACAACATTGCAGCACAATCAGAACACTAAGATTTTAACTGTTAACAGCTCAAGTCACACCTAAAAGTTATGGACAAAAATATCACATGAAGCCATTGAATTTTTGCCGCATTGATCGATTATGAAACTTAATTTACATTGTGCCTGAGCGACTGTGGTGTCCATTATGCTGTCCCCCCCCATCGACATCTGCCCTCCCTCTCTGCCAGCTTCTATAGTAGAGAAAGATGGAAAGAACCCAGAAGTTGCCTCAAAAGAACCCGGAAGTGTTGACTTCTTCCTTTCCCTCATTCACGTCCCCAACACTGCTACCATTGTATACCTTTTGTGTACTTGACTACTTCGATAAATGCTCGTTTTCATCTTCAGTATTTAAAATATTCCCCGAAATATGGGGGAAATTGTCCCCAAAGGACAAATAAAACCAGGAACAAAAGTTGCACTCCTATGCACATTTACCTAGTAATAAACACCATTGCTAGTTTCAGAGCGCATTTGCAAAGGAGTGAGTTGCATTACCTTTTTGTTTGCTGCCATCCTCTTTTACTTGTGAAGGAATGTGTACTACAGTGTCGTGTGAATAAGCCTGCTTGGGGGGGGGGGGGGGAGGGATGAGAAGGTAAGAGAGAAATATAAAATAAGCTTTCATGTATTTTATATTTCTCAAATAAAATCACACTGTTATTTAATTCCAGAGGGTAGCATTATGCCATCTGCTTAAATCACAATAAATCTGTTCATTTTTAAGGTCTGGTTTTATTACTATATAACTGTTCCTTATGTGCCAAATGTATAGAATATATAGCAGATATGCTGAATAGGTACATTTAAAGCAGCAATCGACAATATTTGACCTGCAAAGCCTCCAGTACAATTGCCAGGCTGCAAACATCTTAACAGCTCAGTTGTTGCTGTTTTTAAAAGCTTCTAAACATGGTTTGCAGAGAAGTTTAAGAAAATGAAACACTAAGGTTATAAAAGGAGAGGGAAACAATGAAGTAAAAAGAAAGGCAGAACAATTTTGTCTCAGCTATCACAAATTACAAGTCCTTAAAAGCACCCAGAAACATTTTCAACATATTTCAGTTTGACAGCTGTCACTTCAGAATTACAATACTGTGAAGCTGATAAAACTCATCTTGGGTGGTGGTTGCAATACAGACACAAAGGCAATATGCAAAAGAGAAATACAAATGGACAGTCTTCTGATATTTGGTAAGCAAGGCGTATGGGAACAAGCATATGAAATATCCTCTGTAGACCGAAGAACAGAATACCACTGTGCTTACCTCTGGAGGTAACTCTGAGGGCTCGCTATCTTTTTCAGTTGACAGTAGTTCTGAATGTCTACCGGTATACCTGCTTACAACACCTAGAAGAAATGTCAATTCACTGGGTTATATCTCGATTAACTGCTATCTTGCTTATAGCGCTCATACTTGCAGAGCACTGATCAATCAATCAAACCTTTATTACGGTCATAGAGCAGCATAAGTAGGGTGGGGTACAATCATTTAAAATCTGTAAAACATATTGGAAAGCTAAAATTATTAAAAGAGAGGGTATATATAAAAGACGATAAGAATCTAAAAGAAGCTAAAAGAAGGGTTAGGAGCATTAAACGGATGCGGAAGAGCTCAAAAGGTTAGTATATACAGTAAAAGGCTATGACTATCAATTTACAAAGCACTCTGATATGGGTGTTCATTAAATCTAGTTTGTGGCGCAGGTCATCAACCAACGAATTTTGAACGCTACCGTGCAGAACCTGGCAACACTGTACAGTGGTACCGCGGATTATATACGCTTCAGGTTACATACGCTTCAGGTTACACACTCCGCTAACCCAGAAATAGTGCTTCAGGTTAAGAACTTTGCTTCAGGATAAGAACAGAAATCGGGCTCCGGCGGCGCGGCAGCAGCAGGAGGCCCCACTAGCTAAAGTGGTGCTTCAAGTTAAGAACAGTTTCAGGTTAAGAACGGACCTCCGGAACGAATTAAGTACTTAACCTGAGGTACCACTGTATGTTGTAGCAGGGTTGGTATCTGAAAGCAGCAGGGAGGTATAGAATTGTCCTGTGTGCGCTGGGTACTTATGGAGTAGTGGGGAGATGAGGCTAATATGAATGTCTCTATAATATAGGCACTGGAGAGGCACATGCTCTATTATTTCTATCTGTCCAGAATCACAGGGGCATTGTCTCTCCGAGGAAACAATCTTCCTATAAGCAGAGTACTAAAGAGAACTACAGAGCCTGTACATGCCATCAACACATACCATTGTAATGTAGGTTATAATCCGTTAAGCTAAACAGCAAACACCGTCCCGTCTTCACTGAAATCCTCCAGAATCACTCAACCAATCTACACCCACTTGGAGCAACTGAAAAGCCACAGCACGCCTGGCAATACAACTGCAGTTTAACTTAACAATGTTTGCCCATGGACCTAGAAACTCATGATGGCTATGCTCTGCCTCACAGCATTGCTCCTGAATATGAGTTGCTGGAAACCACAGGGGAGTGCTGTTCTTATGTTCAAGTCTTCCAAGGACATAGCTGCCTCATACTAGGAAGTCTCTCTTACCTCAGATAAAACACAGTACAGTGGTACCTCGGGTTAAGAACTTAATTCGTTCTGGAGGTCTGTTCTTAACCTGAAACTGTTCTTAACCTGAAGCACCACTTTAGCTAATGGGGCCTCCTGCTGCTGCCGGGCCGCTACTGCGTGATTTCTGTTCTCATCCTGAAGCAAAGTTCTTAACCTGAAGCACTATTTCTGGGTTAGCGGAGTCTGTAACCTGAAGCGTCTGTAACCTGAAGCATCTGTAACCCGAGGTACCACTGTAAAGGTGGTCAGAGTGGCTGTGAATCTGTCACCACTCTGACAATGCAAAGGGAAAGTAAGAGAAGACAAAACCAGATGTGATCAAATAGATATGATAGATTTGTTTGTTTGTTTATATGTATGTATGTATGCAAGCCCACGGTTAGGGGCGACTTGTTTTGATTTCACGTAAGCCACTCTGGAAGCATTTTTGGCTGAAGAGAGGGGTACAAATGATCTGAATAAATAAATGTGATGGGGAGTTGACGACCAACATTCATAATATACTGGACATTTTCCTCATCAGCTAAATGAACATATTTGACAGAATCTGTACTAGTTATGACCTATAGAGAGACAACAGCCTCAGACAAACCACAACCGATAACAAATGAAGTTTTTGACTAACTTCAAAAAAATTAAAACTGCGCAGGGCTACAGACATACCCTCCGTTACATCTCCAGAGGTTGCTGCTGTTGGCTTATGAGATGCAGGTTTGTTGGCCAACAATGCTGGCGGAATATCAGCTGCACCATCAACTGTCAACACAGCACATTCTGGACGACGGGGTGGAGGCACTTCCCGAAGCTTCTTCACAGAAATGCGTATTCTTTTCTTGGTGCAAGTAGCAGGCTTGCTGTCAGCGGACACAGCTGTCCGAGGGTCAATGGGCTTCTTTTTCATGGGGAAGCTGGTGGAGCGGACGAGAATGTCACCAGCAGTGAGGCTATCAGAATAACTCTTGTTCACACCAGACGTCTCTTCCACTTCCATTAACAGCTCACGGCACAGGCGTCAGTTTCTATGAAACAAAACACAAGATGACCCACAATTTCACACATAGCAAATGGAGAAAAGGGAAACACAGGTGCAAGGATTAGGATATCAATCACTTATTGCTGTGATTATGACAAAATTAAAGGTAAATGTAAAGGACCCCGGAAGGTTAAGTCCAGTCAAAAGGGACTACAGGCTGCGGCGCTCATCTCGCTTCAGGCTGAGAGAGCCAGCGTTTGTCCAGCATGACTAAACTGCTTCTGGTGCAATGGAACACCATGACGTTTTATGTACATTTTATGACAAAATGTACAAGATGCTCAAAAGATAACCCCCTTCACCCATTTAAACAAAGGGGTACTGCATGTCATCCTCGCGTGCCAAGGGATGTTTTGTTTACAGATGATCTGAGAAGAAAAACATGCACAGTAGGCAACTGTTAAGTCTATCTGAAATGACATCCTACAGAGAAAAAACTAAACTGTGATCCAACCAACTTGTATAGAAGGATCGTAAGGCTCTTGTTCACAGACACAATTCCCTCTCTGCCATATCCCTATACGGCAAAGGTTGCAGAGTTAACAGAGATCCTGAAATGGGATGTGGATAGAGTGCAAGAGTCTTATGTTCCTCTACTTCTACATGGGTTACGACAATTTCAGATGGCTTCACAGAAGGCAATAATTACCTCCAAGTTCCTTGGGGAAGGAAGACATGGTATTCATCTATAAAGGCACTCAACCCCTTGAACCACAAGGAAAATGTCATCTCCTCAAGATGAACACAAGGGGTCCTAGGCATGCAAACACTTTAGAATTAAAGAACTGTTCTAGGCTTCACCGGACTTAGGTCTGTCAAATGAAAAATTCTGTTTCTGTCGCCCACACTGCCGTAAATCCAGTGCTGGCTGTATCCAAAGGTATGCCATCTGAAAGTTCGCTTAATTTGTTTGTTCGACTGTCAAATGTACACTTGAAGGAGCATCTCCATCCCCATCGTCCAGCCCAGACACTGAGGTCCAGCTCCGAGGGCCTTCTGGCGGTTCCTTCACTGTGAGAAGTGAAGCTACCTAGAACCAGGGCCCATCCTGTGGAACACTCTCCCATCAGATGTCAAGGAAATAAGTAACTATCTGATTTTTAGAAGACATCTGAAGGCAGCCCTGTTTAGGGAAGTTTTAAATGTTTGATGCTTTATTATGTTTTGATATTTGTCCGAAGCTGCCCAAGGTGGCTGGGTACAAATAATAAGATGATGATGATGATGATTCAGGGCTTTTTTCCCCCAGCCAGAACTCGCTGGAACAGTTCCGGACGGCCTGTCAGGTGCGTGCTGTTGCCTTTCTAAGAGAAAAAGAAGGAGGTGTTCCTGATGAGTTCTGGCACCTCTTTTTCTAGAAAAAAATAGGTTATAGATTTGCACACTGCCCCTTCATCCGAGGATCACAGGGCAGTCAGTAGTGATGTATGGAAGTGAGAGCTGGACCATAAAGAAGGCTGATCGCCGAAGAATTGATGCTTTTGAATTCTGGTGCTGGAGGAGACTCTTGAGAGTCCCATGGACTGCAAGAAGATCAAACCTCTCCATTTGAGGTTTTGATCTCCAAGGAAATCAGCCCTGAATGCTCACTGGAAGGACAGATCCTGAAGCTGAGGCTCCAAGACTTTGGCCACCTCATGAGAAGAGAGGACTCCCTGGAAAAGACCCTTATGTTGGGAAAGATGGAGGGCACAAGGAGAAGGGGACGACAGAGGACGAGATGGTGGGACAGTGTTCTGGAAGCTACCAGCATGGGTTTGACCCAACTGCGGGAGGCAGTGGAAGACAGGAGTGCCTGGCGTGCTCTGGTCCATGGGGTCTCGAAGAGTCGGACACGACTAAACGACTAAACAACAACAAATAAAAGCACAAAGAAGCACACAAAGAACACAAAACAATAACCTTCCCCCCCCCCCGGTGCCCCATTTATATTCCATGTATTTAAAAGCGGGTGCAGGGAAAGAGGTGGCGAAGGGGGGGGTCCCCCTAAAGCTCTGCCTCTCTGGAGCTCACCTTCCATCCTCCCCCCCCCCCACTGAAGACCCCCCTCCCTTTCCCTTCCTCCCTCCTCACAGCCACCCACCGGGAAGCACCGCCTGTTGCCATGGTAACAGCAGCACCGCCAACCGGGGCTCCCGCCGCTCCCAAACGGACACATTCAGCCCAGCCCCTTCCTGCGCCTGCAAAACAACTCAGAAAGCCGGACGCTAAGCGCGCGTGCGCCGCTTATTTTAAAAGGAGAAGGGAAACCACGCATGCGCACAACCCACGCCCATCGTCCGCACGCGGGCGCCTCCCTCTCGCGCCTCTTTCCCCGCCCGCCCGCGCTTGGTCTGTGTCACTGGAAGAAGTGTCCGGGTAGAAACTAACCCCACTGCGCAAGCGGCCCCACCCTCCTAAACTCTCTCTCATTATCGCGCCTAACCTGCCGAAGCCCTCAGGCCCCGCCCGCTCTCTCGAGTTTGCCAGGCTCGCGTCGCTGGGGTAGGACTTGGGTGTGTGTGGAGGGGGGGCTGTCTAAAGGGGAGGGCGCGGGGGACCCTTTAGGGCGACGCACCCCGCGCGGCAGATGGAAGGTAAAGCTATCCTAGAGTCCGCCGGCGCTGATTCGTCTCCAGCACGAGGGTAATGTAAGATGGGGCGAAGGAGCATTGGGGAGCCCGGGGAGGGGAGACGGTGCTTGCGGTAAGCGCAGGCTGTGGGGGGAGATGAGTTTGTGGGGAAAGGAAGGGCGTGGGAGACCCTAGGGCCCTAGGCGCTGAACAGGGTTGCCATCTTCTTCAATCAGGACTGCGCCTGTGCCTTTAATAGCGGCTTCCCCATGGTAAATCTGCAAGGTGGAGCTTCTCTTAACGGGGAGAGGAAATCCCGCGCGAGAGCTCTGGTTGCATGGATTTCCAAAGCAACCCGGGGCAGGGTTCTTCTTAGGGGCGTAGTTGGACCCAGGGGTAGGTGGCCACCCTGGGGTGAAAGGGAGAGGGAGAAAGAAGCCAGGAGGGGGCGCCAATGGGTTCCCTGCTTATGAGTTCCCTGCTGACTTCCAGCGCTGCTCCTCTAAGGAGGAGGGAAGGTTGGAAGCATGACCTTGGCTGGCTCAAAAACTGACACTACATGCCCTTCCCTTTGGGGAGGGACCTAAGCAGCCGTGGGGTCGGGGGCTTGCATCTGGGAAGCCTGAACTCAAATCCCACCTTGGGTACGCTGCATATCTCTGTATTTCAAAGCCTCTGCCTTAAAAATAAAGTCAAACATGATATCACTGATTCAGACAATTATGGGTGAAAAATGTGTACCTGCTGCCATATCATAGCTGTGGTTAGGGAGTGTGTGGTGTTGCACATGTGTATTACATTTTTTACATGTAAAGGGAACCACCACCCCCAACTTGTGAAAGAACCCATACAGGGCTGCCAGAAGATAAACTTGATAAAGATGATAAGCATTCCCATTTATTTGGCACTTTAAAAATGTATCAATATTTATTTGATATCTGACCTTTTTTCATCATGGAACTCAAGGCAGTATGCATGTGGTTCTCAGGTAGTTACTCATCCAAGCCCGAACCTGCTTTGCTTCAGGAAGGTGGTGGCCTCACATGCCTTGAGGCCACACCCTGAGACCTGACTGACAATTGCTGTCCCACAATTGCACATACTTTTCTTTCTGTGCATAACCGTATATTACAGCAGAGTTCTCGCATCGTATTTCTTAGTTCATTTGGGGTATTTATATTCAATATTTGTATACTGCCTTCCATATATAATAACCAAATTGTGCACAAGAGTACAAGAGGATTACAAAATTTGGAATAAAACAGCAGTTGCTAGGTGGGTAGTTAAAATAATTCAAATGGTATTAGTAGCCAGCAAAGGCTTCCAAGAACATATATTCCCCCCCAAAAATGAACAAGATTTAGGCTGCTGTGTATTACATTTCAGGCATAAACATTTCTGAATGATTGTTGATGTATACATCTTGTGTTCACTTTAGGTGGCAGTTATCTGAGCGCTAAAATATGGCTGGACAAATATCAGAATCTGATCAGATCAAGCAGGTAAATGCTGTAGCTCCAAAGGGTGCTTTTGAAATGTCGGTGTACCTAACACTTTGGCAATTTGTGTGGTTTTAATAGCTGTATGTAATAATGTATTTATCAGCACAGAGCTGATGCTCATTATATGCTATGTTAAGTATATTTCCCTCGGATGCATGTTGCCCCTGCCTAAATCCTTGTGTGCTAATTCTTCAAATAAAGCAGGAGTGAGGAACCTTTTGGGCTCCACAGGCCAGGTCTTTATCAGGATCGGCCTGTCAGACCAAATTTGACAGGTGACTACCCAACTGTCAGTCACATGATATCATTATGCCAGCAAATGATTGACAGGTAAACAGCCCTTGTACACCTGTCAGAATCCCTTGCACCTACTGCTGCTGTAGGGAAAGTGGGAATTAAGTTCTGGTGCTTTGCCAAGTAGCAGAAGGCGTTTGGGAACCCTGCTGGCTTCCTTTTCTACCTTATAAAGTGGGGACAAGACCAGACGCTTTCTCTCTCCCCTATTGGGAGACAAGAGAGATAGCTCTACCCTGTGGAGGAAGGGAAAGAAAGGCTTTTCCAAGTCTTGCTCCTTCCTCCATTAAGTTCCCCAATATCAGGGACTTGAAGCAGGAGGGGGCAGATGGGGAAAAGGCTTTGCGAGCCTCCCCCTCTTCCCACTTTTAAGTTTCCAGCATTGGGGACTTGAAGGATTAGATGAGGAGACTTGTAAAGGCTTTTCCAAATCTCCCCCTTCCTTCTCTGTGTCCAGTGTCAGGAACATAATGGAAAAGGGAGGAGACTTGAAAAAAGCTTTAAGATGGCCTTTTAGCAAATAGTAGCTTATGAGCTGTCTTAATGCCTCTGCCAAAAGCCTTTTTGAAGTATCTCCCATGCATGAGCTGCTACAAAAGGTGCTTTTGCACAGGGCTTGAATCACCATTCAGCTGATGAGTAGGGATTAAATCCTTCTGCCTTGGCTGTGCAAACCTGTTCCTTGCCAAAAATACTATCAAGCAGCCAATGCAGGATTAAACCTGGTTCTCACGCTCATCTGCTGATGTCACCAGTGATGTCAGCTAATGGGCAGGTGTATATGGTGTGAAGAAAATGGCATCCCAGGCCACGATTGGCCCACAGACAGAGATTCCCCACCCCTAAAATAAAGGATCTGCCTAGTTCTGAAGATCTCTCTTGATTTATTAACAGTTCAAGGAATTTCTTGGGACATATAACAAATTGACAGAAACCTGCTTCCTGGATTGTGTGAAAGATTTCACCAGCCGAGAAGTCAAGCCAGAAGAGGTATGCAGCTATTCTATGCCCTTTGGACTTGTACCTGGTAGAACTTCAGTGTAAATTTGCACGTTAATCAAGAAAGCTAGCTAAACCAAACATTTCAAAAGAGATGTACAGTGGTGCCCCACAAGACGAATGCGTCGCAAGACGGAAAACCCGCTAGACGAAAGGGTTTTCCGTTTTTGAGTTGCTTCGCAGGACGAATTTCCCTATGGGCTTGCTTCGCAAGACGAAAATGTCTTGCGAGTCTTGAGATTTTTTTTTCGCTTTTCCCCCTCTTTATCTAAGCCGCTAAGCCTTTAATAGCCTTTTAGCAGCTAATCCGCTAAGCCGATAAGCCTTTAATAGCCGCTAAACCGCTAATAGCGCTAATCCGTTAAGCCGCTAATAGGGTTGCTTCGCAAGACGAAAAAACCGCTAGACGAAGACACTCGCGGAACGGATTAATTTCGTCTTGCAAGGCACCACTGTAGCTCTTCTGTTTGTGTGGCTCTCAGGTCAGATATTAATTGGATTGAATAACAATAAAAGGGCCCTGCTGGATCAGTCCAAGGGTCCATGATATTCACTCACACAGCTCCCTTATTTGTTAAATGCTAGAGTGAATGACAAAAAAGATTCAAAAGATTGAAGCCCTACAAAATTGTTAATGGCACATTGTCATCAAACACTGGAAGGCAAAGAAAGCACTGAACGACAGAGACAGATAAACGTTATGTATTTCCCTAATGTGGGTTTGTTTCGAAACTGAGTCAATGTTGTGTTAAAATTCTAGCTCAGTGCTAAACTAAAAAGGGGAGCTTTGGCAAAGTGGTACATATTTGTGTTCAGTTTTCCCATTTTCCCAGAGAAGCAGTGTATTTAACCCTCAAAGTTTATTATACATTTTCATTATGTTATTAGTATGTCTTAAAATTGCCATGGGAAGATAACTTCATATAGGGTAAGGTTCAAATGTGAAAACGCAAATGATTTCCATGTTCAAATTACTGAATTTTTTTTTAAATGTGAGTGACTACAGGGTTCTTCCCATCTCTCCCTTCTTGATATAGATGACTTGCTCAGAGCACTGCTTACAGAAGTATTTAAAAATGACCCAGAGGATATCTATGAGGTTTCAGGAGTACCACATTCAGCAGAATGAAGCGCTGGCTGCCAAAGCAGGACTTCTTGGCCAGCCTCGCTAAAAGGCAGGGGCTGCCTTTGTGAAGGAGTGCCAACGTTGATTGCATTGCACACAAAGGTGCATTGGTCCCCACCGCTGCTGCAGCAACATCCACCAGCTCAGAACAGAAGAGCTCAGGAAACAACTGAACTGTGGAAACCACCAGGAGCTGCAGTTGGGGTTGGCAGTGGCTGCAGAGCTGATGGAGTCTGTTCCGAGATTGTCTTCTATTGTGCATTGAAATAATGTTGATACCACCTTTTTTCTGGAGGCTTACAGATTTGCTTCTGACCGTCACTAGGTTAAAGATGGGGAGGGAACAACTACATTTTAGTTTTTGTTGTTTCTTAATGACTTAATTTTTAATACACAAGCGTGTTGTCCAAAAATTATATCCCAAAGTGTCTAAAGCAAGGTTTATTTTTTATTTAATCAAAGTAAAATAAATTGAAATTACTGTTTTCACCGAGAGTCTTTGGAAATGAAGTATCATAGGCTGCCATAAGGTCCTGCCTTAAGAGTAGCCCCTTGTGCGACGCCACATTCTCATTCAACGGTAGGATCCTGGTCACTCAGGGCTGTCTCAAGCCGCTAGCAGAGGGGGGGAAACATGTCAATGGCATGGGTACTTATGTACTTAAACTTTTGAGTTCTGAAACTTTTAAAATATTCTCATTTCCCTCCCAAGGACAGATTTATGTCCTTCAATTATTATCTTTCTTCTCACCTTTGCACCCCCAAGGTGTTGGTACCCTTTGTCTTTTAGCTTATGGGTAATGGTGGACCACTCACAGTAGACTAATGGAAGCAATCTACTTGGATTTAAGCAAGAAGTTCAACATGGACAACATTCTAATTTATTTAAAGTCGTGGCAGTGTGGGCCCAGTGAATGACTTGGGAACATTGGAAGCTGCAACACTGCTGAAACTAAGCAAGCGTGCACCTGCTTAGCACCTCAAAAGAGTAGGATTTTAATATTAAAAAATAAGTAAATTGCAGTGCAAAGTATGGGGCAAAGTTCAGTTCTGAATCGCACAATACAGTGGTACCTTGGTTTACGAACTTGATCCATTCTGGAAGTCTGTTCTTAAACCGAATCCGTTCTTAAACTAAGGCACACTTTCCCTAATGAGGCCTCCTGATGCCGGTGTCCTTCCACCGTTTGGATTCCGTTCTTAGACCGAGATAAAAGTTCGCAAACCGGGACACTACTTCCGGTTTTGTGGAGTTCATAAACCGAATAGTTCGTAAACAGGGCTGTTCTTAAACCGAGGTACCACTGTACTAGTTTTAGCACACAATGCCCTAAAACAGCATTTTAAAACACTTTTGCCACAGTGCAGAGAATGGTAAGTCGCATTGCATTTCTCCCCAAGCTGAGCCAAGGCCTTGCTACTGGGCATGAGTCCCTTCCTGCCAAATTCTTTTTTTAAATAAAAAATAATAAAGCTGAGCCTTTAATTAGCTGCCTGCCTGTGGTAATAATTAAACAAGTCTCAGCATGGCAACGTACAGAAATCTCAAGGTTCTGTACAAGCCACGAATGGCAAATTCTCTTATGTCTGAACACCATTCTGGTTAGACAATGCCTCCTGTACAACATTCACCTGCGTTTCAAAAGTGAACAAAGTCTACCTACTTGCACTGCGTATGGAATGTTGTGCAGCAGCATCTCAAATATATGGGGGGGTAGAGTGTGCTTCAAGACGTGCATTAGCTGGTTTGGATGTGTGCACACGGCAATGGCATTGGCAAGGTGTTCGATGCTCTTGTTGTGTTCTCCTGTAATTGATTCAGACTCCTAAAACTCAGGTATTTGTGATCCTTGGAACTACAGTAAGCATTTGCACTCCATGTACCATCAACCTCTTAGTGCTCCCACAAGCTCAGCTACTAATTGTAGCTATCTGAACCTCTCAAATACTCTGAGGCACAAGACGCTGCAGCCCACCCTCCTCTGCTCCCTTCATCCACCCCATCTACTATGGGACAAAAACATATTCCCTCATAGGGTTGCCATGTTTCAAAAAGTGAAAATCCGGACACAAAAGTTGTTGAGCTTTGAGACATTTAAGTGATTTTCGTTCGGATGCTGTTTGTGGGGGCCAAATCCCGGCTATGTCCAGGAAATTCCGGAGGTATGGCTGCCCTATTCCTACATATTGTAGCAGGTGAAAGGATCAGTGGAAGGAAAAAGCACCCTCTTTTTGCTCAGGGTTTTTAAAAATTGCACCAATTTCAGTAAAGGCTTTACTCCAAGTATCAGTAACTGGATGCAACCCACAAGTGGCAGAGGTCATCGGAAATCAATATTGTCCCAAACTATGTATTATGTGCAATTGGAGTCTGCCCTTCATCAAGCGGTCCCAGAATGGATTACATAAATGCAACAAATAAAGGCACTGTCTTTTCTGTAATTCGGAGCTACTTCTGAAGGGAAAGGTCAATTCTCTCAGTTGTGATTTCATGTGCATTTAAATTCTTTATTCTGTACTGTCAAGCCTTGAGGGCAAACCAGTGACATCGTAGCAGATCTACCGTATTTTGCTCAGTATTCAGGAACAGAAACTTTCAATTCAGCTTTGTATGGTTAACACAAGATGCCTTTCGCAAACAGCAACAGCAGACAGCTATGAATTTGCCTGAAGTGCATTAAAATGATCATCAGGCTCATCTTTGTTAATGGTATAAACCACTGAGCCTCTTGGGCTTGCTGATTAGAAGGTTGGCAGTTCAAATCCCCGCGACGGGGTGAGCTCCCGTTGCGCTGTCCCAGCTTCTGCCAACCTAACAGTTTGAAAGCACACCAGTTCAACTAGATAAATAGGTACCGCTGTGGCAGGAAGGTAAACTGTGTTTCCATGCACTCTGGCACCTGTCACGGTGTCCCATTGCGCCAGAAGCAGTTTAGTCATGTTGGCCACATGACCTGCAAAGCTGTCTGCGGACAAACGCTGGCTTCCTCAGCCTGAAGCAAAATGCCTGGACTTAACCATCCAGGAGTCCTTTACCTTTATTTTATTTTTTTATTACTGCCTACCTAAGTGGCAATAGAAATGGATAATTTTCAGGCAATTTATAGTCTCTCTGTGTGTCTACACATATATGCATATTCCACAAAAGCCAGTTCCTCTTGTCCTTACCTCTTGCCAGCCACTCCTGTCCCAACTGTATCTCTTCCAGAAAGAACTCTTGTAGCTTTGCAGTATCTTTCATCTCACATAACTAAGGGTGTCACAAACATATTTTCAGCTTAACAAAAAGGAGCATTGGCTAATCAGTTTGAGGGCTAATGAGAATGAAGGGTGTAATGTAAAACAAAACAAAAATGTCTTTTTCTAAGATTAAGCGTTAAGTGCTGGGAATCATTTCTGCAGAAGCCCTTATTTTTCTAAGTACGTAAACCCACTGAGTGTAACAGGGCTTCAGTCTTGGAAGACTCCATGTGCACCAGCATGTAAACAGCCTATGCAGTTGCAGAACTATTTCCAGATTATTCAACCAATATTTCAACATTCAGCAAAATTAATATCATTATCTGAAACTGTCATATGAAACTGAAATATCTACAGGACCAGCCACCATTACAGAAGCACTTGCCATGTATTTGTGACGTGGCCTTCAGAGATTAATACAATTCCCACCCCTGACTTAGAGAATGGGTCAGAATTGGAATTTTTAAAAGCTGTGTAAGACTTTCATTCTTAGCTGAAGGATCACAACTAATATGCATGTTCATTACTTGCATGTCATTGTCCACAAAAATTACAGTGCAAGCCTATGCAGTCTAATCAGAAGTAAAACCCTCCCTTAATTCAGGGAGACTTATTCCTAGGTGTACAGCCTTAATGTATTTCATAGATCTAAGGGGAATCGATTCCAACCCCATGCAATGCAGGAATATTTTGCCCAACCCATAACCTTGAGATCACAAGTCTCATGCTTTACTGACTGAACTATCTTTACCCAGACGTTCTATTACATTTCTATTCCAATACTGTTCCCCAAAATCTGGCTGTTTCTGAAAAATTGCTATAGAAATTATGAAAATTGACAAAATGATTCAGACTTCAAATTATCTGCAGTCAAATACAGCGTGTCTAAAAATCCTCTACCCCAATTTTCCATTCCCTACCATATTATCGAACCACAAAGCCTATCACTTTATTAAAAAAATTAAATGCAAAAAGATTCCCAAGGATCTGCTAAGATTCTGCAAAATAAATCCTGTAGCTACTGGGTGCTATTGTCATATTGAAAATAAAAATTACAGTATACTTTTTATAAAATGGGTTCCCATCCTGTGGCTGGTGGAATTATTTTGATCATACTAGAGTCCAATTTTCACAAGCAATTTTTGTTTTTCAAAAATTAAACTTTTTGAGAGATTTGGGGGGGGGGGGCATGTCTGAGAGTGCCGTGGTGCCTACAGGTGCCATGTCAGGGAAACCAAACAATTTTTCACCTCTGCATCCCGCTTTTTTGCCTTTTCACACTCTTTTCTTCTTTCTGTAAGAGTAACATGGAATAGTCAGTATCCACAATTAACAGCCCGTATCTGTGACATGTTTAAACTCAACTAGCATCATTGCGGCTGCCTGCCTGCCAACCATTGCAAACGTTAAAGCTGATGGGTGCAATTCTGCAGTGCTGATAACCTTCTAGGACAATTATGTGGGCCTTCACTGTAGCATACTGCTGACCAACAAAGCAAAGCAAAGCAAACACTCCCCTTGCTTTACAACCACTGAAAGGCGAACATGGTGATTAGATTAATATGCAAGTTATAGAATGCACCCTTGCATGCCGAATATCCTGGGATCTCCAGGTATATCGTGAAAAGACTCTTGCCTGAAACCCTAGAACAGTGGTTCTCAACGTGCATGGCAGGAGAGCGTGGCCAGTGTGGCAGGGAGATTCAAGGACACTTGAAACTGTTAAACATTTCAGTGTATTGAAATAAAAAAATTAAGGTCTTATACAGTGGACACTCAGGTTGCGAACGTGATCCGTGCAGGAGGCACATTCGCAATCCGCAGTGTTCGTAACCTGCAGCGCTGCTTCTGCGCATGCGCCGAAACCTGGAAGTAACCTGTTCCGGTACTTCCGGGTTTCGGCGTGTCCATAACCCGAAAACGCACAACCTCAAGCATCCGTAACCCGAGGTATGACATCATCATCATCATCATCATCATCATCATCATCATAAATAAAAATGTTCATAAATGTACCAACCAAGCACATACATAGATGTGTGGACCAAATGTCTGGAGCAGCACAGGAGGACCACCCTGAAACCCACCACCCCTATGGGGAAAGGAGTATGCCTTCCACCTCAAATTCCTTGGAGGAAAAGATGTGCTAGGAAATGGAGTCGTAGGACTACCTCGCAGGGAGGGGTGTTTTTTTTCCAAAAAAGTGTTGATTAACACCAGGCATAGGCAACCTCGGCCCTCCAGGTGTTTTTGGCCTACAACTCCCATGATCCCTAGCTAACAGGACCAGTGGTCAGGGATGATGGGAACTGTAGTCCCAAAACACCTGGAGGGCCCAGGTTGCCTATGCCTGATTAAGACGGTTGCCTAAAAGGGCCAGGAAGGGTATCTGCGTAAGGCCCAACGCCTTCGCAAGCCCAATTCTCTCCCGAGGCCTCTGGACTACAACTCCCACCCTCCTCCTCCGCTGGCCACACCGGCTGGGGCTGATGGGAGTTGTAGTCCGGCAGCCTCCTCGCCGGGGATGGGCCTAGTTCCCGGTCGCGGCTCCTCCTCCTCCTCGTTCCCTCTTTCCCCTGAGGCGAAGGCGAGGCCTCCCCCGCCACTCACTCTCCCTCAGCCTCCGCTTGAAGTCGGGCGCGCTGCGGCGCCGGTGGTCGAAGTAGAGGCAGTAGCCCAGCACGGCCAGGCCGCAGGCGCCCGCCACCAGCCACGGCAGCGCCCGCCACGCCCAGCGCTCCATAGCCGCCCAGGCGCCCGTTGCCGACCGCAGGGGAGAGAGGGAAGGAGGGAGGCGAAGGGAGGCGGCGGCGGCGTTGGCGCGTCTCTCTCTTTTTCTCTCACACAATTAAGTCTCCTCAGTAGCTTTAAGGCGCTGCGAACCGCTTCGAGGTTTCCCCTTGAATAGAGAAAGCGGTTGGTATAGAAAGGAAAGATGGATAATGGTAATAGCCTTGGGTGATTGATTGATTGATTGATTGATTGGCATTTATGTCCCACCTTCCCTCCATAGAATCCTAGAGTTGGAAGAGACCACAAGGGCCATCGAGTCCAACCCCCTGCCAAGCGGAAAACACCATCAGAGCACTCCTGACATATGGTTGTCAAGCCTCTGCTTAAAGACCTCCAAAGAAGGAGACTCCACCACACTCCTTGGCAGCAAATTCCACTGTCGAACAGCTCTTACTGTCAGGAAGTTCTTCCTAATGTTTAGGTGGAATCTTCTTTCTTGTAGTTTGGATCCATTGCTCCGTGTCCGCTTCTCTGGAGCAGCAGAAAACAACCTTTCTCCCTCCTCTATGTGACATCCTTTTATATATTTGAACATGGCTATCATATCACCCCTTAACCTCCTCTTCTCCAGGCTAAACATGCCCAGCTCCCTTAGCCGTTCCTCATAAGGCATCGTTTCCAGGCCTTTGACCATTTTGGTTGCCCTCCTCTGGACACGTTCCAGTTTGTCAGTGTCCTCCTTGAACTGTGGTGCCCAGAACTGGACACAGTACTCCAGGTGAGGTCTGACCAGAGCAGAATACAGTGGCACTATTACTTCCCTTGATCTAGATGCTATACTCCTATACTCCAGTCCTGCCGCATTTTACCTTCACAACAACCCTGTGAGGAAGGTCAGGCTGAGAAACTGACCGGCCCAAGGTGGCTGACGGGGGATTTTGAACCCTGTCCTCGCAGGTCTCGGTCTGCGACTTCTGACCACTAAACCGCACAGGTTCCTCCTTGTGAAAAATACACTCTTGTTTTCCCTTTCAGGAGTTTATTAATTATGGCATTCATAACCTAGCCCCCCCCCCCCCCCATCGGCACTTCACTTAATTTCCCACAAGAACCCTGTGAGGCTGGGCCGGATTTAGGTTTGATGAGGCCCTAAGCTATATGTCCAGCTGTCCTTTGACAACAACAAATTGTCCCTGCTTTTTGTGTTGAATATATGCTATATGGTCATTTATGGGCCTAATACAGTGATGGCGGAACTTGGCCCTCCAGCTGTTTTGGGACTACAACTCCCATCATCCCTAGCTAACAGGACCAGTGGTCAGGGATGGTGGGAATTGTAGTCCCAAAACAGCTGGAGGGCCAAGTTTGGCCATCACTGACCTAATAGGTATGTATCTAAAGCCATTTGCGCATGTTGCCATGCAACCCATCCATGCAGAATGTAGGCACCCTTTATATAAAAATGAGCAAACCAGTGATACTTTAGGAAGAAAGCTAGCAGGCAGGGCCCATTGCTTACATCAGATGAGCCTACACAACACAAAACACTGTTTTATTTCACAGTCATACCTTGTTACGTTTGCTTCATGTTACGCTTTTTCAGGTTGCGTCCCGTGGCGACCCGGAAGTACTGGAAAGGGTTACTTCCGGGTTTCGCCGCATGCACAGAAGTGCTAAAGCATGCTTTGCACATGCACAGAAGTGTCAAATCACACTGCGCACCTGCACAGATACGGCACTTCAGGTTGCAGGATTTTCATGTTGCGAACGGGCCTTCGGAATGGATCCCGTTCGCAACCAGAGGTACCACTGTATTTGTTTTTTACCTTATATTTTGGAAATGTACATCCAGGTTTTTTTTCCTTTAATTTTTTTGGGGCCCCCCCAAGAGTAGGGCCCCGAGCTATAGCTTGTTTAGCTTATATGTAAATCCGGCACAAGGTAGGTTAGGCTGTGACCGGCTCCCATCGCCAGTGAGCTTTGTGGGGTAGGATTTGAACCCTGGACTCTCTCCCAGGTCCCAGTACGGCACTCTAGAACTGCTGCACACCACCATTGGCTCTCAACATGTGAGGCACAACTTTGCCCCTTTTGCACCCCACAAATTATTTTTCTGGAGCCACCACTGATTTGACAAACTTTTGGAAGCGGTGCCTGGATTTCTGGCTGGGGGACAGGGAAGGAGGAGAGGGAAGTGTCAGAACAGGAAGGGAAGCAAGTGTATAAAATAGATTTAACATTTTATTTTGCTTTGTGCTTCTGGATGATGGGGGCTTCTGATGGGCTGGTAGGCCCCTGCACCCTTGCCAAAGTAAATGGCAAGGGGCAGAGGCAGTATACCACTGACTACCAGGGGTCGGGTGAGGAGAAGGAAGCACCCACACCACAGGGCTCTCTAGAGGCAATCCGGTGCACGGATGGACCGATTCTCCAGTTGCACAATCCTTTTAGTCCCAATATAGAATTTTAAGCGCTTTCTGAGTGACAATATAGTATTTAGGCACCGCTGCAGAACTAAACCACCACCTTGCAGAGATGGTGTTGCCAAGAGGGGCACCTTTGCTCTATGAAGTTCAAAGCAGCTTCGTCTTTATCCCTTACGAACCTGGCGAAGTCAAAAGAGCATGCATTTCACTCTCTTTTGCCCTCGTGTTTTCTCTCTCTGGGCTTCCTTGAAGCTTCCATCTGGAATTAAGCACTTGGAGCCACTCTCCACATTGTGCTTGATGGATGCAGGCTGCTCTCTGGTCTATGCTTCCCTCTCCAATTGTTTATCAGCGACTAAACTGAAGTGGGGATCCTGACCGGATGGGTGCTGTAACCTGCTGGTTCCTGGATCTGGTTATTTGTTGCACAGGCTGTTCCGAGTTGCATTGCACACTCCCCCTAAAGTATCCAAAGTACCCAGTTCTGGATCCCACCTTGTCAATGGGTTCTCAGGTGGCCTCTGTGACACAAGTGCCTCTTGCCAGCTCTTGCTGCTACACCAGCTGCAGCTGTTCCTGGACAGGGAAAGCTTGACCAGTTATTCAAGCCCAGGTCGCTTCTCAATTTGACAGCTGTCATGGGCTCTACCTGAATGTGAAAGCAGGGTGCTAACGGGCCGGCAGCCCAGGTACGTTCAACACTAATTCTGAATCATCTGCCATGTCACAGAGGCCAATTTAAGGTACAGTGGTACCTCAGGTTACATACGCTTCAGGTTACATACGCTTCAGGTTACAGACTCCGGTAACCCAGAAATAGTGCTTCAGGTTAAGAACTTTGCTTCAGGTTGAGAACAGAAATCGTGCTCCTGCGGTGCGGCAGCAGCAGGAGGCCCCATTAGCTAAAGTGGTGCTTCAGGTTAAGAACAGTTTCAGGTTAAGAACGGACCTCCAGAACGAATTAAGTACTTAACCCGAGGTACCACTGTAATGCAACTTGGGACCCAGCTATGAGCTGTGCATAGTACTTTTTGTCTGTGCTGAATATTCTGAATTTTAAACCATGTTTTAGTTCGGGTATACTGAGTTGTACTCTTGGCTTGCTATAACTTGGCTTGCTATAACCCACCTGAGATGAAGGGCAGGATAAAAATCTTTTAAACAAGGTCTCTGCCCAACACCTTCTCACTCCAACTTAGACTTTTAACTGCAGACTTGGAGGCCTTAATATGATATCCAGTGTTTTTCCCCTCCTCTATTTTATTTAACACTGATCCTGAAGAGCAGTTTTAAATGATTTTGTAGCATATTATGGTTTCGGGCTATTCAGCTAGTTTTTCTTAAAAAGCCAGTTTCAGAAGCACAAAAATACAGCATTTTAAAAATATATCTATATAGCTACCCTGCTTTATCTAGTCCCACAACCAGAGCTTTGTTCAATGTCTAATTGTTTTGAGAAGCAAATTTTTGTAGAGTAGTACCATCCTATTAAAGCTGTTCACCCAGCTTTGGATAAACTACACACATTAGTAGCGATCCCCAGAGAGGATAAACTTTTTCAGCCCTTTTAGTTGGACTACAACTGTTCAGTTTTACCCAACTTCATTTTCATATTTTCACAACAGCTAAGGTTGAGTGTTCTAATGAATTGCTATAACCCAAAGTGTTCGCCAGCACTTTAAAGCATTTTGCAATTTAAATGCATCTACATGGCTCAAGTTATCCGATAAAGGATAAATATTTGAGAATGTGTCTATGTTTCTTGGCCACTGAAGAACAGGGTAGTAATTTTACAACAAAGTAAAATGGTTTTAGGCTCAGATTAATAGTTGCTGAAAGCAATATTAAGCATGATTACATCTGACCAAGTTTTTATCATAATGATAACTTCTTTTATTATTAAAATATATGATCCAAGTTTGCTTTGAAGAATCTTTACAGCACATTATGAAGCCATTATCTATTGTTTGGACATGATGGCAGTTTTACAAAATCAGTTAAAAATAAAATAAAGCCTATGTTTAAAAACATAACCTTTATTAATGCTCTTCATCGAGCTTCATTTGTATCATACATTGAAATAGCTCTGCTTAAGAAAAAGACAGAAAAAGTGCATTTTTACAAGAGTACTTTTTCCTTTAGATCTCTGTGAAAATGGAAGGAACTGGAATCATAAGTTGAGAAACTGATAAAATGGAACTGCAAGAGACACCAGGCTTTAGCTACATGACCATTTCACTGGAGTCTCTCACTCAAGACCTTCAGGTTTTGTGAACTTTTAATATCCTGACAGTCTAGAGAATCTGAGTTATAACTCTACAGTATATTAACACAGAAAAGGCAGAAAACCCCTTTTCAATGTACAAAGGTGAATTTTAAAAATTGATTAAAAAATCACTTTATACACAATGTATATGCAAACTGTCTTAAATACATGATTTTGGGAAAGTTATTTACAAACTGTTTTCAGTCTGTGGGACAATCCACAGCCAAAACAGTCATTTTAACTCTTCTCAATTATGCTCATCAACTTTGGCAGATAGAAAACTGATTTCAACAGTACAGCAAATAAGAAAGTGTGACAAAAGCATTGTAAGGGTAACCAAAGATTTGTTCCTCAAAAGCAACAGAAGTACTAGGATTGCCAAAGTTTTCAAGACAGGATAGAGTTTAATCCAGATGCCAGATTATAGTTTTACACTGTGGAAGATTGAACAGACAAAACCACTTCACATACAGGTATGGTACATGAAGCCACCTGTATATGATTTTAAGTGACAGGTATATTTTATTGAAAGAGTGAACCTAACTTAGACTTTTTCTCCCCAATTTTATTAATATTTTTTTAAAAATACATAAAAATACAACATCCAATGTCTGAATAAATATATTTAACAAGTTGCAAGATACCTTATTTTACACAAAAAAATTCAGCTTTAGAAATCTTGTTAAATAACTTCATTGTTATATATTTTATTTTTTGCCTTTTTGTAACAAAATAAAAACTCTGAAATTACATAGAAAAAAAGACAAAATACTTTTGTCAAGGGATAAGATAGTCCACTGAAAACCTATTCACGATTCCACTGTAAACATTAAACATTAAAATATTTGCATAATCGTGTGCTCAAAAATCCTATAAAAAGTGGAAGACTCATTACAACGGTAGTTTCCAGTCAACTACGCTTCCTTTCACAATTTATTTTGTCCAATTTACACCATTAAAATTGGGAACATTGCTGAATACACACTTTGGCAGGTCTGTACAGCAAGTGCTTCTCCAAAAAGAAAAGAAAGTGGGGGAAAGGGACTCTCACTCAGGATTAAGATACAGCTTGGTGAAAAAAGTGCAGCAATAATTCCATTTTCTGATTAACCTATTTTGATGACTGTTTGGTGCACTTGCTCCTTTAAAAAAAAAAAGAATTTCCTAATAGCACTCAAATGCTTCATTGGCTATCCAAGTTTCCAAATTTGATTAAGTGCCCTTTTCTGTTTTAACCAAAACAAACAACAAAAACAAAAAATAAGCACAAAGACAGGTGTCCAAGTGCACCCACAAACCTTCAGTTGCCAATTAGCTTAATTAATATCCACAATAAAGTAAAAAATAAAAATAAAAATCCACAATGACAAGATGGAGGGAGGGGTATGAGGAGAAGAGACAGACACAGTCCAGCAGTGGAAGAGTATACAGAATATACTTGGCAATGTCAAACCAGTTGAGTGCTTTCTATGGTATTTTGGGATTTCTGTCCATGACAGCGACTTGCTGCACAAGGCAGAGGAGACCAGTATCACCTGCATTCAACAGCAAGCACGTTCTGTGGAGGAGAGGAGGACGAAGGGCTCATTCCAGTGTCTGAAGAGGCAGAGGACATGGAAGCTCCTGTGTGAGACACTGTTAAAAAAAATACAAAAAGCATTAACACACCCTTTTACCAATATATGTAGGTGATCACTGCGCCTTTGGTGAACTATTAAGATCATAGAATCGTCAAGTTGGAAGAGATCCCCATGGTCATCCAGCCCAACCCGCTGCAATGCAGGAATCTCAGCTAAAGCATCCATGACAGATGGCCATCCAACCTCTGCTTAAAAACCTCCAAGGAAGTGGAGTTCAACACCTTCCAAGGGAGACCGTTCCACTGTCAAACAGCTTGGACTGTCAGAGAGTTCTTCCTGATGTTTAGTCGGAATCTCCTTTTGTGTAACCTGAAGCCATTAGTTCAAGTCCTACTTTCCAGAGCAGGAGAAAACAAGCTATCCCCCCAAAGTCACTCATTTGAATACTGCCAGGTACTGCCAACTCTTGAGCCAGCTTTTCCCACTGTTAATTGGAATCTAGGCCTGTTAATGCCTAACGGAGATGTGGGAACCTGCTTGGCCTTCCAGCTGTGTACTCCAAACTCCCATCAGCCCCAACCAGTATCGCCAACGGACAGCAGTGGATGTTGTTTTCCAGCAACGTCTGGAAGACTGCAGGACCCTCTGCTCTAAAGCAAGCCCTCAAACTATGACAAACTATGCTGTGCCAAATGGGGCACACATGCAGAGCAGGGGCTGGAAAGAACCTTGTGGGCAAAAAAGTCAAAAAATATCCAAAACTGAAGAAGAAACGTGGAAGAAAAAGTTGAGAGGGTACAAATATGCTGTGCTACAAGAGGTGGGGGGGTGCCACCTGCACATTTTGGCTTTTTAGCCCCAACTTTCCCAGAGCAGCCACCAATATCACCCAAAAAGCAGCTCCCGTGAGGTGCTGCCAGTCTCTTTGTGCTCAGATCTTAAGAGCACATCCAGTTCAGCCCCTTCACACATTTCAGTTTCATCCCTCCTTGTTGCAGATGGTATACCCTTTTTTAAAAACTGACAATGGCTTTGGTCACAATTCCACAATTAAAATGTTATATAAACACTCCAAACATGGAGAGCACGCATGACAATGTCTGGAAAAAGAAACTGCACAAGCCTTCTGACACCACCACTCACCCAAAAGCTTGTATGTCTGACAAAGACTGAACTTGCCTTCTCTGTCTTTCTTTTTTAATCGTTTTCTTCTCCTGTCTATGGTGGCTACTTCAGACTTCAGAGACATGTAGTATTTTCTGATTTCCTGCAGTTTTTCTTGTAGGAAAGAGATTCTCTCTGCACTGCTCATGTTGTCCAATTCATCTTTGGAAAAATAATAAGTGAAAAGACTTTGACAATCCAGAAGGAACATCCATGTACTGTTGTAACCCTATTTCCCACCCAAATTATCTACTGTACAAAAAGGGGGGGGGAGCACTTACTGAGTTGGACACTCCACTTATACACCCTTGGAGAAATGTTTTGATGGTTCTTGTCCCTCTGCTTGTCCTTATCCCCATCTTTGATATTTGGGGATAATACTCTAGCAGGCGACCTAGTGAGCTTCTGCGGCTTGGAGAGACCAATGTGTTTTACTGGAGTACATTTGCTTGAGCTATCCAGTGCAGGAAGATCTTCGCTATCACTGCTTTGTCCTGCAACAACATGACACAGTTTTTTGGGTTGTCCCATTCCTACACAGCACTCTTTTAGACAACAGTATGCATTCAATATAAAAAACAGTATGTACTTAATAGCATCTATATACCACATTTTAATAGTTCAAAAGTGCTTCAATATATTATTTCAATAATCTTTACAACGGCTCTGCAGAAAGCGGGTGGGGAGGCGAACACAAGAGAAGTCCATCTATGACACACAAGCAATACAGCCAGATAGGCAGGGTATAAAAAATAAAACTATTATTATTATTTATTATTAAGTAGGGCAAACATGGTTGTGCCCAAGTCCTTTACAGGCTTTTCACAGGTATCTGGTTGGCCACTGTGAGAACATGATGTTGGACTAAGTGGGCCTTTGGATTGATCCAGCAGAGCTCTTGTGATGTTCTCAGAATGCAGCAATGTGGGATGTCCATCTCTGCACGTCTAAAAAACCTCAGTTTCCCCTTCCCCACCCCGCTTTTTTGCAGACACTCAACATATGCATGACTGCAAAATGCAAGCTGTCTTTAAGGACATAAGGTTACTACACAATTCAGCTGAGCAGAGAACATTTCCATCTGATCATTAAAACTCACACGGCACACAAATGCTACCATTTAAACCATATTTCCAAATTGGAGTTCTTACGTTTCCTCCTCTAGAGGGAAAATAGCCCTCCACAGAATGTCTTACAAGGTGATGACATGTTTAAGATTACAATTCTGAAGCCTATGTTAGCAAAACAACAGGCCTTTGTATTTCTAGCTCTCATTCTACTGGAAGGCAATCAAGTGAAAAAAGTATTTCATAGAATCAGAGTTGGATGGGACCACGGGGGTCATCTAGTCCAACCCCCTGCAATGCAGGAATCTCAACTAAAGCATCCCTGACAGGTGGCCATCCAACCACTGCTTTAAAACCTCCACAGAAGGAGAGTCCACCACCTCTTGAGGGAGACCGCTCCACTGCAGAAAAGCTCTTTTACCACCCAAAAGTTCCTCCTAATGTTTAGTTAGAATCTCCTTTCTTGTAATTTGAATCCATTGGTTCAGGTTTGCCCTCTGGAGCAGCAGAAAACAAGCATGCTCCATTTTCCATGTGACAACCCTTCAGGTATTTAAAGTTCACCTTTACAATTAGATGAGCTGCTTTGTAGCCATACTGTGGAAGAGCAGCCCCCATCTAGACTCTCTACTTAAAGGTAAAGGTAAAGGTACCCCTGCCCGTACGGGCCAGTCGTGTCCGACTCTAGGGTTGCGTGCTCATCTCGCTCAAGAGGCCGTGAGCCGGCGCTGTCCGAAGACACTTCCAGGTCACGTGGCCAGCGTGACGAAGCTGCTCTGGCGAGCCAGCACCAGCGCCGCACACGGAAACGCCGTTTACCTTCCCGCTATAAAGCGGTACCTATTTATCTACTTGCACTTAAGAGTGCTTTCGAACTGCTAGGTGGGCAGGAGCTGGGACCAAACGACGGGAGCTCACCCCGCCGCGGGGATTCGAACCGCCGACCATACGATCGGCAAGTCCTAAGCACTGAGGTTTTACCCACAGCGCCACCCGCGTCCCTAGACTCTCTACTTAGTACACTGGAAAACAATGCAAGGAATGCATTCTGTCCTGACAACTTTTCCACTATTGCTAGGGAAAGGTTTCCTCTCCACTTTCTGAGTGGAGATCTTTACCCTAGGCCTGCATATATATTAGAACTATTTTAACTGATTTGAATATGTGGGACTGTATTAAGTATTTTTTACACTTCACTTGTTTTCTGGCTGTAAATGTTTCATTTGTTTTATAACTATGTATTTTATTGTTCTAACCCATCCTGGTAAGGGACAGTAAGAAATCTAATAAACAAAGGTTGCAACTTAGCATGTTCTGGGTTCAAAAGTAGCTCCTTCAGGGGAAAATAGGCAACGCAGCCCTCCCTAAATCATCTCCCTAACCACAGCATAAACAAGAAGGCTGGACTAAGCAAACAGAGCAAAATCCCTTCCAGAGAAAGATTATGAAACGTACCTGTCCCATTCTTCTCATTTTTGGCTACAGTGCTTGCTCGTTTTGGAGTACGCTTTTGCTTTTTGGCCAGTGAGCTGCTGCTGTTGTCACCAGGCCTTTTTTGACCTGAAAATAAAATGAAAGGTACCTTTTCATTTTATAGTCTTTAATGGTACAACTGATTTGCCACTAAGCTCTTTAAAGTCATAGGACTGGAAGGATCAACCATCCCCATAACGACAAGCCAGACCATGAGGGATGACAAAACACAGTGTGCCGCAAACAGAAACAAAACACGCCCAGTATATTCTTGGGAAGGAATGGAAGTGAGAATGGTATGGAGAGAGAAAACAACCAGGAAGAGACCAGAAACAATAAGCAGCCAATGAGAATATTAACGCTACTGCTAATTTATATCCTGCCCTTCCTCTCAAAGAAGCCCAGGGTGCCAAACATGTCACTGGTAAAATACAATTAAAACATACAATTCCAGTAAAAGAAGAAGAATTCTAGTTCTTTCTTTGTGGCCTTCCTGCCTGAGGAGGTTTAATGGCTCTTCACTACACTAGTAACCTCCAAGGATGCATTTCTGTAAAAAACGGTAGATTTCTATAGATCTTTTTGGGCACTCCAGGGCCAAACACCTTTAAATTAATAATAATAACAACAACAAATAGCAATAAATTATTCTGACTTGCAACTCATCAGCTAAACAAGAGGGAGCAGCAACTGTCATTTTGGCAATCGTGGTGCTACAGAAGTCATGATTTGGCTAGCTCCTCTCACCGATACATTTCACCCCTCAAATACAGAATTCTGGCCCTCTGATGTGCATGCCTTAGCTGCCTTTTAAATAACCTCCAGCTGCATGCCTCACAGACTGTGGCTGCATTACTCCCACAAGGGAGGAAGGCTGCAGTTCTAAAGAAGCACGTCCACGCAACTCTTGAAATGTACTTGCGTCATATGCGAATTCAGGGGCAAACAAGCTGGGCACCGAAGCCTCTGCTTCATCTATGTGAACCAGCTTAGCATAATCTGCTTATTTTTCACAAACATAACAGATTGAGACCCACACATTTTGGCCAGCTTTTGTGGCTGCCTAGGAAGCCACTCCTCCCCCACCCAGAAGGTCTTGTCCCTGACCTTGAACCCGGGGCTCCAAAATTTGGTGCAAGGTCAAGGACACCACCCTGCTTCCCCTCTCTCTGGTTTCTGGGGACTGGCACAGGGACAGAGATGAGTGTTGCCCCAATTGCACTATGGAGATGACACAAGCCTGGTGCAATTGGGGTGATGATCCCTGTGGGCTAGGGATCAATTTTTTATTTTTTTGCAATGAGCCTCTAAGGAACTGCATGAAAAGGACAGGCCCTTGCTCCCTTCTCCAGCTTGGAATTGGGGTCATCTCCTCAAGCTGTGTCGAACTTCCAGCTGCTCTGAGCATCACTGAAATGCAGGCTGGGCAAAGGGGAACACTTGCCATGGCTACCAGAACTGGGGACTCCTGATGATGGATAGCGAAGTGCTGCTAGTTTACAAGCAGCAGCCAATTCCAATACTTCTGCTCCCAAACCCCCATTTTATTCTTAGCTGCCTCGATGGGATAAAAATAAATGACTAAGCAACAAAAACGGAATGGCAGGATAAATTACTAAATTATATCGAATTGGCTAGATTAACAAGAGGTAATTAGGGGACTCCCCAGACAAGAATTTCAAAAAGAATGTAAAGAATACTTGTAAATGTAAAGAATACTTTACAAAACAGTGCCCTAAAATACACACCTGGACTTGTTTCAGAAGTCATAATTTGAAAAAAATCATAATAATAATTCATAAAGGAAACCGTTTATAAGAAGTAAATACAGAGGCCATGTACAGGATAAAAGAAGATTTTTATTTTGTCGTTCGTTTTATGTTTATTTTATGTTATGTTCATGTCTAATGGTGGTGGATTTGTTTATTTGAGTTGTGGTGGATTTATGTTGCAAATAAAATTAGAATAATGAATGAATGAATGAATGACTAAGCAAAATGTGACTCCTTGCTTCTAATCCTTCAGTGTATTTGCAAGTCATGCTTTCAGCATGTTTAGGAAGAGAGGGATTTTACTTTATTTAACAAAAATTATATTTTGCTTGATTGTAAGCAAACCTCCATGTGGATTACAAAAACCACTTTATGGAAGCATCAAAATGAAGTTCCCATTTAGAAGCTGGCACTTACCCCTCTCCCCGATCTCCCTTTCTGGGATGGCGATGCTACAATTGCTTGAAGTAGTAGTGAAAGCCTCAAACCCATTGGCAGACTCGCTCTCACAGAGACCTTCCTGAGACTCTTCAGCCACGCTGTCCACTTCAATGGTGATGTCACTTTCACTCTTGATGCTCCGTGATTCATCCTGACTTAAGGTGAGAGGAGAGGCCACAGAGAAGTTCGGCTGGACCACGGGAGGTAAGGCAGGCGGGTTCGAAGTGGGGTGGCTGGAGTCCGGTTTCTCTGCTATGAACTTTTCAGGCCCGATCTTGTCCTTTTCGTCCACGTCGTCCAAGTCCACTTCGTGGCAGAGGAGAGTTTCGGGCCCGATCTGAGGCATGGAATCGTCCTCGTCTTTCAGTGCGGGGTTGCGGTTTTCCTCGGAACAATCGAAGTGTTCGCCTCCCCGACCCTGAAGACGCTGATCGGATTCTGCCACCAGTGACGGCATTTCTTCGTTCTCGTTTCTGAGTGAGTCATCTGCACCAAAGTCCTTACATTCTTCTGTCCCAGAACATTCATTTGTCCTCCCCTCGGACACGATATTTGGCACTTCCATCTCGCCCACCAGCCGGACCCGCTTGTCGGGGGATGGCTGTTCTGCCGTCTTCCTTTTCGAAAGCTTCTTATCTTTTGCACAAGGATCTGTTTCATTCTCAGAAGGGGTGCTCAGCCCTTTACTGTCCAAGGACGACGTGTCTAATCTTTCAGAATCTGAGAGATGTTCGCTTGCTGCCTCTTCCTGGTTTAGTGGCGTGCTCTTTACATTCTCCAGGGAGGGGTCTCTTGTTCTGTTCCGCCGTCCTTTTGCTCTAGGTGATTTTTCCATCTCTCTCTTGATATCTTCTACTTGGTCACTTTTGTTTCCAAAAATCTGAACCACTTGTTCGTTTTCTTCAACTTCTAGTTTCAAAGGTTCCAAAGGGTGGAGCTGATTCCTGTCATTCTCTTTCAGCACAAGCGAGATCTTTGGGATTTCTTCATCAGGTTTTTCAACTGTTCGTTTCTCATCTTTTTCTGGGTCGGAATTGGCTGGAGAAAACTCTTCATTCGCATTCTTTTCAGACGCTTCATCCGCATCACTGTCAGATGAAATCGAATCTACAAAAAAATACATAGCACAGAACAAGTAGTCAAGGCACAACTTCATATGAAAGTTGGTATCAGCACTTAAGTCATTCAAAGTCCATTGATTTCAATCATTCTATTCTTATGACTGAGGCCAATTCCCAGAGTAGTTTAGCAATCCCTCTTTCACAGGGAACTCTGGAAAATGTAGCTCTGTGAAGGGAATACGTCTCCACTCAGAACCTTTAATGAACTATGGCTCCCAGAATGGCTACTTAAATTGGTATCATAGTGCTTTAAACGTATTGTGTGAATGTCACCTTAGTTGGATACCCCCCATAAGCTAAAGAGAAATATTATTTCAATAAAGCTACAAAGAAAGTAGGCTAGAACAAAGGTACAGTTTGAAAGTGTCTATAAAAGCACAGCTCCTCTCTCGTTGCTAATGAGGACTGGGGAGATGGGAGTATTCAGAAGGTTAAACTTCTGTAAAGTGTGAGTATTTCATACCTAATGACGCAGCTGCATTTCACCCTCTGCTCTCTGTCTCAAGAGTACAATAGGCCTCATTAGAAGCATGAAGAATCTGTTTATGAGATTCACATTGTTTTACACCATGAAAGGCTGTAATCAAGAGCCAGTGGAAGCAATAGGTATTGCTCCTCTCCCCAACTGCAGGTAGTGTCCTGTCTCAATCCTCTTGCCGTACATCCCCCCTCCCCAGATTTCATAATACATCTTCCCACAACATATGAAAAAAAAAATCTACTCACCATTTGACCCTCTGTCAGAATCCAACATTCCTGAGCTACGTCTTGTTTGCCTGCGAGACATTCCTAAAAATTAAAGGAAGAGAGTGTATCAGTGATTGGGAGCAAGAACACTATAAAGAAAAGGTTTTATTTATTCTCCAAGTGTGTGTGTGTGTGTGTGTGTGTCTGTCTGTCTCCATTACTTGTGGAACACCCTTCCATCAGATGTCAAAGAGATAAACAACTACCTGACATTTAGAAGAGATCTGACGGCAGCCCTGTTCAGCGAAGTTTTTAATGTGTGACATTTTAATGTATTCTTAATCTTTGTTGGAAGCCACTCAGAGTGGCTGGGGAAACCCAGCCAGATGGGCGGGGTACAAATAATAAATAATAATTATTATTATTATTATTATTATTATTATTATTATTATTCGCACATTATGCTTTACACCTCATGCCTTTTAAATCAGAAGAAAAGATTTGCCATCCTAAAGAGCATCATTAGCTGCTTGTTCAAGAGCCTTTGTAAAAAACCATGCACCAAAAATACCAGTCCTGAACTGGAAATACCTTCAGTCCCATTAGGCAAGGGTGAGCAATCTGGCAGGCTGCCGCGCGAGTTTCGGGCTCCTGGTTTACTTTCGCTATTAGGAGTTTTGGGCAGACCACACGACAGGTTTGAGAGAAGAGTCGATTTCAGAGGAGGGCGCCCCCGTTTCACCTTTTGCTTCTCCTCTTCTCTCTTCTCATCTTTTTCACTCTCTTCTTTACTCTGAACACAGATACATACGAATAGTCATTTTACTACTGTGCAACATATCTTAAAAGGATTTACAGAAAGAAAGGGTAATCAGAAAGGGAAAAGTCCCATTTCTGAAAATAAAAAGGTTGTTTAGAAAAATAAGGCTTATGAATAATGCTACATACTTTTGCTTTTTTCTTTTGTTTCTTCTTTGAGCCTCCCTTCTCCACAGGCCAAATAATCCTATCGGCTTTCACCCATTCATCGTATCTACGGAAAACATACCATGCAGAATTATTACTCCTGTTAAAAATGGCTTTAGAGCAAAGGCTAATTGTAAAAAGAACCTCACCCAAAAAAGCATCCCCACCCCTAGATTTCAAGCCTACAAAGGAAGTCTTGCACCATACCCCCAAAAATGTTTTTAATTTTAAAGGGTTAGTTAGTAGGTGAACTATAAACAGCACATCCCAACATTTCCAGTAAGTCAGTAGTCATTTCAGATATTGAATGCTTCTAGGTGTAAAATAAATTTCTTTTTTTCCAAAATAAAGAAACTGTCCAATGACTTATTTGTTATATATATATATATATAAATGTATCTCAACTTATTTCTTGCTTTACAGATTTTCCCTTGCTCTGTGCCCCATACCTCCCCAAATCTGCTCTAGAAGGTTGGAGAACACTCCAGAACAGTGGGTGTGTGGCAGAAAGAGAGGGGGAGTTCCACTGCGCAAGCAGAAACCCTTGCACTGGTAACAGAATTATAGAACTGTACAGTATAGATAACCCCAAGGGTTATCTAGTCCAACCCCTTGCAATGCAGGGATTCTGCCACAGCCGTCCCTAGGTGGGCTCAAACCACCAACCTTCTGGTTAACAACCAGACCCACTGTGTCACCTGCTCCTGCATATTGCCCTTAGTGTTCAATTGTGCCCATAAAGAAAAGGGAAACCATCAAAGGTTTGCCATGTCTTCATTTAACATTGCTGAGTAAACAAGAGGCCATCCATCAAATCTTACCACGTGCGGGCACTCTTGACAGTATCATTTCCCTAAGCGAACCTTTTTGGGGCACACTGACTCATCCCAAGTTGACTTTTAAAAATGGCTGCATGAAGCAGCTCCTAATACAGCCCAGGCAAAACACTTGACGATGCTCACGCCTGATCAAAGCACACCAGCATAAAAGAGGAGGATCAGCAGGACTGAAGGCACCTGCCTGCAGGGCCTCAAGTAGTCCACCTGAACCTTTATTTGCCACTACAATATGACCGCAAAACAAGATTACAAGGTTGACTTTCTTCTCTCCTCACCTTACATTCCAGCCATAATAATGCACCAAATACAAAACCTCTCCGTCATCATTCTCTGTACTTTTAATACTGGCTTCGTAAATTTTCTGAGTTTTGCCACGGCCGTATTTTACTTTCACTTTGGTTCCCGTTAGGCAAGGCTCTGTGTCTTCGTCGCCCTCCTCTCCTTCCGATTCTCCTCGGTTTTCAAGTTCTTCCCTGCAGCAAGACAGGTAACAGGATGCAAACTAATTAGAGGCCAGACGTGGGCAGTAGCTGTGATCCTCCTCACTTACATTATGCTTGCATGGCGGCAATGCAGCAGTGCCAACCTCTGCCTTGAATGAAAGTGACTCAGCAACTGAATCCAGGCAAAAGTGCACTTTTCCAAGTAATGAATCTTGTGCAAGCACCTAATCAATCCCACAGAGCCACAGTGGAGCTGATGGGAAGCGCTCAAGTCAATCCCAATGCAAGTCGCGATTAGCTTTTCATGACATTCATTTTAATTTGTTACTGCTGAGTACTTTTCTCAAGTGACTGCCTACTAGTTAAAGAAAGGCTTTTCACGAACAAGTGAACCTGCCTCATCTCTTTCCCTACACCACCTTTAGCTAGATTGCTGCACCCCATACAAAGTTCAGGAGGAAAACCTCAAGGCAGAGAACACCCATGGAGCCAGGCAAAAACGCTCCTCTTCACCCAGGCCTTTGGCTGATCAATATCCTACAGCATTTTAAATGTGTTTGTGGGAGGTGGGGATATTGTTTTGTTGTTTGTTTCAACTATTTATTTGTGCTTTTGTCTTGTGAACTGCCCTGAGATCTTCTGATGAAAGGCAGTATAGAAATCTAAACAACAACAACAGGTATTTGCCTCTCAGATAATCACTTACATGTAGGAAAATATACACACAGTGTAAAATAAAGCATGTGCTTGCATTCAGCTGCCCACAGAGACACAGCACTCACCAGGACTCCAGGTACAGGTACATGCAGCAAAAGTATGTACAGTACATGTACAGGTACATGCAGCAAAAGTAAGAGTGTAAGATGAGCCCATTGGATCAGGCCCATCTAGTCTAGTATCCTGTGGGAAGCCTGCAAGGAGGACCTGAGTGCAGCTGCTCCTTGCCCACCTGCAGTTCCAAGCAGCTGGTATTCAGATGCATGCGGTCTCTGACATTGGAGGTGGAACGCGGCCTTGGAGGTCAGCAACTTCATTTAATGTCCTTCCCAGAATCAGAAACCCAGGGCCCTTAAGGCAGATCCCCACCTGGTCTGCAGGAGCGCCTTGGTCACAGGTGAGGACACGCGTGCCGGGTATGTGCAATTTCCCACACAAAAGCGGAGCGGCCCCAAGAAAAGGGCATTTGTGCATTAGACAGATCTGTGCTGTGCGTGCCTATATGCACCACTGATGTTACTCAAGAGACAGGCACAGCAAACGGTACGGGAGCATTAATGAGTGCAGCACTGCAGAAGCTAAAGCAGATGTGGATCTGCGTGAAGCTGCTCTGTAACAAGGCAGGCTGCTGGTCTATGTATCCCAGTAACGTATGGTAATCCTCCGATGAAGGGTGGTCTATAAATTTAATAAATAATAACAACAATAATACTCCTGATTAGCAGCAGCAGCTTGCAATATTTCAGGTCACCGTTTTTCAGATTCCAGCCACCAGAGATTTAAAATGGGGAATTCAGGGACTGTAACTAGGATATTTTATATGCAAAATGTGTGCTCCACCCACGGCTCCTCTCCTCATGGTCCCTTGCAAAGGAGTTATTGAAAGAATAATATTCAGAAGATTTGGGGGCATTAAGTTTCTTGCATAACTTGTTATTCTGATGTACCATGACATTTCCAGATGAATGACTGGAGGTAATGCAATATTTAAACAACTGGCTCATTTCTGTCAGCTTCCATTGAAAATTATGCATTGTTATTGTGGATTTTTAATTCTCTTCCTCAGACTTTTCAAAGCAGTCTTGCCTGCTCCTCAATTTGCCTTTGCTCTATTTAGCCTATCACCTCCAGCCCTCCAGAATGCACTTCAGTGAAAACAGCAAATATCCTAGGTTCCGGCCTATTCTGTTTGCTAACCTGCTCTGCAAACCTCTCTGTGCAAATGAGCCATGAGCCAATGGCTCATTCAGTTTTAACTGCATGGTGTTCTAATGCCACCTTGCATTTGTACCCAAACAATTATCTGAGAAACCAAAGGATGCACAGGACTTAGAGCAGCAACCCACTCAAATCAAATCATCATGTGTTTTAGTCAATCAATTAAAACCTGAATATAGGTAAAAGAAGTATATTTTCTTAGAAGAGTTATTTCTCCTGTGTATGCGGGGAAGGAGAAATGGCTCCTTAGGTGGTGCTTGCTACCTTCAGTTTTTATTACGTATTTTGTAAATAAATAAACCCCAATAAAACCAGGCGTACCTTTTTATCAACTCAAAGTTTTAAAAATAAAATAAATCTAACTGGATTAAACAGGGCAATCCTAATAGCTACATCAACTTGAATATTACATCTTACAGAACCCTGCACACAAATATATTACTGTTATACAAGAAGCTCTTTCAAAGTGCCTTCTGTAAATGCCTAGTACAGCCCAGCACCACAACAGCACTTCTTATCCATATTCTAAAAAAAGTTCCCTTCTGATGGAACTGATGAATAAGCTGTGCTCAAGCACAGATTATGCTGCCGGAAGTCACCTTAGATAGGGATTTTTTTTGCTAAAGCTGAACACCCCAGGATTTTGCTTTAAGGCAGCCTAGATTCATGCTTTTGAATCATGGTGCTGGAGGAGACTATTGAGAGTCCATGGACTGCAAGAAGATCAAACCTATCCATTCTGAAGGAAATCAGTCCTGAGTGCTAACCGGAAGGACAAATCCTGAAGCTGAGGCTCCAATACTTCGGTCACCTCTTGAGAAGAGAAGACTCCCAGGAAAAGACCCTGATGTTGGGAAAGATGGAGGGCACAAGGAGAAGGGGACAACAGAGGACGAGATGGTTGGACAGTGTTCTCGAAGCTACTAACATGAGTTTGACCAAGCTGCGGGAGGCAGTGGAAGACAGGAGTGCCTAGCGTGCTCTGGTCCATGGGGTCATGAAGAGTCGGACATGACTAAACTACAACAAAGATTCATAGGCTACGGGTAATGGGAAACTATGGAAATTGGCATATATTTATTTCGCCAAAGAAAAGGCAGGAATTTTGTGTAGAGCTACTGCAGGAACTTGTGGCCCCTTCAGGTATTGCTGGACTCCAACTCCCACTGGTCCCAGCTGCCATGGCCAATATTCAGGGATGATGGGAGTTGTAGTCCAACATCTTGAGGTGCACAGATTCCCGAACCCTGGCACTGAAGCCTCCTATAACCTCCTTCCTCTTGGAGCCATCGTACTACCAAGCTCTTTGTTAGCCGCAAGCTTTTTAAAAAGGATGAAGCCTTTGTCCATTTACATTCTTATACTGAGCCTGCCCTATAAAATGACACCATTCGAGATGCAATTTAACATGGATTAAGGGTCATTTTCACCAGGTGTCCAATTTCAAGACTTTACACTCGCATGCTACAGCATCAGACAAAAAGTAGAAGAAGTAAAGACATATTTCTTGCCTCCTGTCCTCCTCTTCATCTGACTCCTTGTCAGATTCCTCTTCCTTTTTTGCTTTCTTTTCCTTTTGCTTTGGTGTGGTCTTTCTGCTTCCAAGTGGCAGCTCATTTTCCCTTTTTTCTGCATTACTGGACATGTCTTCTACATCTTTGTTCTCCTTGTTGCTGTCTCTTAGTTTGTCCGGCATTTTATCATCTTCGCCTTCCTTTTTAGCGACAGTGACATCACGAACAAGTCTCCTTCGTCCCTATTGGGTTTGGGGGAGAGGGGGAAGAAAGCATGCTGTTTAAACTGCGTTGCTGCCTTCAAGGCAATAGGATTACACAATGCATTGCTGCAGTATTAAGTTAAAGCTTTTTTCCTTGACTAGCGGCGCATCAGGGAATTCACGGACAAGCAAAATATATAACTGAAAGCCACCATCACAGCTTTATGAATAGGTATCTAAAAACATGGATTCTGTTACCACGTAAGCAGCGTGAGCAGCAAAAGATACAACCATGAGGAAAACAGGACTGAGAAACCGTAGGAGGAAATGAGCTGCCAGCTTTTTCCAGAATAAACATTAGCTTACTCTCATTGGCCTATAGCTGGTTAATTAAACCCCTGCTGGGAAAGCAAGAGTAGGAACCTCCTTTTTTACTGTACTTTTTCTTTCTTTCCATTTATTTTTAACCAAGCAAGGTATAACAGATGTCAGATAAAATAAAAGTAGAAAGAGATATCTAGAACTAATCATATAGGAACACATTTCCATTCCAAAGTTGAACATAACAAATTAATATCACAAGGTTCTAAGTGATGGACCTTACCCTAGGAGACCTCTGCTCAATTTCTTCTTTTTCACTTTCACTGCTGCAATCGTTTTCATCCTCCTCATTGCGAACCTCTATGGGGAACATCTCTGGCTCTTCTTTTACACTTTCCTCCATTGGCTCTTCTGGTTTCTGTACTGCTTCTATTATTTTTGGTTCATTGTGGTGGATGGTTCTAAACTGAATGTTCGCAGACCGGCAGTACTCTTCGAAACCATAAAGATACCTACAGGTTTCGGAAAAGGAATTTATTTGCAATGTAAAAATAAAATAAGGCTTTTTCCATCACCTAGGAAGCACAGAGGGAGAGCGCGCACTCCTTTAACACCCTCAAGTTCTGCTCTAACTCAGGAGGAGGTTCTGATCTACAGAATAATTCTCCCAACAATTGCAGCGCTATCGTTCCCCCACGCCACCCTCTCATTTTAATCCTCAGTCCTAGTGGGAAGAAGGTTTCTCTCTGTCTTCCTGGTGTCCTGACATATGGCTGCTCAGTGCACAGAGGACTCTTGGAAATGTGATTCTTATTAGGCTGGCTCGGGTGGCCGTATCCTAGGGTAATAAGCAGAGATATGAATGAGCCTTGTGGTCACGCATGCAGCTCCTTCACTTGAGATGACAAGTAAGGATTGCCTCTCCCAGTACGAACCGACCCAGATCCTGTACTTGTCACCTGAGGCCCTTCTTTGTCTGTCCCCCGCCCCCCGAGAGGTACAAGAAAAGGGGCTTTTTCTGAGGTGGCTCCCGGACTGTGGGATGCTCTCTCCAGAGAGGTCAGCCTGGCACCATCCTTACATGTTTTTAGGTGCTAGGCAAAAACATTCCTCTTTACACAATCTATGGCATTTTAAATGTGGGGAGAATTGTTGATACGCTTTTTTCTGCAATTGTTTTAAAGGTTTTTTTATTGTTATTAAGCTATGTATATTATGTTTTTAATGTTGTACACTGCCCTGGGATTGTCGGATAAAGGGCGGTTTATGAATAAATAAGTCAAGAGGAAGTCTTCAGTTAGCTACAATTTCCCCATGTCATTCGTACTGATTTCCTTATTTCTACGATCTATATACCACTTAATTACAATAGTTTCTAAGCAGGGTACAAGAAGCTCAACACTTAAAAAAAGAGAAAAAGGTGAAACTATAAAATTTCAAACCATGGCTTAATATCCTGTTTTGTTCTGAAGCCATTTAATCACCATTTCCTAGTATGGACAAAATGCAAAACTCTAAGTTAAGTTGAAGTCTCTCTCCTAGTTTGCTTGCTCGCTTCTGTAAAGGGAGGAGCAGAGGGATTATAGGAGGAGATGCAAGCCTTGTTTGTACTTAGGGCTTAACTAAGCAGAAATATGATTGCCCAAATGAGGCCATAAATTCTAGCTGCTGCCAACTTACCATTTTGCTTTTAAATGTAATATTACATTTGGAAGTTTAAGTTGTTAGCCACAGCAGAAAGCAGTTGGGACTGCGGGGTTAGCAAGACAGAAAAATGTACAGCAGCTAAAAACCTGTACAGCACCATGAAGTTATTGTTAGTGATATTCCCCCTTGCTATTGTCTATATTGCCTCCTCCCCCTGCCAAATCCTACTTATGATTTCCTTCGGGTCTAAGTAAGTTTTGAGCAGTTGTACCTTAAATAAAAAGAGAGACTACTTACTTTCTATAAGCAGTTTTTACATTGTAGGAAGCAGCGGAGTTCAAAATAGGAATGCCAAGGTCCATATAAATTTGCTTCCATACGGCTCCACTATCAATCTGTGCGGGAGGTAGAGAAGTATTTTAGGAGTGCAGTAGTGCACATATATAAATTAAATAGAAAACTAAAACAATGTTAGCTTGAAATTAAAGGCTAGCTTTAAGAAATGCCATACTTACATTGTCACACCCACCCTGCTGATATACCAGTCTGAAAAGTTTGAAGAGGTTAAGATCCTTATAGCCCAGAACAGGTGGCTTATTGATAGGAGTTCCTAATTAATATAAAAGAGATATCAAAAGAAGCATTTATTACACAGGCTTTGCACTTTTACTCTAAAGCACATACCTACACTTTACAGCTTATAAATAGCCACTTGCCTGATGTCATCTCCAGGCACCCAAGCTGGTCCCATTATTCCCCTCCAGCCTACTAGACCACAATCAATCAACAAATATTGGGAAGTGAATTATTATTATTATTATTTGGCTGGTAAGTTATTTGCATGGCTACATTATAGGCTTCTTCTAACTGCTTGGCTGTGAGCATCTCGAAGCAGAAGTTGATACCTGGTGCCTGCTTTGTAAAACAGATTCTTCTAAATAGGATACAGACTGGCTTTGAGATAATGATGTGTCAAGTTAAATGTCACCTTTAAAGGTAATGGAAATTCCAACCTCTTCTCCCTTCCGGAGTGGGGCATAAATAGACTCAACAATCAATTAGTAATTTGACAGAATCATTTTTTGCAAATAAGGAATAATTTTTTTAAGAGTTGAGGATACAAGCAGCAAAAAATGGAGGGTGAAATGACCATTAAGAGCTTAAAAGCACAATCTTAACAGTCTACTCAGAACCAAATCCTCCTGAACTCAATGGGGCTTACTTCTAGGAAAGTGGAATCAGGATTGCAGCCTAATATTTTATTAGGTTCAATTAGGACCAAGGCTCAACTATAGAAAACCACTCAAATTGGTGCAAAACACTGTGGATGGTAGATTGGGACAGGCAATCCCCAGCACCGAGTCCTTCAGAACTCAGAAGGTCACACTGGTTGCCCATATGATGCTGGGACAGGTTCAAAGTCTTGTAATAATTTACAAGGCCCTAAATAAGGCCCTTGTATCTCTGCTTGATCACCAAAGTCTTCAGTGGAGTCACTGTTGGTGGTCATAGAATAGTACAGCAAGGTGGGACCCAAAAGGTCATCTAGGGTCCAACCTCCTGCAATGCAAGAATCTCAGCATGGTCCCCCATGGCTCATAGCCATAAGGATCTGCATGCTCAGTATTTGTGGAACTCTCTATTAGCTGGTGTCAGACAGGCCTTCTTCCTAATGAACTTCCAGTGCTTACCGAATCCTTTTAAAAAAGAATTTTAGAAGGTATTTTCATTCAATTCTTATTTTATGTTTTAACTCATTTTTAGTCTCATTGCATTGTGTCTCCTGTATGCCGCTTAGAGACAACTGCAATTAGCAGTATACAAACTGAAAAAATAAATACAGCCCCCCCGCCACTGCAAAAATATAATCTGCAATCCAGGATTTATTATAGAAAATGAAAATATGCAGTGGCCCCATGAAGGCGACCACCCTTAAATATGTGCATGCTGTTATTATGGATGGTTACTGGTAATTGAGATTTTAAGATTTTCAGAGCATAATGCCAGGAAATTAAATGTCAAATCCAAATGAGAAATCTCCAGAAGTCATTTTCATTTCCATCATTTACCAGCAGAGAGCATCCAAAGCAAGCATTCCTAGACAGATCCTGTTCTGTAGCAAGGATCTCAAGGACCTCTCTAGGCAGTTGATCTATGCTACCCACAGCAAGACATTAATATATGAGCATACAGGAAGTTGCCTTATACAGAGAGCACAGATTCATCTAGTCCAGCACTGTGTTACCAGAAATCTTTTTAACAGAAGCTGCTACGGATTGAACCAGGGACTTCCCACAAACAAAAATGAACTAGGGCTTCTCCTCCCATGAGGTATTAGATTAGTTCAGCAACGGTAATTAGTTGCCCAGTATTTTACACTGTATTGGAGACAGATGTTACATGAGACAGCAACATCAGCCAAGAACTGTTGCCAAGGATTAAAAATGAGCAATTTTATGCATTTCAGAATTTGTAGCTGCATGAGGCAAGAGATTTTTGAAGCCTTGACTAACGCTAATAAGCTAACTTCTACCAGCCTGGAAATACAAGCAAGCTTCTCTTCATCATCCTGGTGATGAACAGACAACAATTTGCACTGAGGAAGGCAATTCAATGTCTTATCTGTCCTTTTCAACCAACCTTAAGATGGTTTAGTTGCAAACCAACCTCAGAATCCCAGGCAAACCGAAACACTAATATTGTAAACTGCCCAGTGATCCTTGGATGAAGGGCAGTAGAAATTTAAATAAAAACAATTTTAATAAATGATAATAATATCCCCTTTTCAATGTGAGAACATTCATGCGAATTAAACCCCTTGACCTTGGATCAGTTCAACGCAAACATATAACAACAGGTTTAAATTGGCTAACAACATGATTGCAAACAATCATGCTCACTTGCTGCTTTCACAGCATATAGCGCTTTAGTTTGCTATCACTCTGCCTGGCACTTCAAGTTGCAGTGAATATAAGGAGTATTTCATTGATACTGCAACAGATTTGGACCTGACAAGCCAGCTTTTAATCTTTTGTGTTCTTGAACCTAGACTACCCACAGCAAACTTGATGGAAGCCTGGCCCTTGAAAAGGTGAAGCCACAACATGCACCAAGCACAGTGGATCAAGTTTGGAAGAACTGGTCACTGGGAGCACATTACAGCGTGTGGTTTTTTTTTTTGTTTTAATCCAAATACAAATAATTTGTATTGGTTTTCATGTAAATTCAAGATCAACATATAACACGTTTCTATACTTGGCTTTCTATAACCTTCTGGGTATACTTCAAGATGTTGGTGCACACATATAGGGGGTTTTCAGATGCTTGCTATTCTCAGGTGGGACTCTGTCAGATACCGGCAAATTCAGGTTGTGCAACTATAGCTGGTTGAGAGGTCCTGCACAACAAACCCACTTCCCCCAAAGATTGAAATTTTGCAGTAAGGAAAGACACGGGATAACACTTGCTTTGATGCAATGTCTTATAACCTCCCTGCAAACAAGTCGGGATGAATGCTCAATAAATTGGTCATCTGGCAGTGCCCATGTTCCACCCAAAAAAGGGTCCCACATACCTGCAGATACCTATGCCTCGCTTCTCTCGCATGCTGCTGCAAACTCATTACTACAGTAAGATTGCTTAAGAGGATTCGTTTTAGGTGATGGTGATGCTTAACGTTTGTAAACACCAGCCCAAATGCCTTGCACATCTACTCTGAAGTAAATGTCTCCAAGTTCAATGGGACTTCCCCTCGAATGCACAGGAATGTGGTCTCAATAGCATTCAGAGCACATCACAAGCATTCGGCACAATCAGTAAATATAGCACTGTTAAAATGCACTTCCACACTAGGTTCAGAGCTTCCATCATTCTAAAAGGCAGTCAAGTCTTACCTCTGTCTTCCATAAACTTGTAAAGCTGTTGGAGGAAATTGTCCCTCTCTTCAGGATCAAGCTCTTCCTCAGGCTGCCAAAAAAAAAAGAAAAAAGGAGACACATCTTTTTTTAAAAAAAGTATATGCTTTTGCCTTAATTGCAGCATCATAAGCATTTGCATATGGAGAGCCGAGTTCGACAAATTTCAGATCTGCAAAAAAACAGTATTATAAAATTGGCAAGAGGGAACTATTCACCAAAATACGTTATATGGTATCCAAGCAACTTGATAGAAAGTGTCTTGCATGTTGACGTCTGATGGAGATTTGACAGGATCTGGAGCTGCCGTTAAATGCAAGTGGTCAGTCTTCATTTTGAAGGGACCCTGATGCCTGGCCTCATCCCCAAGAGACCACTGCCCCTGAAAATATACAGGGATTGGCTTATTAACCTGAAAAGCAGCTGAAGTTAGGTCTCTATTAGAGTCACTAATCTCTGTTCAGTTTCAGCTAGAAAGTCATGGAACCACAAGCAGCATTACTTCAAATCTCAACTCACAAAGTATACCCTTCTCTCTTAGCAGAAGTGCTCTGGGTTCAGGGTTCTTTCCAGCCAACTACACCCTTCTGCAGGATTCTGTGAGCTGTCAGGAAGCAGCAGGGAGCCCTTTGCACAACAAGGGCCACGTTTCCTTCCAGACAATCTTCTGAGGGCCACAGGCCAGCAGATGGAGGGGCCAGAATAAAAGCAAACAGAGCAAATAATGTGAATTTTACCTTTGCACAGCAGACTGCTTTCTTCACACACACACCCATCTCTCCTCTATCCAGACAAGGAAGAGGAACGATCAAAGTTCAAGTGAAACAGGGCCAATAAGGGATGTGGCCCGGGAAGTGTTCCAAGGGCCAGATAAGAGGCCTGGAGGGCCACTTCCTTGCCCCTGCTTTAAGAGGCCCCAGCAGGACCACTGCCTCCTTCTCCCACCCCCAGGTTTCAACTGACAAGACACATTCTCTGGCTACTGAACATGCTCAGTCCCCGCTGGGCTTTTCGGCCTCTGCATAGTTTAAGGTGCTTGTACTTCTGAAAACCTTGGGGTTCCCCCAAGAATGCCAGTATCTCTCTCATGTTTCCACTCAATTTCTGGTGGCCGAGTTCCCTATTAAGCGATCTATGCCAAGAATGAAGCTTTCACTCCTGCAGCACGTTTGCCGACAGATTTTTAAATCTCATCCAAGCACGGGAGACACATGACTCTGCTGCTGCAGCATCACACCTCTTGCGGGACAGCTACCAATCCCAGTCTCCCTCCAAGGAACGCAGGACCAGAATACATTGTTCCCACCCCGCTGTGTCCTGATAGCTACCCTGCGGTAGCAGGCGACGCCGGAAGAGGGCTGTTGGCCCAAGGTCACCAAGCAGGCTTCTAGGCTGAATGGGAACTTAGTCTGGTCTCCCTGTTCCTAGCCCAGGATTCCAACGACTACAACACATCCTGGGACAGCTGCATCTGAGATACATAGGTAACTCCTCTCCATAAGTGACTTTTGCATCTATCTACATGCCCGGGGGGGGGGGGGGGGAAGATGGACGGCAGAGAACCCCAGATCACATCATTAATGACAGAAATATTCCTGGAAAGGAGATTTATTTCCATGGGGGAGTTATTCTCCCCTCTAGACAGCCTACAAACCATGATTTTGCAAACAAACATTTCTACTGACAATCATAATTATTTTTGAGCATTTATCGTCGTTCTCCTTCACTAAAGGAACTTTTCGTTCTGAACAAAAAACTAAGTTGTGTCACCCAAGTGCTTATTTGGAGAGTATTTGGGGGCTGACATTATTAGAGTCACTTAGTGTTCATATTCTTTCACTTTTTGTGGTAGGAGAGGGAAGGAAAGCCAAATATATCTATTCCACAGTGCTGCAGGGGCCATTCTGTTCAATGTTTATTTCTCAGACAGGCTCCAGTAGCATCACATGAATCCTTAAGACTTTGCAATTTCTTGTTTTCTGACAGACTGTGTGCACCAGCCTTTATGTTAAATTTTACAGCATCACAATAAAATGCTTCAGAAGTACTTCAGGAGTTTAACGCATGTGTGTCAGGTGTAACTGAGCAAAATGTTAAATATTACACCAAGGTGATCCTGTTACAGCAAAATGGTTAAAAGTAATCTTAGGGTTTCTTTTGTGCACACTTATTTTTATTGGGAGCAAAGTGCTGAATGGAGTTCTGAATATGCACCATTTGATTTAACCTGCTTCACATAAATGGGGATTGGACTGGAAAGGGTGGATGACGCTTGGTGTCAAATCATATGCTTTATGCATACAGGGACAGAAATTCAATGCCAAAATCCCTTAGGAGCACTGGGAAAACCCCTTAGCCTTAAACCTACTAATCTGTAAACAAAGCTATAAGCCCCTATAGATTCCTCTTTGGAAGCAGGACTCTTATTTTTTAATATTTGATGATTGCCAAATTCATTCAGTGATGCTATGGGATACAGTTTTAAATAAAATGGGAGAGTTGTTTTCCCCAAACTCATGAGCTTGACTTGCACTTTTGTGCTTCTTACATCAGCTTGGAAAAAGAAATAAAATGAAAGTTCATCGCAGTTTTCTTAATTTAATTATTTAGTATTGCGGGCCATGCTCTGCATAGAATAAAATATTGAAATCTCAAACGCATAGGACAATCTTATGCATGTCTACCCAAGGTTTAAGCCCCACTGTGTAGATTGGGTGTTACTCCCAAGTAACTTGGACTAAATTGCAGGCACTGTGTGCTACTAAGGAACTTGTGGAATATTACAGGCTCTCTTTAGTAACTACAATCTTTTAAAATGGTTTTATCAGTGATAAAGGAAGTACAGCAAGTGACCCAAGTTTGATTTGTTGCCAGAGAAGTAAACAGGAGCCCTTGTTCAGGCTGGTGAGGAGTGGTTCCTCCTCCACACATATAGCCAGCACCTGCAGAAATCAACAGCCAAATCAAGTGTTGGTTTGTGCTGACCTTTAAAGCCTTAAACGGCCTCGGTCCAGTATACCTGAAGTAGCGTCTCTACCCCCATCGTTCTGCCCGGACCCTGAGATCCAGTGCCGAGGGCCTTCTGTTGGTTCCCTCACTGCAAGAAGTCAAGTTACAGGGAACCAGGCAGAGGGTCTTCTCAGTAGTGGCACCCGCCCTGAGGAACGCCCTCCCACCAGATGTCAAAGAGAAAAACAACTACCAGACTTTTAGAAGACATCTGAAGGCAGCCCTGTCTAGGGAAGCTTTTAATGTTTAATAGACTACTGTATTTTAATATTTTGTTGGAAGCCGCCCAGAGTGGCTGTGGAAACCCAGCCAGATGGGCGGGGTATAAATAACAAATTATTATTATTATAAATACTAAGGAAATGTTACTGGCACTGGGGAAGACCTCTCATTCCTAGTTCTGCCTTAAATATTAAAAGGGTTTTAAATAGCAAGAAAATTTAATAGTTTGTTATTCTTCAAAAGGAGATAAACACAGAATTTGCTTCTGATGTGCAGTTTCTAGAACCTCCCAACCATCTTTTTATAGCCTCAGAGGAATGTGTATATTTAGTGAGAATTCTAAATATGAGTATAGAGCATTTATGCAAAAGGTTTATAATGGCAGCTGAAGTTACCACACTGTGTCAGTATCAAGGTGTTGAAACATGCTGCAAAGGTTTTAATTAGGTTTTTGCATTCCAAATAAACAAGAGCGCCACAAATGTCTATTTTATTTTACTGCATTATTTTATCAAAGTACTACGAAATTGCTGGAAAGAGAGTCAAGTCCATTCTGCGCAGGAAACGTTATGCGCCTTCCAACAAGGACACAGGAGTCAAATGGCTATTGTAATTATTATGCTGCAGTAGGTATAGATGTTGTCAGTCACACGGGCGCTGAATATGTTCAGCCGAAAGGAAATTTATGTTTACAAGGTTAAGGAATTTCAGAACATGAAAGTCCTGCACACTTTTGAAAGTTATCATTAAACAAATGTGTATTTTTCTGCAGACGCAGCTGTCTCCAAGCTTTGGGGAACAATCTGTTCTCCCAATAAAATTCTGTAATAATATGAATAAAGAACAGTACTAAAAGCTACCAATCATCTACAGGAACCCTGGTTTCAATCTTAATCTAGGGGTTTCATCAGATTCTATGACCACCTCCACCCCACTTTCCAAACTCTTTGAGCCGAATGCATGTAGCGTATGTAAGCCCAGCTTTAGAACTGAATTTAGCATGGAGACCGGGGTAATCCATATGGTGCCCCCTCTGGGTGTTGGGACTCCCAACTCCCTCCAGACCTATCAATCATGGTCAATGGTCAGGGATTCTGGGAGCTGGTCCAACAACACTTGGAGAACCAAAGGTTAGCCAATCCTGATCTAGGCTCTTGACTAAGGCAGATCTCCAATAACTATAAAAAGCAAGAAAAAGAGAAAACAAAAATCTGAAGAAAGTCAAAATGGCTGCTTTTGGTGTTTCTGCCTCCTCTGAGATAAACCGTCTGAACCTCTGTAAAGGTCCTTCAAGATCACGAAGGCCAAAGGACATGGTCCCCATTTTTGGACACACCAGAGGATCCAAGGGGTACAATATCTGAGGAAAGAAAGTGCCTTCTGCTATTTTACTGAGTTGCATACGGATTTGGCCTTTTTGGCCAAATCTGAAATCACCTCCTCACCTGCTGGGGAATGGGATAGGTATGGATCTGAGCTAAGTGAAAAAGAGCAAGAGAATAATAACTGGAATAGCTTTCAACCTGATAAAATCTCAATACAAAAGCTTTCAATTGTAACTCAAGAGCAACTCATTAAAGCTCAGGATTAACAAGCAGTATTTTGGGACAACTGCAAAAAAAGAACCTGATCACCTGGATAATGGTACCTTGATGCACTGTTGCACATGGCGGTAATAACAAAGCCAGAAACCAGGCTTTGGGAAGAAGAATGCCAAAGCCACATCACACGCACCATTTCTACAAGTCGCTTCAGATAAATTGCCAACTTGCTACAAGGGCTAGGAAGACATTTCCTGGGTCGAAACTCAGTACTTGAATGGTTCAAGGGACTTATAGTACTGTCAGGGGAAAAAATCAGAGGATAAATAAATATGTAAGAATAAGAATAGTTGACGTATTAATATATCCATGTGGGAAAGCGGTAGTACAGGGGTAGGCAACCTAAGGCCCATGGGCCACAAGTGGCCCACGGGGGTCGTTTAACCGGCCCATGAGCCGCCCCCCGAGCTGCCCATTCAGTGAGTCCCCGCATGCTGCGCTAAACAAGCGCAGCGCAGGGACTCGCTTTCCTGGTGTCGGAAATCGCGTCTGCGCGTGCTCAGATGCAGAAAATCGCATCTGCACAGGTGCAGGAAATCGCGACCGCGCGATCCGGCCCACGGAGGGATCTCCGCTGGAGTTAACCAGCCCAGGCGAGGTAAACCTTGCTGACCCCTGGGGTAGTATGTTGCAATGGGGGAACTGGTTTCTTTTCACTGACCGAGCTCTGGGTTCAAATTCCTACACAGGTACAGTGAAAACTGCATGCAGAAAAGGGGAGCAACAACAATAAGCTCCACACCAAGCACTGCTGAGGCTACACAGGCGCCATACATTTCAATAGGGCATGGGTTTGAGCCTCAAACAATCTCCACTGGAGCAAGTGAAGCCGTGACTGGTGGATTGGACCCAGCGTGTCCTTTATCCAGAGGTGGCTTACCAGTCCCAAGGCCCATTCCACTGCCAGAACTGCAAGAAAAACCACCAGGTGACAAAATCTCAGCACAAAAGCAGGTTTATAAAAAATCGCAGCCCGTTTCGAACAGAACTCCACCCCAGTTATTTTAAATATTACATTATTTTAAATGTAAAAGATTTTACATAGCAGGGAGAGAAGCCGGATGAAGTGCCCCTTCTTAGGACTGCATTTTACTTCTGAATCAAACCACTGAATCAAGAAAAGAAAAAACCTGACATAATAACATAATATGCTTGAATATTTCCTTGTGGGGGGACTGGGGGGGGGAGGAGGAGGAAAGGACTGGACTAGGTTTTAAGAAGATACATATATAACACTTTGACTTAATGATCCAGTAAGAATGATTTCTGCTGACAATATAAAAAGCAAATGCCAGTGTTCCACCCGCCAGACTGATCTCCATATCTTCACTTTTATATAAAGGTTCTCTCCTGCCACATGAAACAATAGATTCTGCATTTCCCCCCTATGCTAATCTCTCTTTCTGGTGTACTTTACCTTCCAGTCTCTACCAACATTTTAATTCCAAGTTAGGTTTAAAAAGAAATGCACAGGAATGCAGTTTTTATTTAAAAAAAGAAAAAGCAAAGCTCCCCCCTCCCTCCTCTTTTGTTTGAAAGGCAGAAGCTCTTTAGGAGCCAAGTATCAGTTGTAAGCAACGACATATAAAAATATTACCCAGGGGTTAAAAGAAGGGGGATCGCCCTTCATTCACTTACCTGCGACAACGGTGTATTTACAAATGCTAACACACACAGTCACACACAAAAAAACCCCTAGCGCAGATTGCAACAGTTCACACCCTGCAAAATGTGGCCTATTCACTCTGTATAACAACATGAGGGAGGGGGAGGGGGGAGGAGGAGAGAGAATCCACATTCCACAAACGATCAAGCCCTTACACTTTGCTCAGTATTAAGGCATGTTTGCATGGAAAGTGACTCCATTTTGTTTAAAAAGCCACTCTTTTTTCTGGCACAGGAACAAAAAATATCTATACATGCATTTTTTAATTATTTTATTTTGCAAGGGGGGAGAGGGGGGAGGGGAAAAAAAGAGGATTACATGCATGGCCACATGCATTGCTGAAGAGATCAGAAAACTTAAAAAAAAGAAAAGTAAACCCCACCCCTCACCAAAAAAAGAAAAGAAGAAAAAGCCACCCCCACGCACAGGGGCCGAAATGGATTAATGCTACACCTACTGAACGCGCGAGGAGTCCTTACCCGGGTGCTGCGATTTCCTCCCAAGTGCAAACTGGTGTTTTTTTAAAATATATATATATTTATTTGCTTTTTCTACCTAATCTGCTCGCGGTGCCTCGCTGTACTTCAGCCTAACTTGCAAATATTTGCGTCCCTTTCTCTCGCTGCACCGAAGCCGCCGCCGCTCTGCAGCATTGCTCCTCACATCCTCTCCCCCGGGTCCGTTCAAATAAATAGGTAAATAAATAGATAAATAGGTAAATGCAAGGAAAGGGAGGAATCGGACATTACATGAGAGGAGGAGGAGGAGGAGGAGAAGAAAGGAGACAGCCCATTTCAAAGCATCTGGTAAGCCTCCCCGGGCAGCCTGCCAAAAGCCTCGGCTCAATCGTCCCCTCGCCCCCGAGCATGCGCACTCGCAGCCAACAGTGCGTCGCCATGGCAACCCCGCAGGCAGCCTCGAAGCATGAACAGCCATTCTGTTTGCAGCCTCGCAAGGCCGCAGACGACGAGGGGGAAGCGAAAGGGAAACACGGCCGCGTCGCCGCGCTTTCAGCCCGGCCAAGTTTCCTCCTCGTCCAGCAGGCTCAAGAGCCGACCCCCCCCCCCCACAAAGTCCACATTGCTTGTCCTACATAAAACCCCCCCCACAAAGAACGACCCATTGAAAAGCAAACAAACCACCACCACCACCACCCTGTGCTTGGATTTAAAACAAACGCACACCCAAAAGCATGTAACTGCAGGATTTTGGCCAGGCGAAGTAGAACAAGCTCTTCCTCAGGGGCGGTGCAATGCTTTGCCGCTGCTTCCCTCGGGAAAAAACATGCACTGAGGGCTCTCGACGTTTCCTAACTTTTTTAAAAGAAAAGAACTGAAATCGAGAAATTAAGAAGCACCTGCGAGTTTTCTTAAGCACACCCAATGAACCTCTGGGGCTTCTCTTGCCTTAAATAAAGACAAATGGGGTTAGGCCCCAAAAGGGCGCGACAGTGCTTGCCTGCCATGTGCTTTTAAAAAGGCCCACCAAGGATGGGGCATGGAAGAACGCCGTGAATAACGGGTCTCACAAACCATTGTTTCCTCCGAAATACAGTGGTACCTCGAGTTACAGACGCCTCAGGTTACAGATGCTTCAGGTTACAGACGCCGCTAACCCAGAAATAGTACCTCGGGTTAAGAACTTTGCTTCAGGATGAGAACAGAAATTGCGCAGCAGCAGCGGGAGGCCCCATTAGCTAAAGTGGTGCTTCAGGTTAAGAACAGTTTCAGGTTAAGAATGGACCTCCAGAACAAATTAAGTACTTAACCCAAGGTACCACTATAGTCCCCACCCCGCCATGCACGAAAGGCAGTCAGGCCAAGGGATTCGGGCTGCTAACCTTCCATGTTTATAACCTGGGCCCGCTCCTATGCCAGATGTGCCCATTTGTAGCAGGTGAAGCCACACGGGCTGCTCACTCTCCAAACTGCCTCCACAGAAATCCCGCTCCAGTCTTGAAGCCCTAAAAGCAGGACCCACAAGCTACAGAAAAGGACTGGAGAATTAATATGTTGCTCTCCAGATGCAGCTGGACCTCCATCTCCCATCAACCTCAATAAGCATGGCCGACGGTTAGGGTCCAAGAATGTCTGGGGTCACAGGTTCCCCATCACTGTTACAGGAGGAGACCCAAGAGAGCAGCAGAACCACCGTCAAGAGAGACATTTGATTGGCAAGCCGAATGAAGCCTTAATTTGTTCTTCCAGTTTTTATTAAAATCACTTAATGCCCTTGAAGGGTGGACTTTGTGAAGGGATGCCAAACATTGCTACTTATTTCTAAGGAAATAAAAAAATTCCTTCCAGTAGCACCTTAGAGACCAACTAAGTTTGTTCTTGGTATGAGCTTTCGTGTGCATGGTATCTGAAGAAGTGTGCATGCACACGAAAGCTCATACCAAGAACAAACTTAGTTGGTCTCTAAGGTGCTACTGGAAGGATTTTTTTTATTTTGTTTCGACTACGGCAGACCAACATGGCTACCTATCTGTAACTATTTCTAAGGAGTGTGCAATGAGGTTGCAAGAGGAATAAAAGGTAAGATTAACCAGGGAGCCAGGAAAGCTTAAATAAAGAAATAATCGCTCATGGGGGAAGGAAGAGGAGCAGGCCTTTTGACTTCAGCCAGGAGTGAATTTCACAGAATGACTATCCAAGGGGAAACCAGCTTGCTAAAGGCTCTCTTCATGAACGCACAGGTAACACTGAACCTGAGATGCACAAAATTGGTCTTTTCAAACAGAAAAACCAACATGGCTACATTAGTAGGCAGTCCCCTCTTTCAGTATTTACGTTCTCTGATAAAGTAGACGGTGCCCCACATACCTAAGGCAGAAGCATTAATGGTTCATTTTCCCACAAGGCCTGGCCTCTGGCACCCTGCCAGAGAGATCCAATATAGCAAATGGTGCTCCTGTTTTCAGATGAACTTCAGATGATGTTGGATCCCAACCCTCGTTGACTTGAGTCATCATGGCCAACAGTCGGAGGTGATGGGAGCTGAGGTCCAACAACATTTGGAGGGCCACAAAATCCCCATCCGTTCTAGGACTTTGCAGCTGGTTAACATCCAGTTTAGACTATTCACAACTCGGTGTGCATGCATGCTACCTTTAAAGACACCCCAGAAACTGCAGTTGGTTCAAAACAGAAGCATTAGGGTTCTTGGCGGAGAATTTGATCATTTTATGCCAGTGCTTTAGAAGTAACTTACATAGTCTTGGCACATATTTTTTTTTAATTTCGCATTTTACATTTCAGAAATGAAGCTTCTATTAAGCCAGAAAGTGTTATTTTGTAAAGAAGGGAGAAGATTGCATAGCACTACAGGAATGTGAATAAGTTATGAGGTGTTTCATCTCTTGCTTTATCATGCAAAAAACGAGTAAGGCTCACCTCTCAATAAGTTTATTTTCATGATTGTAATATATAGTGTTCCTTTTGTAAACTAATTTTATCATCAGGATGGTCTCCCAGGTTTTTCTCACACATTCTATCAGTGTCGGAAGATTTTTATTTTTCCCACTGCTAAGCTATACAAAGCGTTGCTGCTATCAGAACAGTTATTTACCAATTAGAGATTGTTGTTTATAACTTCAGACCAAGGCATGCATATGAGAGCAGTTTTTGAATTCCTTGAAAGTGTATAATCAATGCTTTCATATATCATTTTCAAAATTGTTGCCCCCAGAGTCTTTATTTTTATGCAGTTCCAAAAAAATTCTGTCTTTGTATTTTTACAACTCCCACAATGTGTATTTTGACTATATTTTGCTCAGGCTATAAGGAGTAAGATACTATTGAACGAGTGTCTTGAAATAGTTTTCTTTCAGATTAACACTTAGTAGTGTTGTTGGGGTATTTTAGACCATCCAGACCCATTCTGCTTGTGACTAAGTTAACAAGTCCATTGACCACTTTCTTTTATACATATAATGGGTGCAAGTGTTCTCTCTTTTGAAAGTAATTTTTATTAAAGATTTTCTTTGATTACAAAAGCACATGCATTGCTTTTATTTAATTGTTTTCTTTAAAACAGGGAAAGTGTTAAATATATTTTGTAATTTCCTTATTTTTACCAGATTGTAATAGAATTCCATACATCATCCATAAATGTCCCACTGTATATCTTAGCTGAAAGTGGTCTAATGGTGGTCACCTTTGAATTAAGGCTGTTGCCACCTGTTCATAGGAGAAAATATGCTCTTGTTCAAGCCAACAACTAAGGTTTAACAGGTTATTCCAAATAGTCAGGTCAATAGTTTGCTATACTTGGTTATTGGTCATTTTTTAAAATTGTGGTTAACCGAGACAAATAATTGCTCTAAAACAAGATTGCAAACAAGCAAGGTGATAACGGGCAACCTTAATGTGCTCCTTGCTGCACATAAATATTGATAAATACTTTGACAGTAGGTCTTTGGTATAATAAATCTATCCAAGTTTTGAACTTTCCTCCCATATTAGTTTATTACCCTAGAATATTGTTTGTTGATGTTTGTGATTGCATGGTCAATTTGCTTTTTGACATTATGCTGTAATTTCCTGTTTAATTAACCTGTTTGATCCTGTTTTACATATTTGTAGAATATGTTGTTTATTCACTTTGCAATTAGGAAGGACCCTATTTTAACAACTTGATTTAGCAGAGAAATCAGTCTGTATGGCTGAGGTACCATAGGATCTTTGTCATGTTTTGGTATAACTTTCACTATGGCTTCAGACCATGACCTTGGTAGTAATTGTTAACTGCAAAGATAATTTTTCTATAGTACTATATGATTTATACAAACAATTTGTATAATTCACTGGCATCTGTGTTTACATCTGTGTTCTTAATTTTGGCTGTGTGGTAATATTTGTTCTTGTTGTATTTATGCAGCTATTTTGTGTCTTTTATTGTATATTTACATTGTTTTTTGTTTACTGTAAACCACTGAGAGACCTTTGTTCTGGCACAGCATCCAAATGACAGAAACAAGCAACTAATAAATCACCTGTTGCATTGCAGCCCTGTAGCTAGGAGGAGGCAAACAGGTGTATTGTTGCCCTCCACCCTCAAGAAAGAGTGAGACAATTCAACAGATTAAACTTAATTTATACCCAAAGAACAGTGAGGGCCATAATTTCCGACAAGAATGGTTCCAGAAATATGAATGGTTATGGAGTATTATCTATCAGCTAATGTATGGTATAGCTTTCTGCTATGCTTGCTGAAAACTCCAACCAAATATGTTAAAACAATGTGTCTTAATTTAAGAGGTCTGAAGGACTGGAAGGAAGCACTTGGAAGTATTTTAGCAATGTCTATGCAGCACAAAAAAGAACACTTTGGTATCCCCCTGTTAACTGCTTCCTTAACATTTTTTTTCCTTCTGAAACAAAAATATGCCGTCAAAATAATAATAATAATAATAATTAGTCTGGTAGCACCTTACAGACCAACTAAGTTTGTTCTGGTATAAGCTTTCGTATCTGTATGCTGCTACTGGACAATTTTTTATTTCGACTGCGTCAGGCCAACACAGCTACCTACCTGAATCTAAAAATATGCCAGTCATTTAATTCCTGGTGTTCATACTAAATTTTATTTTAACCTAACCTCCGGGCACATTCCGGGCCCAGCCCTCCCATACTTTCCAACAGTGAGCGCGGGGACTGTCTAGCACTATGCTCCTGCTCTTAAATTCCCCATCTAGAAATATGGCTGCCCAAGTTAACAAAGGTTGACTACAGGGCTGCTGCACAGGCTCTGCTTCAGGGCTCAATTCTGTAGTGCTGGATTTGATCTAAACAGCATGGGAACAGGTTATCTGAAAAATCACCTCCTCTCGCATATATCTCTCCAAACCTTAAGATCCTCCTCCATATGCCTCTGCCAAGTGAAGAGAGGGAGGGGGCTGCAAAGGAGCAGACCTTCTCAGTACTGGTACCGTTATGAAATCACTTTCCAAGGGAAGCTCACCTGACGTCTTCTTATACCCACAGAGGCCTTCCTTGGCACCTGCAGTGTTCGCTCCCTGCTTAAATTAGACTTGAAAGAAGCATTTATTGCTGCCCATAGAAAAGGTTCTGGTGTGTGCTTGATATCCACAATGGTTTCTCTGGGTTGCAAATGTGCCCACAGGTCCCAAAAGGTTGGTGACCCCCATGGTAACTATCCCATTTACTCCTGCACTGCACTTTTCAAAAAAATCAGAGGGGGTGTAAGGAGAGATCTCTCAATGAAAACCTTTTTTTTATTTTATTTTTTGCTTGCATCTTTCTATCTCATTCATCCTGAATTGCTGTGTGCTGCTGTTTTGTTACTCTGATATTGGTTGTCTTGTAGTTTTATTTTAGGATCTAAACATTGTGCACTGTACTCCTTTTAATTGTAATATTTTTTGTAACCCACCCTGGGACCCTCTGGTGAAGAGTGGGCTAAAAGTATGTACAAAAAATAAGCAAATCTTATTGGAGGGAAATAAACAAAATCTGTGAAAGGAGATCAAGAACACAGTGGTAGATTTAAGCTGCATATACACAACAAATTTAAAGTATTTCCCTCCCATCTAAGAACCATCACTCTTAATATATAGTTCCCATAATTCTTTTTCAGGGGGTGTCAGGGGAGAATGTGCTTTAAATGTATTACGTGGATGCAGCCTTAAAGAGCTCTTCTAAGCCATGATATAAGAGCAACATTATGATTTGCTGGGGGGGGAAACCCAAGCAGCTTTATTTGAAGATGCCAAGTCCACTCTGTGTGGATTCAGAAAGAAAGAGTTAGAGGAACTCAAGTTTACCCTGAAGTTTATACCTTCAGTATACCCTGAAGATTGATTCCTTCACTGCTGGAAAGAGTACTGAGAGAAACCACAATTGCTTGGAGTCCTCAGGCTTCATCACTGATAGCTGGGATAGGCGATAATGTAAATATAACCACATAAAATTAAGAGGAACAATAGCTATAACTGGTGAGGTGGGGGATAGCTGATTCTAGGGAGTAAGGTTGGGGAACGAACATGTGATCTGAACCTTGGGAACTTGAGTATGGAAATGCCTGCCTCCTTCTTGAAGCACAATGACTCTCGAGCATATCAGGATAGAAATTCTGCCTTCAATTGTCTGCAATATTTGTATTTTAGCTCTTCAGACTACACATATTTTGCATTAATGTGAAAATAATCTGCATCTCGTCTGCAGTAACTTCAGTGATGCGCAGCTGAGAGTTAGTTAAGTAGCCTTCGAGTGTTCTAATGCTGTCCTAAACTAAAATGAGGTTCAACTAAAAAGCCACAGACATCTCCTAGGATTCCACCCGGTTGGAAGATTCAGGAAAGACAAAAGAAAATACATTGTACATTGTAAAACTATGGAATTCGTTCCCACAGTGATGACCAACTTCAATGGTTTTAAAAGATTAGCCAAGTTCATGGATCAGGCTACCAAAGACTACTTGCCGCAACTGCTCTATCCCTGGGGATCATGCGAGTGCTGTTTCACTCAGGTCCTGCTTTCAGACTTCACGTAGGGATCAAGGTGGCCATTGTGAGAAAAGGATTGGCCTGATCCAGCAGGCTGTTCTTATGTACCATCATTATTACATGCAGAAGAAACATTAAAAAAAGGCTATCGCCATCCCTCCAATCCTGTGGCCATTGTCTACTACGTATAACACAGGGGTGGCCAAGTCCCAAGAGACTGCGATCTACTCAGAATTAAAAACTGGGGTTGAGTTGTTGAGCTTTTTTTAGTGGGAGCCAGTGATCTACCAGTGATCTACCACAGATGTCCAATGATCTGCCAGCAGATCATGATCTACCTGTTGGAAGTGCCTGCTATAACACACACATGCATTTTCCTCCTGGTTCTGCATCCCAGGAGCGCAAAATAATGCAACTATTAAGAAAATTATGTGCAGTATAATAATAATATGTCACAGGAAAAAGCATGCTTCAGTGTTGCTCACTCAAAATCGCCTTCAGTGTTTTTTTAAAGGAATTTCAATTTCCTGAAATAGTAACTCTCTGAAATTAAGATTTTCAAGCCTAGTATTTATCAAAATGTGCCCTCATCTAACCAACATTAATGTTCCTATGGAAAGTAACCTGGAAAGAAATTGCTCAAAGTAACAAATGGAATCCTCTTTCGCAGGAACATGTGAAAAAGCTAAGAACATTCCTCTTGTGTTCAGTATCTGTTAGGTCAGTTTCTACAGTCTCCAGCTGCAGTGGGGACACCATCCAAAGATGGACTGAAATCTTCCCCTGCTACTCTCTCTGATCTCTCTCACATGATCAAATTAGGATATTATTTGCTTTTTATTCCTGCTAGCTAGGCAGCACTTACTCCCCCAAACAGTTTTGGGACAGGGAGAAGTCATACACCTCACAGCTCTTAAAAGGCAGAAACAGCCAGCCACCAAAAGGAGACATGCTTCTTAGAGTGGGGGCATGGGAATGTGGAACTTTCATTGGCTCCTTCCACTGACTGTGTCACCAGCCATTCTGTAGCTCCGTCTAGGAGCAAACACAGCAGAAAATATTGGTATTTGCTTCCATTTAAGTATCTATAGATGGAATAGGAAACTTGTGGTCCTCCAGATGTTGCTAGACTGTAAATCCCTTATCCCTGACAACTGGCCACGCTAGCTGTCACATCTGGAGGACCACAGGATCAAGCTAATTTTTTTTCTTGAAATTATTTTCAAACATGACATTTGAGGAGCTCTGTTATATGTGGAGCATATTAAGTTACACGTGTGTACAAAGGAAAGCCAACCCACTCACCACTACTTCTTCCTCCTTATGTTCTCTTTTGTCTTCCTCTTCATCACTCCCAGGCTCACCGCCATCTTCTTCATCACTGCTGGAGGATTCCAAGATTTCCCGCATATCCATCTTCCAATTCGAAGGTATAACTTTCAGACTGAAGAAGGAGCTCGCCTCTTGTAACCCTTCGGAGGAAAACGTCCCGTGCTTACTCATTCAAGGTACTAAGAATCAAAACTGCATTATTACCAATTGGCGCTATCCTTGCTCCTTTTTCAGCCATACGTTAAGGTCACAAATTCAATATTGGGTTATCAAGAGGAAGGTGAGAAACTAATGCCAAAATAAAATAATAAAATAAAGGGGCACTTCCAAGGGGCATATACCAAATTAATTCTTCAGTTCCTACAATGTGGAATATGTAACCCTCAGCATTCCTTTAATCATCTTGATGTTTACAAGGCTTAGTTAAAACACAACCAAAGCTCTCACACCATAATGTGGGTTTATGCTTATTCCAGACTAGAAGAACATATTCCACACCATATAAAGCTGCCTCAAATGAAGATCGACTATTGGTTCAGTAATGCCGATTTTGAATGGCAGCATTCCTTCCTGTTTTGGGGTGCAGATCTTTTCAAGGCCCAAAACGAAGATTCTTTCAACTGGAGATACTATAGATTGAATTTAGGACTTTCTACATGCAACAAGTGAGCTCTGCCACTAAGCTACAGCCTTCCTAACCAGATGGAATCAACTCTCCACTGACTTTCCCCCCCAAAGAGCAGGATTTGTCCTCCCCGCATCACACATCAACTAAAATGTGGGAATAGTTACACCAACATTTGACAAAGTAGCCCTGGACCTCAAAGCTAATACTAGAATAAATGTTTGTCCTTGGAGTTCCAAAAGCCTGTCATGTTCTTGAGAGCATCCTATTAATTGTGTCACTGTACAAACTTGGCTCACATGCATATAGATACATACATCTCTGCCCTATAAGCCCCTATAGTATTTTTACACTTCTATCTGATTTCACTCATAACTCGCCGCTTTCAATATATGACATCCAAGATGTCTATACACCCTAAACCTAGGCATTTGTTACCAGGGTATCTACTGGTAATACTAGCCTAACATCTTAAATAATGCTCACCTTCTGCAAAGAGTCAAACTATTAGTATCCCACTATAACATTCATTATCCTAGAAGTATAATGCTCTGAAATTGCAAATCAAGTACCCGTGATAACCAGAAAATTGTACAGTGGTACCTCAGTTCTCGAATGCAATCCATTCTGGAAGACTCTTCAAGTTCTGAAACGTTTGAAAATCGAGGCGCAAAGGGATGTTTGCAAATTCAACCGAGAAAATTGAAAAACACGCAGTGAAAGCCGTTCGACTTATGAGGCGCGTTCGAAAATGGAAGCATTTACTTCCAAGTTTTCAGTGTTCGGGTTCCGAAATGTTCGTCAACGGAGACGTTCGAGAACCAAGGTACCACTGTATATTGCTTGACAGGGAAGATTCCTTTAGAAAATCTGCTGCAAGAATGGCCACATTCCTGCATTTTCCTTTCCAACTGTTTCAATGTGGGCTGGAAACAGAAATATATGCAGCCTAACTGTTTTGGCCTGATTTATGGGCTCTGCTGCTCATCCCCAGGTGTGCCACAAATCCTTGCTTCTTGGGACGCTTCTGCTGCACACTGGCCACCAAATAACCACATGGACATTTCCATTCTTTTAGGAATTCTACTCCTTGCAATCTATATGAACTGCCTACAGCACTTATGTGCTTCATTATCCTGATGGAACCTAACTACAGATTAGATGCAAACAACTTTTAATTAAACAGACATGGCCCATTATCAAGAAAAGCAGCTGTGAGTGGGGACAGATAAGCAGGGTCAGGTGGGAGGAGCTTTTCACTGGATATCATTTTTCAGCTGCAACTATCCTTTTTGTTCTCACAACACCCATGCTTCCTGACATCCGTTTCCCCCTTGCCAACACACCAGAGAAAGGCTGCTGGGCAAGAGGAATAAAAAGGGGAAAGTAGCAAGCGGAGAAAGTATTAAGCACCTGCCCCTCACTGCTTCAGCCCTTCAGATGTCTCCCTACCCAGGCTGCTTTTCATGTCAGAAATTGTCCATTAGGGTACACACGTTTGTATGTCATTAAACCCATAGGGACGTGGGTGGCGCTGTGGTGTAAACCACTGAGCCTTGGGCTTGCCGATCAGAAGGTGGGCGGTTCAAATCCCTGCGACGGGGTGAGCTCCTGTTGCTTGGTCCCTGCTCCTGCCAACCTAGCAGTTCAAAAGCACATCAAAGTGAAAGATCAATAGGTACTGCTCCGGCCAAAAGGTAAATGGCGTTTCCATGCGCTGCTCTGGTTTCGCCAGAAGCGGCTTGGTCATGCTGGCCACATGACCTGGAAAAACTGTCTGCGGACAAACGTCGGCTCCCTTGGCCAGTAAAGCGAGATGAGCGCTGCAACCCCAGAGTTGTTCGCGACTGGACTTAACTGTCAGGGGTCCTTTACCTTTAAAATCATAATCAATAACCTGTACTTTGTGGACAGGCCTGTCTTCTGGTCTCTGCCTCCCTTCTGCAAATGCATTACCAGTTTATGTTCCATTTCTATACTTGTACAAGACTATTGTCCACGTAACACTGGATGGACCTGCCCGGGACCATGTGGATTCTGTCTCTATGACTAGTTGCATAACTATAATTGCATAACTAATTTGCTTTCGTAAACAGTTTATACAGTAACTTTTGAAATTTACCTTTTCTAGAAGACAACTCGGATTTTGTAACGTTTACGATGTCTAATTCCTCAATGTCCTTTCTTGCTACTGAATAACTGCAAGAGAATTGTTTAATTGGATTAAATATGCCACATTCATTTTCCCGAAGCTTCTCATTTTAAAAAAGTATACCTCTGTGTATACTCTGTCTTTGATACCATGCATTTGCACCAATCTTCATTTTTAAACAGCTGAACAGGTTATCTCAATGCTTAAATTTACTAAAGTTAACCTATGGGCAGGGACCATCCATCTATATGAAGATGTTTCTGCATGAATTAATGCAGGTGATGCAGTGCTTCTGTATGAATAATCTGAAATACATGCCATACTCCTGTATGGCTCTCTCGCACCACTAATTAATGAGTTATAGGGATACATATTATAGTTGCAAGCCTTTATCAGTAAAGGAACTAGAACTAGGTGAACAGTCCATGAGGTTGCAAGTTAAGAACACTGTATTTTCCAATGCAATCTTGTATCTGGTATGCAATAATTAAATACAGAAAGTAAAATATTATTCATTTTGTTTTCATTTGTGCCCTTTTTTTCTGCCAAAAGGAAATCCAAAGCAGCAGACAGTAAGTGCAATCAATGGAAAAACTTTGATACAGATACAAAAATGTCAATTATAATCTTTCATTCTAACAAGCAGTAGCTTTTATTGAACTGTAACTTATCTTCACTGCTGAACTCAAAGGGCAGCTGTATTTAACTTTTGGTGACATGCATTTTTTAAAATTAAAAACAAAAATAAATCATTTGATAAAAAGCCATGTACTGAAACAAAATTTTTATATGAGCAATCCATATAAAGGACAGCATCCTTCAATGTATTTCCTTTCTTTACTTGCAGTCTCACAGTATGGAAGAGTTCAGATGTTCAGGCCAGGGAAATAACTGTTCACCTGAGGACAGCTTCACCAAGCTAAGTACCCAAATACCAACATGGAAGTAATAAGGTGATCTGAGCATGGAAGTCAGCATCAGTGTAACTTAATCTGACATAGCTAATCATCATCATCTTCTTCAGCAGCATAGTTCTTAAAATTTTTGTTGTTTTAAAAACAAGGCAAAAAGACAAATGTGAAATATCTTGTAACTGTATTGGTAAGCCTGTACCCTTAATTGGTTCTTTTCCAATGGGAAGCCTTTCTGAACGAGGGGTTGGGGCAAGATGTCTTGCGAAAATTCCATCGCATATTGTATAAAGTAGGAAAAATATAAGCAGGAAATGGATTGTGAGTTTTAAACACACTGTGTTTTATTTTAAACTTTAACACAAAATTGATCATCCTAGTGAAGAATGAAAGTCTTCCACAAGATTCATGCTTACCTTTTGGAATACCCTAATTAAGAATATCCTGTTAAATTCCATGATCACTGGTGGAATATAGTCTGCTACCTTAATTATGTCCTTCCTGCATTAACTCTTGACAATAGGATTATGTAGAAAAGGTTCTGACTTTGGAGGAGGCCTAAGTTAAACCATTGAACTTTAAACCATTGTCAGTTGATTATGTATTTATTTTGCAACACACCAAACCTGAGAGATAGAGAGATGTCTAGAAAAACTACTCACAATTTGGAATCTGAAAAAGATCTCACTAAACACTGGTCCTTTTTCACTGCAATGTCATCGCTGCAGCTGGGAGATAAGACCTGAAGTTTCAAAAAGAACACATGGCATTGAGGATTTTTAAAAATTCCTCCTACTAAGGGGGTGGAGGGAAGGTTTCATACATCATGTTTCAGCTCTGTTATGGCAACCCCTAATAGCAGCATTTTATTTTCCAGAACAAATCCACTAGGTAATGACACTGTGGGGAGGTAATTTTTACTTCCATCTCTCATAATGCTGGAGATCACCCAGTTAAAATAGCAGTAAGCTCAGGACAGAGAAAGCATTTCACACCATGAGCAATAAAGATTTAAGAGGAAGTAACAGCCTCAATATTATTTCTTTAAAAATTAGCAAATTCCTGGAGGACAGATGCCACACTGGTTATGAGCTATGATGGCTAAATATAATCAGAGACCATATGCAATATATCAGATGCTGCCAACAAACTTGAGGAAAGGCCACCAGCTGTACAATTTATGTGGCATTTTGTTAGTTACTGTCAGAAAGGCAATGAGACCAAAAGGAGCCTGATCTGATCCCTAAAGACAATTATTATATTTTTAAAGTATTGCGAACTCCCCACAAAACAAGACAGACAATCCAGTAAGTTTCCATCATTAAAATCATGTGTATAGAACAACTGCAGCCAAGATCTCTGCCCTTCCACCCGCACAACAAGCCCAACTATGAGATTACATATGCGTATGTACTCCCAAGATCAAACTTGCTCGGGTTCACAGTTAAAAGAAGCTTGATTGGGGAAGGGTCATAGCTCAGTGGCAGAGGACCTGCTCTGCGTGCATCAGGTCTAATCCCAGCACTTCCAGGTAGAGCATGGAAAGACTGGCTGCATTAAACCCTGATGAGTCACTGCCAGTCAGTGTTGACAATACAGGGCTAGATAGGACAGCGGTATAAAGCAACTTTCTATACTCTTGGTTATCCTGATCTACTTCTTCAGTGCCAAGCTCTTCATCAGAAATAATTTGTTAACCTTAATGTGCACCAGGAGATTCAAGCCTATAAGTCTGAGAAGTGAAGCTTATTCATAGAGTAAAATCTTCCTACTTTATTGAGGGTGTTGTCGTTTGCCAGTCATGCATCCTAAATGCACACCAGCACCACATGATCGGGCAGCTCATTCCCACTGTTTTGAGAGGCTGAAAGGACTGTACTAAGTAAACCCTCGTCTCAGAAGAGGGGGATGCACGCATGTTAAACAACACCGGGGGCTATGGGAACTACTAAATATAGCTGCTTCCTGTGACAATGCCACAGAACCCTACTGCTTTTAAATCTTTAACTTATTCCGATTTTGCACACATTATACATGCTCCTCCTCCTGCAACCATCTTGAGGAACTCCATGCATTCTAGCGCATTTTCCCAATTAGGAAAGTTATACCAGTAAGAAAAATTTCACTGCCATAAAGGCAGGAGCTCCAGGGATTAGCAATGCGCTATGACAGTGATCCCTAAATCCTCACGCTTGTCTATTCATATACATATTTATATACAAATCCAGATATTTAACTAAAAGAAGCCTGACTCCCATTTGGCTCCCCTTCTCCTCAACTATCATCAGGCTGCAGCAGGAGGGATAGAGAGTGGGTCCATTCCATCAGGCTGCTCTAGTTCCTGAACTATTTCTACTCAAACTGAGCACTTTAATAACAACTCTGTATATTTAAGAATTGGTGCCCAGGTTGGCTTGTTTTCCCTCCCCATCCCTTTCTTGCCTATTGTTTTGTGGCTTGCAAGCCTCCAGGTAGGACTTTGAATAAAGCATTTATATCCTGCTCTTCAGCTGAATAGATTCTGTCCTGTTTTTAATCTGTCGCAAGTGACATAAATCAGGATGATGATTAAAAAACCCAGTCCAAATGACTGCATAGTGAGCTCTGCAAATGCAAAAAAGGAAAATCCTAGTGCATGCACGCGTATTTTACATGTACCTAAAAGAGGAATCATAGTAAATCTAAATAAAAAGGCTGCTTTCACACAAAAAAACCACCTATGAAAAGAATGACCATGGCAAATCAAATGAGTAACACAGCAAGATTTCATCTAAAGCTACATTTTCTCCAACTTAATCATGAGTCCGAAGTCTCAACCTAAACAGGTATATCTTCCTTCTGAAACATGCTAAGAAATGAAAGCGTTTAAGTGCCCACAATGCATGCTTGTTTTAGCTAAAAATAATTTATATGTCTAATTGCATTTGATGCGAACAGCATTCAAACCACATGGGCATGCACACACAGAAACCACAATTGGGTTTCATCATGCTGAACTTTGTAGCAGGCAGGAGGAGCAATAGCTACAGAATTTTCCTTCAGAAGATGTATCTCCCACTGGGTTGAGTAGGGTCCCCACCAGCCAAGTAGGATTTCAGAGACTTCTATTCAAAGTACTTAAATTATGATAATGGGCAAGGTGGGAACTAGAGGAGCCAGCCATGATGGGAACTAGAGGAAGCAGCCATGAACTTATAGCAGGATCTCAGTGAAGATGCAGATGTCATAGAAACAAGTTCCATAGGAAACAACGTTTTCCCCACCAAACGTATTTACCAGGAAGGTTTATATTCTATGTAGTCAGTTAGCAGAACCTGCCTTTGTGCAGGAACTGACTGAGCAAGAGTTGCACTACCAAGAATGTAAAAAAACATTTTCAATATGGACAATGCATTAATTTTTCTCCCACCCCCCTCAAAAAAAAGAAGCATTTCCTTAAACTTGGGAGACTCAGGAGCATTATTTATTTATTGCTTTATTTACTGTCACCTTTCTCAGAACAAGATCTCAAAGCTGTTTTACGCTCAAATCTGGTTTCAAAAGGCGTTTGCCCCGTTGAAGTTCCTCCCCTTTGAAAAGCACCTGGCTTTTGTGCCCTATTATAAAAGCCCCTAAATATTTCTCACTCACCAAAGCTGGATACCACTCAGCCTCCTCAGAGCTGGGAGTCACGCTGACAACTTTACCAAGCAATTCATCGTTAAGACGCCTCTTATCATCATCATCCTCTTCACTACTTTCTTCCTCTTTTTCATCTTCATTACTGGGGGTTAAACATACAGCGATTTTAGACAGCCCGAATGTGGAGATTAACAGGAGCACATAACCTCGTCGCAGCCTTGATACCTCAACAGCTCTTGCTTTGCAACCTTCTTCCTTTTTGCGGGAAATGGCTTAACACAAAGCAGAATGCAGCAGGCTAAAGATTCATCCTATGCTACCATACATGCATTGTGCTGTCGAGAGGTGCTGGGGCTAGAATCAAGAACTCTTGCACGTGTGGTGCTGCCATGGCTGCAAGCCAGAGGGCTCATGGGGCTGGGCTCTGCTCTTATTCTCAAAAGTGTCTCAACCAACCCACGTAGCCTACCAGTCCCCTTACACCCGGAAGGATTCCAAGTCAGCGTGGGCTTTATTTGGTGACCCAGCAAAGACAGCTTCTCTGTGTCCACAGTTAGTTCTGAAATTCAGCACTTCCAAGAATAAACCGCCAATATTTATTGTTGCCAGGGAAGCTTGAATCAAGGCTTGAATGGAGCTCCTTAAAACACTAGTCCTTCTTTTAAAGCACTTATGTGCTTCAACCTTATCTCCTCCTTGTCCTCTCTTATGCCCTAATTCTTGTTCTTTCCACTCCAGCTTATATTCTGCCAATTTTTGTCTTTTTCTACCACTCTCATATCCATGCCTTTTCTATTCTCGAAACAGCCTCCTCCTGCTCTCTAATAATCAAGCTAGAACAAGGCGTGCATCTATCTAATTTTAATAAGGAAGATTTAAATGCAGCTTGGCTTCCATTGCCTGTTACTTTAGGCATGTTTCTTCACATACATACTTCTATATACTTCCGAACATTTTTCTGTTGTTATTTTAGGCTTTGTACTGAAATACAGTGTGTGTGTGTATACACATTTTAAAATTTAAAAACTGAAAGCCCTGTGTACCAAAAATAGTCCAAGTCCTACACCAAGACAAGCCAGTATGCATACAAATTATTAAAAAGTGTGAAATAGTTTTGTATAATTAATTCAGCTTCTGTTAGTCCCTAAATGGCAAGGAGCTTTTGCAGGGTCCTGTCCTCTGATAACTCCAGCACATTTTCAAGTCTGACTTCACAGCAACAGAAGGAAGAAAGTTAAAGAAGAAAAGGCTTCCAGGATGCAGAATTCCATGCAGCACCACACTTCTGCAGAATCCTAAAACCCAAGTTCCAGATGCTTCCTGTCACTGCGTTTCTCAGCCACTTCTGCAACTCCACCAAACAGCGAGGTCTCCAAGGATATTTCAATGGGAAGTGTGCTTTCCATTTCAGAAGAGACTTGACGCAAGAAGGGAGACAGGAAGCCCAAGACACTTCTCCACCTCAGAAGCCATTTATGCACTTTGTCCAAAGGCTGTCACCTTCTGGACTGCATCAGAAGAAATGGGTAGCCTATCCTTCTGAGGAAACGTTGTCCTCTGAGTGGGGCATTTTTTGTGATTTGTATGGTGAAAGGCAAATCTCTTGAAAATTAGGGGATTTCAGGAAACAGTGTGTGGTATGATTGTGGGTGGAAAGAAGGAAAGTAAACTGTAATTGCACAATATTATGCTCCTTGCAAAGGAGGCACACTTCTTCTAAGCTCATCACTGAAGACCAAACCTGCCTTCCTCGTTCCAATGCAAGGGAAAGATTAAGTCTGAGAAAAGCCCAGTAATACTATTAGAAGCAAGGCATCACAAAGCACACTCACACAGGAAGAGAGGATCTCCTTCCTCTGTTGGATTTCTTCCCAATCACCGGCGTTCCAAAGTGCTCTGGGTTTGTTAGTGGCAGTTGGTCAAGTGTCTGGGAGAGGAAGGGGAAAGTATGACAACTTGAAAACTTGCTAATTTTCCAGTTAAAAGAAGAGTGTTACGTTTACAGCTTCAGAGTGAAACAGCCTTACCTCACTTTCTGCAAAGTGCCTCTCTCCCTTCAGACACAACGATGTCCGTCTCAAAGTCCTTTCATCACCGTCATCAAAAACTAAACAAAGCCAAACCAATAAAATTACATAAAAGGAAAAAACACTTTATTTGCAAAGGCAAGTAAATGGAAACTGCAAATTATTCTTGTTATGTGAATATATTTAGTGCCCCCAATAGTCTCATTTTTGAGCTGCTGTTACACCATTGTTTGCATTCCATCATACACATTTTCTGCTCATTTTTTCTTATGGAATATTCCAACTAGTGATGAAAGCTTTCTTGCAGTGGAACAGCATGTGAAGGACATATGCTTAGATGTTGTAAAGCCAGAGAGAAAGCACGCATGTACAAACTGAAGATCAATATGCAACGATCACCTCAAGCAGCCTATTGGAAGCAATGCTTCACCATTCTAGTATAGCACGACAGATCAATGCATTATAAATTTACAGCCAGCCAGTGTGGTATAGTGGTTAGAGTGTAGACTAGGACCTGGGAGACCAGGATTCAAACCTCCACTTCCCCATGACATTCACTGTGTGGCCTTGGGTCAGTCACTGACTTTCAGCCTAACCTACCTCATAGGGTTGTTGTGGAATTAAATGAGGAGGTGGAGAACTGTGTATGTGATTCTTGGAGGAAACAGTGAAATATAAAAACTATAAATAAATAAACATTAATTCTCCCAAGCATGCTGGGGTCAAAAATCATCTAAGCTGCAATGCATAATCATTCTTTTTTTTTAATGTTGCCGGCATAAAATTGCTTGATGCATTTTTTATACAACCACTCAGGGTGGACCTACTGAAAATAACTGACATTACTAAATTAGGCCCATTAATTTCAATGGGCCTACTCTGAGGAGAACTTGTTTGGATAAACTGCGTATTTAATCTTGTGCTGAGCCAAGGGCTGTATCTCATACATAATTGCACATAAGGAATACAGGAGAGTGAATGTCAACTATCCAACTGTTGGAATTGCCTTTCCACTCCTAACTGAGCCCCTAACCAAAGTCTACAACCTAAATGTTACACTTTAAAACACACAGGCACCTTCTTTCAAAGCACAGGAATGCTCTTTACCAGAAAACCAGCAACATGAACAAATCTACCACAGCCTAGGCTGCAATCCCCAGCTGCCGGAGGTGGGGGAAGAGGAGAATGTGAACTGCAAGCAGCAAAGAATGCCCACAATAAGGACAGCAGGGGGAAAAAGAATGGGGTAGGTGCTGAGGGCAACTTGGTTATGATCCAGTGGAAGAAACAGTGAAAAAACTGAGCCCTCTGGGCATTTCCTCAGTATTGCTGCACATTTGTTCAGGATCGAACAGAAACCACTTCCAGTTTCTAAGTTGTAGCAGCCAAGGCAATTGGCTTAAAGGTTAAGCAAGGATGGAAAATCTCTCTTCAGCAGCCACATGGGATTTTTATTTCTGCCTAGGGGCAGAGGAAATGCACCACTGATCTTGGAATTGCATGATCCCTTCATTTAATCAAAGTCCCGATTTTTGACACGTGAAGAGCTGCTGGGGTGAAGTGTTATGTCACTGATGTTCCGAGCTGGTGCAGGGCTAAGTCTTCAAATCAGAAAGATTAGTTAAATGAAAGATAAGCCAAACAATGTGTTAAATCTGCTTTGATCCTGCCTTGAAGGAGCTGCAGTCTACTTTTGGATCTCAAGGCTACTTCACACACTAAAATTGGAATCTGCACTATGAGTAAGCTGTGTGTTGCCAGGTAAATAACTTTCTCCCTATGCAGGTGTGACTCTTGGGAATGCCTCATAAGATGGAAGTGTTTTGCTAGTGACCCTCCTGCAGCAGCACCCCAAACAACTCCCTGCTGCCACAAACTAACTTTCTAAGCAGAATTGGGTGTATCAAAAACCACTGACGTTTCTAAGGGCACAGGAAAGGATAATGGTGCATTATGATCAAGTCATAGAATCACAGAACTGTATAGAGTTGGAATGGGACACTGAGGGTTATCAAGTCTAACCCCCTCTAGACTAGAAAGTTTCCTTACAAACAAGAAAGTATGTCACTGCAAATTCAACTTTTTTTAAAAAAAGAATTAAAGTTGTTGGACTCCCAACTCCCATCATCCTTGACCACTGGCCGTGCCGACTACAGCCAACAGGACTTGGAGATCAACAACATCTGGAGAGCCACTGGATCCCCACCCCTTGTGCAGATTATGAGGGCAAAGAGCCAAAAGGTAACCAAGCACCACCACTATATTCAAGCCAACATTTATTCAAATACTGGCTCTAATTTCGCCTGAAAGCTTGTTCCCAGCCTGTTTCCCTCGTCTCAGCTGACAGCACAACACACCATACTAAACAAAAACAAAAATAAAAATACAGAATTGGAGCACTTAGTTCTTCGAATATATGACTTTTTGATTTTTTTAAAAATTTAAGTTTTGGCTCTTTTTATGAATTAGAATAGTAAAGGATGAATGATGAGAAATACTGCCGTTTCCTGAGTCAGACATATATGGAAAAAGCAACAGATCTAATCCTTTATCAGAAAGGATTTGAAATGGGGAGGGACATTCCTTTGATCATGGCTCCCATTGCTGGCTGTTTCTTTATGTGGGGTCCACACTGAGCAATGAGGAAAGGAAGAGGTGTTGGACCACTGGCTATCTCAATATGTGACTCTGGAGTCACTTCACACTTGGTCCCTCTAAGTGCAGTTTATGGGCGACAGTGTTCCATGCCACACACAGAACACAACATGCAGGGCCTGTTCCCCTGATCTGCCCATTACTACTGGAGACAGGTCACATGCCTGGGCTATTTTCAAACGTTACGCTTGGAGGAGAGGCAAGGACTGCACATATACAACAGGGGTCATGTGTGTAGTAAAAACTGCTTCCGCACAGCCCTCCTGCTGCTGCAAGGAACTACAGGGTAGGAACCCATCACTCTTCTACTGCATCAGTTTTCCCTATTCCAGCCAGCACTCCAGAGACACTGCAGTAGAGAAAGGGAGTGCTTTCCAATGGTATTTAATCCACTTCTGTTTTAAAAAGGAAGTTCTACTTCTATTGGACATAGTGAAATCAGAAATTTAGTAATTTAGCATTATGTCACAGATATAGTATCTTCCATCCAATTAAATGTTCTCTTTCTACCAGTCTCACTGGTACTGCAAAGAGGGTGTTCAAGCATCTGGCTCCACACTCCTTTTTATTAAAAAAAACACCGCACTTCCATTGTATCACCACCCACTCTTTCCTCCCAGCTAAGTATTCCTTGCTGTTCTAAATCTCCTTTCTTTTTAATCTACTTCACATGCAGCCTACTTCAAATTAAAGCCTCCCTGAGAATGACCTTTTCAATACACTTAACTGTTCTTAAAAGAGTACATTGTCAAGGAGCCATGAAAATTAAAGATTCCTAGAAGAACAACTGACAAGAGCTCAGCGCCGCTGTTTTGCTCTCTTATTAACTGCTAGTGCAGATCCAGCAGAATCCGGCCATATTTTTCCCACCAAAAAACACACATCAAAGATAGTAAATGCTACTCTGCTTCCAGGCTGCAGCCTTACAATTTGCAAAGCACTTCATACCTATACACCTGTAAGTTAGCTCAGTAGCATCACCATTTCTACAACATTTCCCTTACTGAAACATACAAAATGGAAAGTGCAACAAAACACAGGAGAACAAGAAATGAGAGAACCAAATAAGCATTCTTATTAAACTTAATTTGTCCCCTTGTTTAGAAGTTTTATGATTAGAGCAAGAGTGGACAACGTAGTCCTCAACTACAATTCCCATCATCCCGGACCACTGACCATGCTGGCTAGGGCTATTAATAATAATAATTTATACCCCGCCCATCTGGCTGGGTTTCCCCAGCCACTCTGGGCGGCTTCCAAACGAATATTAAAAACAATACAGCGTCAGACATTAAAAACTTCCCTAAACAGAGCCGCCTTCAGTTGTCTTTTAATAGTAAAATAGTTGTTTATTGCCTTGACATCTGCTGGGAGGGCGTTTCACGGGACAGGTGCCACTACCGAGAAGGCCCTCTGCCTGGTTCCCCGTAACCTTACTTCTCGCAGCGAGGGAACAGCCAGAACGCCCTTGGCGCTGGGCCTCAGTGATGGGAGCTAGTGCCCGAGGACACCTGGAGGGCACCAAGTTGGCAAGCCCTGAGATCTCAAAAGGACATTTTATTCTTATCACCATTTCTATACTGTACCACCAAGGCGCTCAAGGCTGTATAAAAGCCCCATGGCACAAAAACACACACAAAACCAAACAAACCCTCACACAATGACACACAAAATCCCCGCAGCAATGCTTTAAAGTAAGCTAGTCTAAGAGACAGCAACTGGATCATAGTTAACACATTGAGCTTTACGGTTAAGCGGGGTTTTAAACACAAATCTCCCTATTCCCAATTCAGCCTTCTAACCACTACAACACTCTGGTTTATGTGTGACAATTAGGGGACATGGGTACACATTTCAGAAAAATGTTGAGTACACTCCTGACTACAACTATCAGTCCCATATAACAGATGATGAGACTGAGAGGCTGAGGGGACACCTTTCATGTTCATGGTTGAGGGAAGAACTGAATTCAATCTCTTCAAGTCTGAATCTGTTGCCTTCCAGAGATTGTTGGGCTCCATCCTGCTCCCATCTTTCCTGACCATTGGCCATTCTGGCTGGTGCTGATGCAAGTTGGGAGTCACCAACATCTGGGGAGGGACAGCTTCCCCCCTCCTCTCCCATAGCACTCACTTCAGACAAGCATGCAGCTGTAGCCAGTTATGCCTCCTAACAATCAGCAACAATTTCCCCCAAAAGATAGAAAGTTGGATATGGCAAATTCATGCTGGAGAGAGAGAGGAGAGCTCCAAAATTGAAGCCCACTAACACAACTACTTCCTTAACAAGGAAGAAACAATTCAATTGCCACACAGTGTCTGAGGGCCAGTCTCTGGCAAAATTAAAAGACGTTTATCAATGTATGATAACACTGGTGCCCTGCTAACAACAGCTGGCTTAAATGCTGGCTCCAGCTACCTGCAGTTTGTTCTTAGTAAGGAACAAGCGTTGCCTTCGCACCGGTCCCGTGTGAGGCAGGCCCAGAAGAGTTAATAGGGAAGGCCTAAGATTTTCTTTTCCTTTAACAGTGTTTGCAGACTGAGAAAAAAGCAATTGACACGAATCTACAACATTGAGTTAAAGGTCCTTAGGGTGTCAATAGCTCACTCCATATTTTGTAGCTTTCCCCCATCCCTATGTATGTATGTATGTATGTATGTATGTAGTTTGACTGATTTATACTATGCAGCAGTTGCATCTGGTCAATACACTAACCCATGTTTTAAGGAAGGGTAAGCAAGATGGAGACATCCGGGTGTTCTATGACTCCTAACTCCTCTCAGCCGCAGGCAGCGTGGCTAAAGGTCAGGGATTATAGGAGCTGTACCATCACATCTGGAAGGCACTATGTTGGCTACCCGTATTTTGAGAGATAGCAGCTTAAATTTCCATTCAGTTACTGTATAGAACTGCTTTCTGTCTGTCAGCAATCAGGAGACCTGTCAAATCTTTGACCAGTGGTCCTTATGGCTTTTATTCTCTCTTTCAATAATAAAGAACTATGAACTGCTTGTCTCCCTGTCTTCCATTTCAGAGATTTTGCCACCCAAGTGCTCACAAGCAGGGCATGAAGATGATCAATCACCCCTTATTTGGTATTTAAAGGTATATTGCTGCTGTCCATCTTGTAGTCGTGAATTCCATTTGAACTATGTAAACGTTACTCCAAGTCAAGTGAGAGTGACCCAAATGTCAGCATCTCTTGCAGTGTGGAGGCTGGGCTGCGGCTAAAATAGAAAATTTAAGTTCCACAGATCTTGCAGCATTCATCTTTGGGCCACAGCCAATATTTTTTAGAACTTGCTTACCAGAAGGAATGATTCTGGCTTGGATCCTAAGTTAGCCTTTTCCCAACCTTCTAAAACAGGTTTTCGGAGAGTGCAAGAGATTGCAGGCAGAAATCGAGGAAAGTCTCCTCCCACTTCTGCCTGCAGAAGCATCACCTGAGCAGAACTCCACTCGGGGGAAGATCCCACCAGCCACAACAAACTCTGAGACACTGATTTCCCCTTGCATACATGTGTCACCACAAAAAGGGTACATTCATTCCTCAATGCTTTCCTTAGCATTTTCTTACTCTCACTACAACCAAACCACCTTTGTTCAGGTGAAGACAATTATTCATTGAGGCATAAGGCTACAATTCTATCAACGTGTATTCCAGCTTAGGACAAGAACCTTGGTATCCACCTGGAAACCAGAGACCAGCTGTTAAATAGAGAAAATGCTGGTCTATTCAAGAAGCTCCTGGCCCTGCTCAATATGACAGCAAACATGGACCAGAGTGAAATTAACCAAACCAGAACCTTCATATTCCACATAAAGCAGTGTCAGTATCTGCTTAAAGGCACACACACAAGCTATTTCCAGAGGCAGGTAATATTTTAATGCATATCCCTGCAGCCGGGCAAAGTACAGATACACTTTCCTGGAGCTTTTGTAAAGGGGGACGAAAGCCAAACAATTTAACACATCAAACCCTGTGAAGTTTAGTTAATACATTAAGGCTTACCAAAACAAACTTTCCAGTTATAAGTCAATTTTCAATTCTTAATGCAGTGCTGGAAGCCGAAATTTGACTGCCACTACATTCTTGTCCTTGACACTTGCATGAAACAGCCCTAGAACACTTTTAAGCCATTCTTCCAGAGAATAATATTTACTCAAGAATTAAGTATGCAAAGGACTTGCAGAACTTCTTGAAAGAAGCAACTTACAAATAAGCCTTTGTTCAAATGGGATAAAGTTTGTTTAAAATCCATGCAGTTATCTCAACAACAATATATCGGGCATTCTAAACTTACAAATCCTCTTTATTAAAAACAACATTACAACTTAATTTAAAGTCCAGTGACAAATATTTAAAATACTGTTATGTTTTATTTTACAAGACACTGTTAACAATTCTCAGGTGGCAGAGGGCAATATGAATAAGTAAAGTTATCCAGTACCAGATCAGACCACGAACCCATCTAACTCAGTATGATCTACCATAACTGGCAGCAGTTCCCCAAAATCTTGGTCTCTCAGGCTAGGAACTCTTTATTCCTTCATCTCCCCAAGAATAAGAAATGCTAGAGAAGGCATTTAGGGTCCCTGAAACAATTTCTAAGCTCCTGGGCCACAATTATCAGTCCAAAGGCACAGAAATGCAAACATGCCAAAACCAATTCTGCAATTTTTTTAAACTTTAGGAGTGATGCTCAGGGCAGCCAAAGGAATTATGTTCTCCAATATTTTGTTGCTATGTAAACACAATTACACTTGAAAAACACTGTCATACAGCAAACTGTTCTCAGCTTGTTAACTTATTTTAACACAGAAGTTAAAAGAAAATCCACTGCCTTGGCCTTTATCCCTTCCAGAAGCCTTGCTAGTGCCACACAAATTACTAGTCTCTCTGCTCATACATACATATGTTTATTATTTGTGACCCACAAGGGGGAATCCCAAAAGCAATCCTTAGCCCCAATGACAAGAAGGCAAATGTTTATGAGGCTAAGCTATATCAGGAAAGACAAAACTCGCAACAATCCATCCCTTCTCTTGTCTCTCCTATTCAAAAGTATCTCCTACAGTATGAAGGTAGAGCCATTAAGCATGACACTAATGGAGGTGCTTAGTGTAGCTGGTAAAGATGAGCCCTAGGGAAGTAGTTTACACTTAACTTTTCTAAACTTGTTTGCTCACTTTATACACATAGCCTGGTTTTTCCTAAGAGGCTGAGCTCCTAACTCAAAGCCTGGCATCCTCAGACCAGGTGTAGCCCTCCAGATGTTGGAAAAACTCCCAACAACCCCAGCCAGCACAGCCAATTGTCGGGAATGATGGGAATAGTACTCTAGCAACATCTGGAGGACCAGAGGTTCTCCATCCCTTGCAAAACAGAGCAGCTCCACATGAAGCATCTGTTGCTTAACCACACCATTTCAGTCTGCAGGCAGGAGAAATCTAAAAGTTGACAGTCTGGTACATTTTGGGGAGCTGTTTTTAGCATAATTGGGCATTTGTACAACGGACCCACAAGTACAATCTGAAGTAGTACAGTCCATCTACTGATCATGGATTAACTCAACAACCCAGCAGACACTTTTGATGTATTGCTTTCTAATCCTGAAGAGACCACTATGTAAGCAACATGGACCTTTTCTAGCCCAAGGGTCACATTCCCCTCTGGGCAACCTTATGAGAGCCACACGGCAGTGACAGGCAGAGCGGAGGCAATACTAGGTGCAGAAATAAATTTTTGCTTCTGCAGAGTTGGTTAGTGTCTTCACACTCAGACATCCCTCTCTATCCAAGAAAGCAAGTATTACTATCACCATCAGAGTTCAAGGACACATTACAGCCAGGCAAAAGGACTCACGCAGGTATTTTAGTTGGCTCCATGTCCTTCCCCCGCAGTTCTAAGTCATTGTTAAACATTTGGCAATATTCCTTCTATACAGACACCATATTTTATTGGGAAGTTTAAAAAGTCATAAGAGATCTGCTCAAAAAACGCTGTGTATCTGGGACAGAGAAGAAATTATGTACATCTTAGTGCCAGTGAAATCTGGTGTGGCACAGAAATCTACTTACCTACAGTATACCAGCTTGCATCTGTCAGTTTACTGACAGTGGCCTCTTGAAACGATCCATCAGACATCTTGGTTTCAACAGTTGCACCAACCTATAATGTTAGAAATCACATTCAGTTCCTCGTACAGATCAACACCCTAAATTTAAGCCCAACAGTGCCTAAGTGTTCCTCAACCTTTTGACAACTAAGGCACTAGTTTTGCTCTCCTAGATTTGAATTTGGGGCATGCTTACATGTACTTCTTTTCGATTTGCTTTCAGAACAACAAGTCAGCATCCTGCACTTAAGTGTGGGATAGCCGCCTGTATACTTGCCTTCCTTTGCCCATTCAGTCACAGTTAAGGGTGTGGCTCTTGCTGTGTGGGATTATCAGCTGCTGTGCAGTTTGTGCCTCCTTATGCCCTCCATCAGGATGATACCACTGCTCATCGAGCAACAGAGGGAATAATAGTTGTTTGGGGCCTTCCCACTTCACACAGAGCAATGGATGCATCCAACACACTTTTTTCTTAGCAGACATTGACTCTCCTCTCAGCAGTAAAGAAGCTAATGCCCTTGGATGTTGCACTTAAAGGCTTTTTATTTCAATGGCACTTAAGTGTGTAATGACTGTCCTCTGAAGTGGGACATGGATGTGTTTCATTGTCAGCTGCATAGTCTGTACTATCATGGAACCAAGACTGAACATTATCCCTGAAAATTATCCCATGGAAGGCCAAGCCTTTGGACCCATAAACTTTGTATCAAGTTTCTGAAGTGAGGAATGGTTACATAAACATTGCCTGAAATATTCTACTTTATGCAGTTTTCCTTTCGTAGATAATTTCTTCCTCCGTTTTTTGACTGAACTATTTATAGATCTTCACTTTAATATTTCAGCGAAAAAATATATATGCATGAATGTGAGAACTAAAGTCAAACAGGAATGCTGCTGTCATTTGGCTTACTCTGAATCATGCATTTAAATGCAGTTTTTTGAATTTACTGATAACTTTTGAAGAAAACATGCATACATACCCTTAAAGGTCCTTTCACTTGGTCATCTTGCACCAACTGTGTTGAATTATCCTGTTTTAAGATCACCTGCATATTTTGAGAGGGATTTTAAAGAAAACAATTTTACTTGCAAAGGACTTGAGCAATGGACTTTCATGTGTGCACACAAGACTTTTATGCACCAGTAGGTTGCTCCCTAAAGTATGCCCCAGCAGCTATGGGGACTTTCCAGATCCGACTGGGGGTGGGGACAGAAGAGGAGGAAATCCCAACATGCACATTGTTGTGACATCAGATCTCACCCTATATGCCAGCACGCAGAGAAGAACATTATTCTAAGTAAGATTTTTCAAACATGGAAGTTTGCTTTTATTAAAAGCATTCAAATAAAACGGCAGCACAACTATGGAAGCAATTGCAAGAAATTTAATTTCACGTTATTAATTGAGTATATGGTATTTGTCTGGTTGCCAAGTCAGGTCAATAAATGATCTGGGGACAGGGGACTCTAGTGATGTTTCCTTAGTAAATCCATTTTTTACATACAGTGCAGTACAATGAAACTCTTGACACGAATCAAAGAAGAACACGTTTTAGATGACTGATGTTTATGCCACAATAACAGGACAATCATACACAGGATGTCCCATTATGGTCACAGGGACTTGAAAGTGGGCACAAGACTGCAGTCTAAATCTGTGAGTCTTTTGAAAGGTGCCATGAGACTATTAATTGTGAGGCAAAATACCAACATGATCATGGCTTCACATGCAACTGATCCATTAACTCAGATCCATTACAGATTTGCTTTCTCTTGATCAATGACTGAGCAAATCACAATTCCTGCTACACCAGCAACTTAGCCATAAGTCTGTCTTTTTGATAACACAGCAGATTACACCAATTAGAAAGCTCTCTTAACGATCCAGTGACTGTAGACCCATGCACTCCATTGCTAGAAGATACCCTTAATGGAAACACTTCAGAAATGAATGTATTTTTAAAGCTGAATTTCTAGATATCATACAGGTGAAGCCTATAAGCTCGCCTTAATCCTTACCCATTTCAGCACTTACAAAAAAAGCCCCATCAAATTTATAGTAAGGACAAATTGTTATTGATTTTTCTTTTTTTAAACAAAAACCCTGCTCTTCAACAAAGATAGAATCCTAAAATGAAGCTGCACACATCCAAGGAGAAATACAGGGTTTTCCTGATTCTCTCCCCAACCCCAATGCCGCAACACTTATTTGGACCAGAAGAGAGAAAATAAGTGGGGTTTCTTACTGCTGGAAAATAAATGATGCTACCTTACATTTTGGCTTTTTATTTCCGCAGGGTGCCCTATTGGGTCTCTAGCTAAAAGTATCTAAGGAAATAGGTGATGTGAAAGACCTGTGGCTAATGCACTGGCATTAGTGCTCTCTCTTACCTTGACTTTCACCAGCCTTTTTACTGTCTTAATTTTTGCCTCGCAGAAGGCACCCCGGTATTTGGCACTGACATCAGTCCCAACTGTCAGGTAGGCAGGCTCATCTGCTGCCTGAAGAGAGATAAAAAATGGTCAAAGGGTGGAAGTGTTTAAGCACACTTCTCAAGGTTCATATGGCACAATTTTAAGCTTAATCGTAACAAAACCACGATGAAAAACTTTTAAGTCTCCAGAAAGTAACTGACAGACTAAGACCTGCCACTGGCAATCAGTGGAGTTCCATATACACACAGGTTTACTCTGACCCAACAAGTCTTTAGAATCTATTGCGATTTATTTAGTTTATCCATTCAGAAAAAACTCTAGTCACCAAAAAGAGAAAGGACCTGGTTCTTGTGTTTTGCTTTTACTAAGATAGCATATAGATTAATCCAAATCTTAATACCATTTGTAATCTACTAATTGGACAGCATCTTACAGTGACCAATACTTAACAGTACACACTGGAAACACTAAAAATAATCCTACAAGAATGTGTATTTTTGCAAGATGGATTGTACGCTCTGAAGTCTTTGAAGAAGTGCACGGTACTCAAACATTGCAGTTGTAAACAAAAAATTTGACAGCTGCTGCTTCAGCCAATGTATTTTAAGTCTTACTGGCCACAAGTGGTTTTTCAGGCAGACATACCAACAGTCAAACTTTTTGTTTCGGAATACATTTCTCATATACAGTTGAAAGAAAGAGAAACAAGCCCAGTTGTTGTTTAATGAGGATAGAATGCAACACTAATTTTCCTTAGTTTCCTGTTCACTTTTTCCAAAAGCTGCACCCCCACAAAAAACAAGCACCTGGATACAGAACAGCAGAGGTTAACAAAGTTTTAACTGCTGATACAACACTGGATCATTTGCCAGCTTAACAGCCCATTTATTAGAGAATACTTTAACAGCACATTTCAACAGGGTAGTTGCCAGGTAAGTGTGCATTAGATTGCAGCCTTAGTCCAACAATTAGGACTTAATTCATTAGAAAATAAGTATAAGGCAGTGTCTTATGTACTTTCACTTTGATCAACTTTGACCATACTTCTGTTCAATGAATTAGCATCATTGAATAGTGACCTTTTTAATGACAAGTAATAACTAACGAACAAGTAGCACTGAATAGTGATGTTTTTAACAGCAAGTAATAACTAGCGAACAATCTTACAATCCAGCAAATGAGTGGGCAGGGATACAATTTCACTTCTCATTCCCAATACACCGTAGTGGAAAACAGCAATTTCAACTTTTCAGAGAAACATGTGAAACACAATGTAAGCAAGAATTTTAGCACTGATGTTACGGATATATAAGTTCTTGAATGTAAAGAACCAGAAGAGGAATGCCTGATTTCTTTCCAGAGGTGGAAAGTAGCTTCCCAGTGACTACACATAAGTAAAACAAAATTCTTGCCACCATTTTGGAACTGCAAAGCCTATGTAAGTTATAAATATTTTCTTCCATGCTTTGCATGCAGAAGGTCCCAACTTCAATTTCCAGCATCAGGTAGCATGAAACAGAAATGACCTCTGCCTGAGATAGTGGAGAGCTAGTACTAGCCTAGATGAATCAATAATTTGACCTGGTGTGAGGCAGCATCCTATTTTATGCTATTGTATTTCTATACTGCAATATTAAATTGTTCACTGGGTTTGCAGACATATGTGGCTGTTTAGCAAAAGGGAAGCTTCCTTAGCAGTGGCATATGAACCATATTTCACTAAATATGTATTCAACAGGATGATGTACTTTTAACATTGAAGGAAATTAATACATTGAAGGGAAAACTGAGAAGTTGAGAAACAGGTTTACCTTCATCTTTGAAGGTTATTTGAGGGATTCCAGCTCAAAAGTTTTCTTTTTACCACAGTTGAAGAAAAATCTAGAAAATAAGAAGAAAATGGTAATATTCATACATGTAATTATAAAAAAGTGACAGAACTCAAGAGCAAGAAATTAAACTATGAAGTCAGTGGTCAATTATGAAAACACAATCCTCTCCTTAGTGCACACAACACAGAACTTCTGCATCTGTAGAACACTCACTCCAGGCCTCATACTGTCAAGGAGAAGGAAAGTGCTGAAAAGTAGTAAGTGGGCAATTTGGAGTTCTGGTTGAGAAGTAGCTGGTGCTGCTACCTTCTCTCTATTTCAGCTCCCTCTTGCTCATCTCTGCATCCCCCGTCAGTAACTGTCATCCATCCTTTTCTCTTCAGCCTGTCAAGAAAAGAAACTCTAAGGCCACGGAGACAACATTCACTTAAAGGAAGCAAGAGGATGATCAAGAAACAGGAGGAATCCCAAGTAGCCAGGATCTTCAGCCCCCTTAGTTTCTTAAATCTGAAAAGACAGACAAGAATACATCTGAAGGTAAAAATGCTGCCTGGCAAAGGGGAGGCTGACAGGCCAGTCAAATGCAGACACACCCTCCATTTACGACTTCCAGCTTGATCCTCTGTATGTTTACTCAAAAGTATGTACTCAAGTGGGACTTGCACCCAAGGGTGCACAGGGCTGCAGCAAGTTGTCGGCAACATCCCCTCGATCGCTTAGGAAAATCACTCTTTTGCTTTTCCTGGCTGAAAAGCACCTCAGACCTTCTTTCCCCACCCCCTGCACTTAGTTCCCACTCCGATTCACATCCAGGCCTCGCTCGAAACAAGCCCCATTCCTTTTAAACGCACTTCCCCATATGCCGAAGCCCTCCTCCTTCCGCCCCCCGGAGTGAAAACAAAATTCGTGCCGTGTTTTGGGAAACCTTCTCGACTCCGAAAGGAAACACATTCCCCCCTTTCCCACCCACCCGATTAAAAAAACTCACCCCTCCTCTAGGCCTTTGCCTCTGCGAACCCCCCTCGCCTCCCGGCCCACCCCGACTGCCCCCCAAGACACAAGCCCCTCGGATCCCCAGCCAAGGCGATGGCAAGCGGGGGGGGGGGGGCAAGAACCCCTCCAGCCCCCCCTCTGAGGAAGGCCAAGGCAACTGACGAAGGGCTTTATCTGAGGGGGGAGAAGGGAAAAGAGAAGTAATGGGAAGGAGGCCCGCCCCGAGCTGAAGGGGGCCTCATCCAGATGTGGCGGGGAAAGAGAGGCTGCTCAAAGTGTGGCAAGAGGAAGGAGGACTTGGCCGGTGTGTTGTGGCTCCTCCGTGAGGGGAAGGAGGCAGAAGGCGGCAGCGCTTCTCCGCCTCCCCGGTCAGGCGTTAGAGAAGCAGCTTCCCGCCCGGGCCTCCCGCACCCTCCGGAGGGGATCCCGAGTTCCAGCGCAGGGTCCCCTGCCTTCCCTCCAAGCCCGGCCAGGCCCCCTCAGCCCCGCCACCAACTCACCGCCGACGAGGATCCGGCGGCGGCGGCTGCCCCGTTTCCTTCCTCCGGTGTAAGACGTGGGCGCGTCTCCGCCGTCCGACCCCGAGCAGGAAAGAAGCGGCGGCTGAGGCGGCGAAGGACGACGACGACGACGACGGAGCGAGCGAGCGAGCGGCAGCGGGGAGGGAGGGAGGTGGGGAAGGAGGACGGGCCTGTGGTCTCGCGCCTCGGCTCCGCCTCTTCCCCGCCCCCGGCAGCCCGGGCTGCCTCTGGCTCGCGCGCTCTGGCTCCCTGACGGGCGGCGGGCGGGACTCCCTGGCCCAGCGCTGCTGCTGCTGCCTTGCGCAGCTCAACACCCAAATAACAAGCTGTTGAGCAGGATCTGCGCGGCGCGGCCTCCCATTGGCTCCTCCCCGCCCGTGACGCTCGAGGGGGCGCTCTGCCCCGCCCTGATCGGGCGCCGCGCGCAGCTCCCGCCTTTCATTGGACTGCGGAAGGGCAGCTCTCCGCCACGCGATTGGGCGGCCGCTTTCCTCCGCCCCCGCCCGCGCTCGACTTCTTCTTCTTCGTTTCCCCGCCCCCCCACCATCATCAAAGACTTTTCATTGGTCCAAACCGAGGAAGGGCGAAGCGCCGTTGGACGGCCGGGGGCTTAAAAAGGGAGTTAAGTCAAAGTTTCCACCCGCCCCGCCTCCCTGGGCTCAGCAGGGGAAGCGAGCGAGAGGCCTGCAGGGGCCGGATGTGAAGCGCCGCGAGGCGATTGGAGGAGGACTTGGAGGGGCAGGAATCTGAGGAGCGGGTGGGCGGGGCGGGGGAAAATGAGGAGGAATGGCGAGAAGTGATTGGCTGCCCGCGCCTGTCTCATGGAAACGGAAAGGTGGAGGGCGGGGCCAACAGAAGCTTGCGGAGGCGGCGAAGGGAAAGCCGAGTCCTAACGCGCATGCGTCCTCCGGCCGTCAGGGTTTCATTATTTTTTTCCTCCCCATCGCCTTCGCCTGGCGCCATTTTGTGCGCTCTTCAGTCACGTCTCGGTCCCATTTCGTTGAGAGGGCTGGAGGTGAAGGGGTGCTGAGGAGCGGCTCCGGCGGAGGCCTGAGGTAAACGAAGCCAAGGTAGGTGTGGGTGCGGTGAGGCCTTTTAATGTGTGTGGCGGGGGAGAATGCGACCTCCGTCCGTTGGCTTAAAAACAGCCGTATTTTGTGTGGAGAACGTCGAGGGGCGAGGAGGGCCGCGAGCCCCGCGACGGTTACCGCGGAAAACTGCCTCAGCGGCCCGAGGTAAACGTTGCGTAGTGGGGCGGGGCTGCGGACCGGAAGCCGAGTGTGACGTCAGGACTTGCGCAGCCGCCAATAAGTGGGCGGGGCTTCCTTTTCCGGGTTTCCCTCCTTGCTCTTCCTTTTGAGAGAACAGGGGAGTGAAGTTTACCCCCGCGAGGGTCTGGGACGCGGCATATTTTTCTCCCACCCTCGTATTACTTGAAAGTGCTTAATGGCTGTACCTTCCTCGTGAAAAGGGCCTTGTCGTAGCCCTACTTGGCTATAACGTTCTCGAATTTTTTTTGCTCCAGTAGCTACCCGCAAACGCCCAACTATCCTGCGACGCCTCAAGGGATATGCATTTGTGGATCAGGGGCGCCGTCGTGAGATCTGCCCAGAGATCTGCGCGTGGAGGCTGTCCATAAAGCAGCTGGGCCCTGCTCCATTATTCTTAAACCCCCGCTGGCTGTTAGCTTACTCTCCACAATCCATGTATGTCTGCACCTTTCAACCTAGAATAGTACTTCTGTTGTCTGATGAAGAGGGGCTCTAGCCCACAAAAAGCTTCGGCTGTTGCCTTTCTTCAACTGTGCAGAATTAAAACCTTTTCTATTAAAGACTAGCTTGACTTCCTCTGCAGGATTAATGTTGTGTATTAGCTTTAATAGCACTCTCCTAGTCATGTTTACTCATAAGTATGTGTGGTTAGCCCTGCAGCCGAAAAATTGTCCCAAGCAAAGGAATACTCTCAAGTCTAAATGCTGTACGCTTCTCTCTCCCTTCCCTCCCATACAGATAGATATATAGGTATCCATATCTCATACCTTCAGCATGCCATCTGTGAGCCACTGCTCAATGTGGATTAAGAGATGTTTGTGCTGCAAGGGGAGCAAGCTGTGCTTTCTTGTAGTGCAGACTTTTTGTGCCTGTGTTCTGTTTCTAGTAAATGCAAGTTGCTCAGACATCCTTGTTTTTTTGTTAATGATAAGTAGTTTCTGGTAGCCTGAAGAGAAGATCTGCAAAAGTCCTCCCACCTTGTCAAAAGGACCATTCTTTATAAACATGAAGAAGAGTTAGGAATTTTGTGCTCTCCATCAACTTGCCAAGTGATGAAAAGAAGGTAGCTTCATAAGAGTGCTTTTTTGTCATCAGTAGAGCGGAAACTTCTGCCATGATTATGAGTAGAGCTTTTTACTGAGGATTACAAGAGAATAAAATAAAATTTCACGAGGGCCTTGCAAGTACTAACTCTTGTCTTAGGATTCATGCTTCTTAAATCACTTCAGCCCATCTTTTATGTGCTTGTACGCTTTGCACTCCAGATGTCCTTATGAATGCACTGGTGGTTCAGGATGGTAATTATGGAACTAGGGGCAGTGTTCGAAACTCCCATTGTTCTAGGCACATTTTGCGACAGAGAATTTCATAAGCACAAGCAGGTTCTGACCTCTTGGCCCAGTACTGTGCCTAAGTTTTCAGATTAAAACTTTGTACTTCCAGCAGTTTGAACTCCATCTTGTACCCCACTTTCAAGAAGCACTTGTTTGATATTTGCAGGGGAAAGTATGCCGGCACCTCCTTCACAGTATTTAAATTGTTTCAGTTAAGAAGGATTTGCATATTTGCAAGCAACATAATTTTACACCAGTTTTCAAATCAACACAAAATTAAACAGTTGTGACATTTACAGAGCATGAGGTAGATATTCATCGTGCTTTAGGCCGCATAGTCATCTTGTCATCTGTGACACACAAGTTGGAATGGGGTGGGGAGAGGATGTCCTTCCTCCTTTGTGATTTATCTTAATTTTGCCACCTGTGGCTAACTTGCTAGGTGTTTCTTTCTACAGGTTGGATACAGAAAATACAGGACTGTTCATGAGAATTTTAAGCAGGGCTCCACAAATTATTGCTGGCCTTAGTAGTGAGCCATTTGTATTGGCCACTGGCTCCTCTCCTACACAGAATCCTCTGGCACACATGGGGAAGAGCTGGGTCAGCTTTTCACTTACCCTGGGCTTTCAACACACTAGGAAACAGCAAGAGAGATGCTTGGTATATCTTCTAAATGAGGTACTAAAAGAGGCAGGCTCCGTCTTTGTGTGTGTCAGAGAACTTGGACAGAGAGAGAGTAGTCTCTCTTTCTAACCTGTTATGAAGAAAGAGCCTTCCCCTTGGGTTGTCTGCAAATCATGCAATAATTTGAGAAATGAGGTACTGTATCTTGCTTTGTCCAGGACATCTAGGAATTGCCAGAAAGAGACCATTAGTAACTGCTGGTCACGCCTGACTGTATTTATTACGGATGTTTGCACTTAACTACCCAGGACAGTGGTTTTCAAACAGTAGGGCAGTCTCCCTTTAGCACGTGGAAAGAGAATTCAAAGTCAAAAAGAGACAGAACCTTAAGCCATGTAGAACCATCCTCCCTAGCAGGCCAAGACATGATGGGCTGAACACCCCAGCAGAAAATATTCATTGATTCATACTGAGTTTAAGTGGATGAGTGAGCGCCCACCTAATTTGGCAGGAGCTTCTCCCCTTTTCTAAAACTCTTACCTTGTTGGAATAGTGTCCCACATGCAAAGACCTTTGTGTGCCATGAGCAGAGTTTTGGTTCTGATTTGACAAGGGGGATCATAGGACAGAATTGATTGAGAAGGGGGTGACAAGCTCATACTGAGCTGGGGCCTATAATCTCTTGCACAAAATGCTGACACTTTGTATCTCTTATTCCAGCAGCAATTTCTTTCTTTGAAACTTAACCCAATGAGGCATCAGAGGGACGTGTTCAGCATGGTGATGACAAATAAACTTGGAGCACCTTGCAAAGGACCTTGTGGTGCCAAAAGCCATGGGGTGGAGGATGCTGCTGCCGTTTTGAAGCTGGGCTATCTAACTCAAGAGGAAGATAATTTGCACGGAACATAGGATGAGTGGGACAGCTGAGCCACGGCTGCTGCACTTCATATGTTGATGCCGGAGACAAGATGGCTGTAAACTACGACTGAAACGGTGGGTCTTAACACTGGCTCTGAATAGTTGATCCCGACACACACAGTACAGTGTATATTTTGCATTGTAATTGCAGTTGGGAGAGGAAACACAGCTGCACTGTAGGTAGACCAAATACTCCAGCCATAGACGTTGCCTCCTAGTAGACTGCTATTATTAAAGTGATCCTGCTAGGGTGATGGGTGGGAAATGGGTGTGAACTTCAATCCTTACAGAATATGAAAATAATAAAGACCAAACTATCACAAGATTGGGACGCGGGTGGTGCTGTGGGTTAAACCACAGAGCCTAGGACTTGCCAATCAGAAGGTTGGCGGTTCGAATCCCGGCGGGGTGAGCTCCTGTTGCTCTGTCCCTGCTCCTGCCAACCTAGCAGTTCGAAAGCACGTCAAAGTGCAAGTAGATAAATAGGTACTGCTCCGGCAGGAAGGTAAACGGCGTTTCCGTGCGCTGCTCTGGTTTGCCAGAAGCGGCTTGGTCATGCTGGCCACATAACCCGGAAGATGTACGCCGGCTCCCTCGGCCAGTAAAGAGATGAGCGCCGCAACCCCAGAGTCGGTCACTACTGGACCTAATGGTCAGGGGTCCCTTTACCTTTTTATCACAAGATTATTCTGTGTCTTTGCAAAATAAACTTGGCCATGTACAGATACTGTGATGATGACTATTAACTATGTTTCACATAGCAAATTAGTACTTCATATCGTAGCTCACGTGCTGTCCTTTATGTGGTGAATGCTGTTTGATGTCTCTGTTGGGAGACTCAGTTCTGATGCTTTTGTTTTTGTTACGCATGAGCTGTTAAGCAATTAGGGCTTGACTTAGTGAGGTTATTTGTTCTAGCATGTATCTGAATAGGTCTTCATAAACCTGGGAATCAAGAAGGGAAGGAAATGGATGTAGCTGCGTTTTTATTTTCCTCTTCTGTTTTGCCTTTTGTCCCAGTTCTTAAATGAAACAAGGTGTGAGTGTCTGATTTTATTTTAGGGAGGGGGAAGCTAGCTGGGTTGTACACTTCAAAGGAAGTAATTATCCTTAGAAGCTCAGATGTTCAACTTGGGCAGTTGCCACTGTAGGTTTATTAGAAAGAAACCTTGGACATTGTACTAACTCACAGAGTTTGTGGTACAGAAAGTGGCTACAGCTGAATACACAAATCCATGCTATTAACATATGTGTAAAGGTCTTTTTTTTTTTTTTAAGAAACACAGTGAACACAATGGGAGGAATGAATGGCTTGGTTCACATGTTGGGTTGAATTTTTGTTTGATGTTATATGAATGAGGCTTGAGCTTGTGTGCTGCCCCCTCACTTTGCAGGCTTTGATTTCAACCTCCTTATGTCAAACCTTGATTTACTGTTACATTCAGACCGGCAAACTAGTAGATGTTCTTTCCCTCTTATTCAAACCACAATGCCTGAGAGCCCAAGAATCTCTCACAATGCAAAAGCATTAACTGCTGTTGTGTTAGAGGTGAGCCAGTTCAATGTGAATCAGCTCCCATGCTGCACTTCATCACAAGACTGCTTTTATTATCATAGATTGAAGGTAATATCCAAGAGTAGGCTACAGTTCTTGCTGCTTTGTGGCACAAAAATATATTGGGAAAGGCTGCTAAGACTTCATAGAGTAACACTTTTAATCTGCAAAACTTGAGTGTGTCCCACTGTGTGCTAAGGTGAGAAGGAAGCAGCTGAATACATTGCTGTTGCTTGCACACTCCGCTATTGTTGCCTGCCTTTTTTCCTGCTGTCTGCTCACTGCTTTTCTTCTGCCCATAAGAGCTACTAACAATGATGTTTCCAAAGAAAGGAAAAGCAGTTCAGCTTTATAGCAGCTGTTAAATATTTTTGTCAGGCCAGGCTCTCCATGGCTACTTGAGATGGAGATGAACAGTGATTAGAGAATCTTGGAAAAGCTATGGGTGTTCTTCCAGTTACTGATCTGGCTAAACTGGGTATTACAGTTTTTAGAAACTTGGAAGTGTAGTTTGATCAGATACCTGCTTTTAAAATGCATTTTAAATTAATACATCATAAATAATTTACATGCTGCTGTTAATGTTTGGATTATGATAATGTCAAAGGTATAATACTTGTTCTAGCCTTAGCGTTCCACCCCTGGGAAAACAATCTGTCTTGCAAACAGTGATTCAGGCACCTTCCTCCTGTTTTTCCCCAGGTTCTGGTCTCTGAATTGTTCCTGCCTCTCCAGAACGGTATTCTAGCTCCATAAAGCCACAACTAGAAGAAAACTTTATACTACCAGTTGATGCCCTTTAATGCTGAAAGCAATAATGTGCACATTGATAATAGAATTGTAGAGAAGTGACCACGAGGATCATCTAGCCGAACCCTGTAAAGCAGGGATCTAAGATTAAGAGCCTCACACTCTACTGACTGAGCTATGAGGGTCTAGACTGATAATGACAGCAGTATAGAGAAGGAATAGGCACTGTCAGCTGGAGCATTTTACTGTAATTTATTGAACCAGGCAACTTAGAATACAGATATTGCCATTTGTGCAGAAGTGTTGGAGCAGAGGGAATGCCTAGGAGGGAAAAACAGCCAGGCTTTCTAGAAATGTAACTTCTTTTTGCTATTTGCCAGGTGCCTTTCAAGTTGCTTACCATCCCGTTCCAGAGAGCATTTGGAAATCAGTGCTTTGTTTAATCACCAAGCCATCCAGAAAGGTAAGACAATTTCTCAATATTTGCTAGCTATGTAGTGTGAAGGTTTTTCCCTCCTAATTTTCATGTTGCCTTTTGTGCTTTGTTGTGTCAGAATTGCATAATCATATATGCTGATAGTGAACTCATTCTCCAAGTGCTAATCCTTATGGAGCTAATCCAACGCACAAATAAAATCCAATCATAGGCATCTCAGTGTGTTTTTCCTCTGTAAAGCTCTGCCTGTGTAGAATAAAGACACTTATTCTTCTGTTTTCACCGCAAGTAGCAGCAAATGAAAATGCAGCTAGATTTATTTTCATTGCTGGTTTTTTGTTTTGTTTTTTGCTTGTTGGCTGAAACTGGTCTACTCACCTGGCTTCCTACTTTCATTGTTGGAGTCTAAGGAAGCAGTTTTCTATGTGTGGTAATAAGCTTTAGCAATGTGGAATGGTCTTTGTAAGGAAGTCCCTGGATGCGTCAGTGGAATGGATAGCTAAGAGCCTGGTCAGGCAAAGTTGCTAATATTTTTCTGCTTAAATGAGAAACCAGGCATTTTGCACAGAAAAAGAATGCGATCTCAGAAGTAGCTTTGCATAGGGTGATTTAAGTTTGGTTGACATCCTTCTGGAGGGAGATGTGGCTGCTTAATCCCATGCTGCTTGGGAAACAAATACCGCATTGTATAGCTTTGTCTACTGCCTTGGTTCAGGTGATTCCTTCCTACGCTCATAGCTATACAGGACAACCACCAATGGGGATTTGGGGGGGGGGCAGAAGGGCAGAGAAAAGTTATGACAGCTGGTTCTGTTCATACAGCCCTTTGATCTGTAGCTGTCTACTTGGGTATTAGTATGTAAAATATGCAATTTGCTAGTTTTCACCTCCCTGGATATAATTACTATTTTAGGATGACAACTTGTTTCACTTTGATGTTACAAGTCAATATAGCCTTTATTCTTTCTAACTCATGTTAAGATTACAAATAGTAATGGTGTATTGCAGAAGCAAATGTTTACTTTTGGCTCCCACCGAAGCTCAGTAACTCTTTTCTGTATTCTCAGCTTATGCATTCTATTATGTGCAAATAATTCCTTTAATTGTATGGTGTTAGCTATGTACACTTTTGATTTCTCTCTCTCTAAAGGTGGCAGATTTTATTTTATCTATCAGTTGGACACAGTATCTTCAAAACACTTTTGCCTCTTCCCCTTGGATGAGAACATATAGCTTTCCCCAATATTTGTATGTTTGTGTCATTTTAATCTTTTCCTTCAACAGAATTCTGACCGTGAACATACAGATCCCTGCAGAAAATTCTTCCCAAGGCACAGAACTGTGTGAGCTTGTGTGTATGGCTGGAACCATGATGAAACATCAGCTATCTTGCTTGTGGGATTCAGTACATTTGTACCGACTGCTTATAATCTGTTCCGAGTCATCTTCGTTAAGCAGAGAACTTTCATTGTATCCAAGCACTGACAGAATGTCTCAAGATGAACAGATACTTTAAACACTGATTTATGGAATAAAAGCCTATTTTATGATTACATTTGGCATCTTTTGTTTACTTGCACTAGCTAGGAGCTTGGACAAACATGCTTTGTGGATATTTTAAGACTCTTTTCTAAGGGTTGTGCATTTGGGTCCTGGTGTGAGCACCACAGCTTCTTCTGGTCTTGGTTGCGGGTGAGGAGCTGTTTATGGATAAACAAGAGAGTACCCATTGAAAGGAGACCAATTGTCTGCTGCGCATGTAGAAGACCCCTGGCTCCCAATATAAAACCTGTGCATTGCATCTTAAGTCCTAATAAGAAAGTTCTGTCTTGCCTGTTTTACTTGCTGAAGGGCCACTATTGGTAATAGTTGCACCTCTTAATTTAGGAGAACTAGAGCTCCTCCTTTTTCAATGAGACCTTGGGTCTCCAGCTGTTTTTGGACTACAGATCCCATCCCTGACCACTGGTCCTGCAAGCTAGGGATGATGGGAGTTGCAGTCCAAAACCAGTTGGAGACCCAAGTTTGGGAAACGCTGGCCTAGACCATTGTTCACTGGCCCTGCTCAGCTTTTGCCTGTTTGGAAGGTATCACTGAATTGTGCTGATGCTGCTTATTGTCTAGCTGTGTGTGAATCTGAAGAATATAATCTACTCTACAAAATTAAGAGTCCCATCTATTGCTGTGACTATTTTACTGCTGATCTCTACTACTGGCATGTGTCTCCTGCACTTGAGTGAATGTGGGTTTTTGGGGTGAAGGTTCCCCATTCACAGAGGTAGGTGAAGCTTGCCCTACATTTGTAAAGAGGTTTCTCATACCTGCTGGATTGCACCTAACTACTCCCCTCCTTTCCAACATTGTGGTGTGAATCACACAGTGCTGGTTTGCATGTGCTTGCTTCCTGCTTAGTCACACTAATTTATGACGTAAACAGGGCTGTAGTTTGGGGATGCCATGACTGACATGAGAAAGTGGAAACATGGTCTTGAGTACATTACTGTAAATACACTGAGAAACTTTTTTTTTAAGGAACAGGAAGTAGTAGTGAGTCAAGTGACACTGCCACTGGTCATCTGAACTATCATTAATATTGTGTGGTTCAGCATCTTCCCAGTAGGAAGCTGCAATCATTATTCTACCATAAATTCATAAGTAGAAGTATGATAACTCTTAATTGGTGAAAATGTTTCCTTTCACCTTACTTTTTTATCAATAGATGTAGGAAAGTAGGCAAAAATATTCCACTACTGGCAGCTCTTTCAAAACTAGTGCTCCTTCAAGAACTTCAGTACTAAATTATTCAGCACTAAACAGGATCATGTAAGAAATGCTCCAGTTCATGTACTGATTTGTGTAAATGGTGGCAGAAAGCTGCTGTGGGAGAGGAGAATGTTAAAATAATCCTGTTATTCACAGGGGCAGCTGAGTACACAAGCTGGCTTTGACTGTAGACAAAGTAGATGGATGAACATGAGGAGATACTTAGCATCCCATGCCCCACTTATGGCCTCAAGGGCATGTGGCTGGCTGCTGGACCACCTCCATCTATGGTCAGTGTAAGCAATTGGCTAAGTATCTGAAATATTCATGAATGCCAAGATTGTCACAAAATAGTGAGCAAGCTTTTGTATTTTGTGCAGATGTTAATCAAAAGTGGGTGAAATGGTGGCTTAATGTGCTGACTATGGGCTGAAAACAACTTTCTGGACAGGAAATGCTAGGCTTCTCCCAAATTTGCCCTGGAGGGTTCTGAGGTAAAAAAAAATATTTTTTTCATACAAGCATCCTTGTGTAAGCATTGCCATCTAAACAAGTGCAATAAATTGGAAAGTTAAGTAGTTTCTGAACAACAGCAATCTCATCTGAGCACAAAGTTTTGGTTTCTCTCTTAAGAATCCGGTGTGAAAATCTCACTGTAAAACCATAGCATTTTCCAGCCACTGCAAAAATTAGTTAAAAGTGATCACCACACTAAAGCACAGCACTACACAAAATACTGCAACAATTTTCTTCTCCCAACTAGGGCTCAGATTATGTTTTCACAACCACCACTCTGTTACATGAAGCCACATATCAATATCCAACAGCATTAGTCAGATCTCCTCTATTCAAGCATGACCAAGCTTCAGGCTCACTATTTGCCCTCAAGCCATCCCACCTCCTGAATTGGAAGAGGAAAGATAAAGCTTGAGTGTGACACCTTACTATATATATTACTTTTCAGACAGATACGTACTGTTCATGCTTTACACAAGCTTTTTACAAACTGCATCTCAAAGCAGCAGTAATCATATTTACTATAATCCAATCCAGACAACAGGAAGATTGGACTGCTAGGTACGGAGGTTGAATCATAAACTTGTCCAGTTGTAGGATACAGCCCTGATATTCTTTGTATGACCAGGTATCTGGGCTGCTACCTTCTGACAGGAGGGAGCAGGTGTTTTACCATTTCTTTAAGACCTGGATTCAACAGGGCTGGGGAGTGTAGTTCTCTTAGTAGTGGGTGCGATCTAGCATGCTACATCAGCGTGCTCAATGTGATTTTAAACTTTTTTCTTTCAACAACATACTTTCTCCACACCACCACCCATGCAACAACCAAGTTGCTTTTGGAAATTTCAAAAGGGTTTGCTATGTAGCACCGAGGAGGGAAAAGATCCTCATCAGTGCACAAAGTTTCTTTGGCTCCTAGTCAGGAATATCTTCCTGTTTTCATTACGTTTCTCCATCAAGCCCTTGCTCTCACTGTACAGTTACCCTGTCCTAGCCTTTGGAAAAATAATTGATACTCAAATATAAACAGTAATTGGAATTTTTTTTAGTGCAAGTTGGTCACTCAAAAGTCTTCCAGAACATACATCATGTCAAATACATACACAGGCCTGTGGTACAGATTAAAACATTTGTTTTAAAGTAACAATGTGTTACATATTTTCATCATCTGATTCATCTTCTTCTTTCAGAGATTCCTGTAGAAATAAAGAGAAAAGATCAGGTCCTACTGCTTCCGTGCTAACAGACAGCACCCCACATGTTATACATACACCAGGAATCTAGCTGTGTGCACTATTTGTGGAATTAAAATAGCTGACATTTTATACCTACTTTACATAAAAGTACACAAATTCTACAGCAGCCTGCATCATCACTTCTCCACTTAAAGGTAACTGGTATTTTAATATTTATGGACCAGATTATCTTTTGTAAACCAAAATTACTTAAGAGGAATTGGAAGAGATGTTTTCCTCCCAGGAATGTAAGCAGAAGGTCCCCATTTCAATCGCTGGCACATCCAGGCAGGGCTGGGACCATTCCCCGCCTGAAATCTGGACAGCTACTGCCAGCTGGAATAGACTACTGAGCAAGATGTACCAATGTATGATGTTCCAGCACTTACCTTAGCGTATTTCTCTGCTTCTTCCTTAATGTCTTTTGGGACAATTTCATGTTTTCCCTTGGTTACTATGAATTAAAGAGGAAATGTTTATTTTATTTTTTTAGAATGCAAACCTATCTTCTAAGTTTGAAGCAAAGGCAACGTCATATACAAATGTGCCACAAACTCATTTTGTGGTACTGTTATCTGAAAAACAGTATGGGCTATAGTCATACAGTAGACTCATTAAAACCAACAGACTTAAGTCACGGCTTCTGATTTCAATGGATCTACTCCTGAGCAGACTTGTTGTATACAGCCATGGTATTTAGATTATGTACCCCCATACAAGGGCACATGTCTTCAATTTTAAGTCAAGGGTGGGGAACCAGAGACCCGAAAGATGTTGTTGGCCTCCAACAACCCCTGCCAATAGTCACGGCTGGTGCGAGTTGGAGGCTGGCGGCGCTCATCTCACTCTATGGGCCGAGGGAGCCGGCGTACAGCTTTCGGGTCATGTGGCCAGCATGACTAAGCAGCTTCTGGCGAACCAGAGCAGCGCACAGAAACGCCGTTTACCTTCCCGCCGGAGCGGTACCTATTTATCTACTTGCATTTTTACGTGCTTTCGAACTGCTAGGTTGGCAGGAGCAGGGACCGAGCAATGGGAGCTCACCCCGTTGCGGGGATTCGAACCGCCGACCTTCTGATCAGCAAGTCCTAGGCTCTGTGGTTTAACCCAAAGTGCCACCCGCATCCCTTAGCTATGCTGTTAATTAAAGATAAATCACAGCAAGTTACAAAAATAACTATTTTCATAAAGCAGCAAACAGTAATGAAGGAAGAGAAGATTTGAACGATACATTACTTTCTCCAACCCAACTGAGTTCAAGTTCAAAAGCTTTGTCTTTTACTTCATCATGGACTATGTAGATTCTAGAAAAAATAAACACAGAAAAAGTAGTTACTCCAAGTATCTCTCAAGAAGTATAGTAGGAACCCACTTACAGCTTTGGGACGGGAGGAACTCAATAGTAAACAGTTTTTACATACATTCAGAAGAGAGCATATACTCAGAAACATGCATGTCACAATTTCAGGACACCTAAAAATCACATGTAAACTGGCTCTTTTGTTACTTACTGGAGATAAAATGCTTCTAAAAGGGTCCTCTTTCAGAATTATTTGACATGATTTAATTTGATGTTAGTGTTTAAAGAAAGCTGTACACAATTGCCTCTTCATACCTCCCTTTGCACAAGCAGTAAAATAAGCCAGGATTCAGCACTTGAAACATAGCTTCCAATGGCTTGTAAACAAGTCAGGATTAGATGGGAGCTTTCAGCAAGGGAGGAGTGAAGCAATAAGCCAGGATTTTGGTTTAGCATTACACGTGAAATCGATCACCTATCAAAAGTTGAATCCACCCTCCAAATAGAAAGTTCACTCACACTTTCAACATCTATATAATTAATCCCTTAGCTATGTAGACTTTCACACAAAAATATGAAATTATGAGTATGAAATGCATAGCCTTAAAGTAGTTTGAAATCAAATAGGGTCATAATATGGATGTAAACAGAAAGTCCATTTTATCTGAACTGCTGGATCCCAGCCCATCATCCAAAGACAAATCAATATAAGAACTGCCCCAGTGAATCAACCCAAACCAACATTGTAAGAAACTTACATTTTTGCAACTTCTTTAACAACATCACGGCAAGTCATATCTTTCATCTGTGGACATACAAATACAGTGAGCATTTTAATCACATACTATTGTGTGTACTGTGTTCTCAAATAAAACTCACAAACCCAATGCACTATAGTTAAGTGTGAAATAAATTCTACCTAGATTCTCAGGAAGCTCATTTCTGCACCAATCTAATTCCTGAAGAACTGAGATTGTATCTACACACATCCTTTGTTATTCACAAAGCTCTTGGAAGGTCAAGTTTGAACTGGTGGCAGCAGTCCAGTATTTTACTGAGAAGGCAACACTTCTAGATACCTGGATTAATAAGCCAAAAAAATTCCTGCCCTGTGGAAAAATTGTTTCAGACACACCTAGGATGTTTGTTTAAAAGCTAAGTCATAAGGCAATGCCTTACCTGGAGTTTTTCAATCTCTGTCTTTGCAGCTTGTCTTGCTTTTCCAATGGCACATCCCCAATAACCCTGTAAATGCAACAGGAACAACTTTAAACCAAACAATATCTGTAATTATTGCAAACGTTTTACATGTCACAAACAAATGCATGCATGTGCCTTATCAAACAGCAGTGCAGTCCTAACCTTAATTCAGACGAAGTTCATACTGTGTCAGTCCCATTCCAGAGACCTGCACAAGTACAGTGGTACCTCTAGATACGAGCGGGATCCGTTCTGGAGCCCCGTTCGCATCTAGAAGCAAACGTAACTAGCGACAGCACGTCTGCACACGTGCATGTCGCTTTTTGCCGCTTCTGCGCATGACGTCATTTTGAGCGTCTGCGCATGTGGCGAAACCCAGAAGTAACGCACTCCATTACTTCCCGGTTGCCATGGAGTGCAACTTAAACACGCTCAACTCAAAGCGTATTCAACCCAAGGTATGACTGTATACTGAACATCTGGTGATCTTCTGGACTAGGGATCAGTAAGCAGCCCAATACCAACCGCCAGCTGCTCCCTGCTGCCCCAATCACTTTAAACTAAAGGACTTCAGTGGATGAGCAAGAGTCTCACAACTGCCTATCTACTAACTGTTCCCCACCTATGAAGATTTAACTCACGTATGAAACGCCTGATGGGTCTATCATGTATAGCTGAGCGCCTTCATCATCACCATCATAGGAACCCAACATGAAGCTGGAAATGTGAAAGATTTTGTTGAAGAACTGCCAGACAGAGAATAAATGACAAAAGGTCTGCAATCCTACAAACACTTAATGGGAAGTACCACTGAGCTCAATGAGGCCTACTTCCAAGTAAGCAATTTGGGAAAGTTTCACTGAAATCAGCTGCACAACTGGGAAACTTCTGTACTTGCCACCCTATTTTGTAATGTACCATTGGGTTCATATTTAACTACTATAACTTGCCTACCATAGGCATCACCTTGCCAAATGGTAAATATAGTTCTGCCACACTTCCCTTCACTCAGATAACACTTACTGGAAAAGCTCTGTTTGTAGCAAATATCTTCCCAAATTATTACATGTGGACTATGTCAAGCTGAGAATGGTTGCTTAAGAACATGGGATGTTCTTAAGGTATGTTTTGCTGACCCATGGATACTTGTTAAGATTCCCAAAATTTTTTAGCTTCTAGCATACCCAGAAAATTAATAGAAAGATTAAGATGTCCAATATTTGTTATTCCAAATCAGAAATTATAAGGGCAATCCTTTTTATTCAGCTAATTTAAATAAGGTAGGAATATACTTCTAGGTCACATACTGAGGAGAGGAGAATAATAATAATAATAATAATAATAATAATAATAATAATAATAATTTTTTTATTTATACCCCAGCCAAGACCGGGCTCAGGGCAGCTAACAACCAATAATAAAAACAAGTTGATTAAAATACAATTTAAAAAGATTAAAATACAACATTAAAACATTAGAATGCAGCCTCTTCATAGAAGGAGAAAGGAAAAAGAAAGGGGGGGGGGGGAATCAAACTGATTCTAAGCCGTAGGCCAGGTGGAACAACTCTGTCTTACAGGCCCTGCGGAAAGAAATCAGATCCCGCAGGGCCCTGGTCTCATGAGACAGAGCGTTCCACCAGGCCGGAGCCAGTGTTGAGAAGGCCCTGGCTCTGGTTGAGGCTAATCTAACTTCCTTAGGGCCTGGGACCTCTAGAATAGGATTTAACCTATTCTTACTAGTGAACTGTGGGTATATTGGGTTGGATGTGGATCCAGAATTGCATGGAGTGGAACTCTGCTAACTGAATGCTCCCTTGGGCAGAGGAAAGATAGGCATTTTCTGACAATTCCCCTCACCATGCAGTCCCTCAATGCCTCCAAAAGTCTGCTCTGGAAGGTTGGCAAGCCCTCAAAAATAATGTGAGAGAAGAAACTGGGCAGTAATCATTTTTAAAGCCTTAAAAAAAAAAACCTGCTCTTCAGCCAAAAGAGACTTTCAGAGAAGCTTCAAAAGAGTCATCCAAAAAAATATCTCCATCCAGGAGGAGTTTCAGTTGGATCCAATGCACACAAACAGAAAGAGTGGAACAGTAGGTCTGGATCCAAGCCACTGAATATTCTTAGTAATGCTGATAGGAAAGAATTTGGATAAAACACACCGCGACACATTTTGAATATAATCCAACAGAACCCAGAGGACGCACCTTTTTGAAAGCAGAACTTAATTATTTTCCCTTGAGGAAGGACTCTGTCAAAACATGCCTGCCTAAACTCTCCATCTAGCACCAGGTTGTGTTTTTCCTGCCTCCCTCCTTGCCCCTCCCCTTTTGGCTGATGTCTTCCTTTTCTTTTTCACTCTTAAGCAGTCTTGGTGGATTTTTTAAGAGGCTGTGTTAAGTAAGCAATCCAGATTTCCAAGTTCAAGCAGCAAGAGTGCATTCCTTAGATCTGGAGATCTTGCCTTCTGAAACTTGCAAGAATCCAGCAGAGCATCTTCACTTGATTATTACCCTTGTTTGTGCATTTAGCACTCAGAGATAAAGGCTTTTAAATTGTGTTTTACAAATGTATTTTTCTCATATACAAACACACATTTTAAGTAACTATCTGGTCTGAGCTCTGGTTGGCAAGTGTGTTGTGAATTGCAGTATGAATGAATAAAAGCTCTTACCTGCAACCAAAAGGTCTGACAGCACTGTACAGAGTATAGGCGTGTACATACATAGCCACTCTGTCTGCAAGATGCTGTTGGGGAGGAGGGAAGAAAGAAGAATGGTAAGAGCACTGGAAATATTTTTAAATAAGTTTCCTGCAAAGCATCTGAAGCATGCTGTGCTTTTGATAAGTTGCATACGGATAGAAGCAAAAAGAAACAAAGCCCCTTACTTTCAATGGAATATTATAGCCATAGTTGGATCTGAAGTTAGAAGCTTCTTCCCTTGCTATGTCAGCCAAAGAACGTGCATCAGCCAGGAGTCCTGCAACTGCCTGAAATAAACATCAGCCATCTTACAACAAAAATCAAAACAGAAATTTGAGTCAACATACCACACTCCCCGTGTATCTCTCTGGCATTATCCTTTACAACAGACACATGATTGCCAGGCACATGTTTCCAGAACTGGTCAAACTAGCATTTCCACCCTTGCAAGTTGACGCCTCCAGCTTTCCTTCCTGGTTACAAGCTAAAAGTTACCAGTGGCTTATCCAAGAGGCCATTTGACAGGGGGATAAGCCTCAGCACATGCTAAACGGCAATGAATGCTCTAAGATACTGAGGACCAACTCACCATTCCAACATGTCGATCGACATTAAAGAGGCGTTTATTGGATCCTTCTTCGTACAGTTTGGACAGAACTAATTTTTCGACTCCAAAGACTACACCATCTTTACACCGTATCCCAATTGCTGTACTGAAAAAAAAGTTACGATACAGTAATCAGTTAAAAGTATTTCTTGCTAGGATTTTTCAGTTGAATTTTCAATCAGAAGGTGCTCTAGGAAAAACAGGTTAACAATTCTTTTTAAAACATCAATTAAAAACCAACCTAATTAAAAAACAAACAACATGACTAATCTACAATAAATGGTATCTGCAATTGATGAAAACTAGGCCAGTTCAGGAAAGGCCTGCACACGACGCTTATAAGAGAACCACAAGGTATATTATATGGCTTTGGAACTAAAATATTACGGTTTTAGTATTTATTCAAATTTTCATCTTTTTAGGACAGTACTGGATCAAGATAAAAAGCTACTACAGTGGTACCTCTGGTTACGTACTTAATTCGTTCTGGAGCTCTGTTCTTAACCTGAAACTGTTCTTAACTTGAAGCACCACTTTAGCTAATGGGGCCTACTGCTGCTGCCACACCGCCGCTGCACGATTTCTGTTCTCATCCTGAAGCAAAGTTCTTAACCCGAGGTACTATTTCTGGGTTAGCAGAGTCTGTAACCTGAAGCGTCTGTAACCTGAAGCGTCTGTAACCCGAGGTACCACTGCACTATCAAATATAGTCGAGAAAACATACACATGTACTGTGGGAGGAATTCAACATCAAGCTAAGGCAATTAGAGTTCTGCTAGGTCACACACGTTGACTTTCCAGTCAGAACACCCAACCCTCTCATTACCCCCCCCCCACTGTTCTGGGGGTTCAAACAACTCCCACAGAGCTAATAGGGTGGGGGCACAAGCAGAGGAAAGAGGGAAAGCCTGGTTAAACAAGCTGAAGTCCTGGAGCAGGGCTTCCACTGATGGGACACATTACTTGAATCCTATCCATTTTGACAGAACTTCAACTTAGTACTGTATAGCACTAACATTTTGAACCACCAATGCAGCCTGTGTTAGCTTGCCTACTATGTGCAACCTCACTGCACTGTTTTAAAAAAGCTTCCTCCTTATGGCATGAAAATATAGCCTGAATGAAACAATACATTTCAAAGACATTGATTTTCTAAGAAAATCATATGTGTATACACTGATTTCAACAATATCCAAACTTTTTAAAGCTAAAGTTTTACGCCATCATGCAACTTTTGAAAAAATCATCGAACCAAATGAATTTTATAGCTGTCAGCTGCAGTCCTAGGCACACTTCCATGTGAGTAAGTATCTCTGAGGAAACATGCACAGACTGGGCTTTAGATGAAAGTAGATTTGACTGAAATTAGTTTGACTAGCTGCTATCACATCATGTATCTGCCAAGGTGGAACAATGAAAAAGCAGCAATCCTGTTCCCACAGAGGTTAAGAGCAAAACATTGGTTGATTTTAATGAAAACAGAGGCTTCACATTGTGACTTACCTCTGAGTAAAAATGCATGATGGCAGGCTGTAAGGCTAAAACCCAACTTCACTTAATGATGTCACTTCCAAATGGGACTTACTCCCAAGTAAGCAAGGTACAAGAATGAGTTCACAGAATTCAAGAGGTCAGAACACATACAAATAAAAGCAGGTAAAGGTAGGTAAAGAACCACTGGATGGTGTAGTCCAGTTAAAGGTGACTATGGGGGACACAGGTGGCGCTGTGGTCAAAACCACTGAGCCTCTTGGGCAAATAAAAGGACCTGCAGTTCTGTGGAGAAACCCATACTTTGCATGCAGAACCAGGTAGCAGCATGTAATAGAAAATATGTTTGTCTGACGCTATACAACCAGGAGTGGGGAAGTGTACATGGCTAGTGGGCTGGATCTTTCAGTACTGCACGCCCCGTAGATCAACTTTGACCTATCAATCACATGTCAGAGTAATGTCACGATGACAACGTCAGAGGTGCTCAGTGTAATTGCCAATCAGCTGCTGCAGCAAGCCCTTCTGAAGTTCATTTGTGGGTGCAGTTAAGGTTCAAAATGTGTTGCGAACAAAGCAGGGCTTGCACAAATAGCACTCATTTTCAGCCAATTATTGCCTTGGATCTGTGTTCTTACCTGCTTATACCCATCATACATGATAGCAGAGGGTCACCATTTGTGGACGATTGTCTCAGGGACCACATGCCAGGCCTAATTAGGCCTGTGAGCTGGAAACCTCCCAACCCACTAAAGGGAATCCACTGCCAGTCAAAGGAGGCTATACTGGGGTATATTGTCTAGTGGTATGATGCAGTATAAAGCAATTTCATTTGTAAATTCTACTGTTTAGTCTCTGCAAAAGTGTTCTTTTTAACATTAAGTTTTATATCAGGGTTTCGTTCATTTAAAAAAAGGGTTTTTTAAATAAATAAATAAATAAATAAATAACAGGTCTTACTCTTACCTGCTATTCTCCACAGCTTTCATAGCATATTCTACTTGAAACACTCTGCCATCTGGAGAAAATGTAGATGCTGACAAGTCATACTGCAAAAGAGAAGCATACATTTGTAGCTTTTTTTCAAAGAACAGCAAGTGGCAGTGGAACTGGGATTCCTTAGTCAATTTCACTGCATACCCGCTGTATGCTGTATAAATAAGGTGTGTTGCTCTCCTACTATAAAAACAATCTCTAAATTTGCACATTTCTCAAACTATAAATATTTGTTTTATTTACCGTATTTTTTGCTCTATAAGACTCACTTTTTCCCTCCTAAAAAGTAAGGGGAAATGTGTGTGCGTCTTATGGAGCGAATGCAGGCTGCACAACTATCCCAGAGGCCAGAAGAGCAAGAGTGATTGTTGCTTTCACTGCGTAGCAATCCCGTTTGCTGTTCTGGCTTCTGAGATTCAGAATATATTTTTTCTTGTTTTCCTCCTCCAAAAACTAGGTGCATCTTGTGGTCTGGTGCGTCTTATAGAGCGAAAAATACGGTAATTTAAACAACATATATACTGCTTAACTACAATAGATAGACTACAGAATAAAAATCAGTTAAAACTATGTATTTTATGATTTACACATGAAACAAATGCAATAATAGAAGAAATCATTCTGCCCAATAATTGAAAATCTGGGGGCAACGGCCTATAGAAAGCCAACTTCTAATTCCAAGCACATTTACTGAGCACTGAGTCCCACACAGTTCAAAATTAGGGTTGCAGCCTTAGAGAACTAAGCTCCTATGTAGCTAACAATTGCTGGGTCTGACCATCAGTTTAACATTTGTAGGCTCTCTACAAATGTTGGAAAGAGAAAGAAAAAGATGTTTGAAATATATGCATACTGAACCAAATAAATATTCATGTTTGACATAAAAATAGAACGTATGTTTTGTGTAACTAATTTTTTGTTGTAACTCTCACATAAATTAAGAGCAAGCAATAATTATTAAGTGCACTTACCGTGCACTATTTTCTGAATCTGCAAAGCATTTTATATATTGGGGGGGGGGGGGACATACCCTTAGAAGTGGCACAATATATAATTCAAGCAATTCATTACATACCGTATTTTTCGCCCCATAGGACGCACCTAGTTTTTTGGGGGGGAAATAAAGGGGGGGTAATTATGCCCGAGCTTCCCCCGACCCCAGCCCCCAGAACAGTCTGCTATCCGCAAGCCTAGGGAGCCCGGCGGGAAGTCGCGCCGGTGTCCCCAGGCTTGCGGATATCTGTCCCCCGAGCCTGTGGGGCTGGCAGTGCGGAGAAGCGCGCTTCTCCCCCCCACCAGCCTCCAAACCAGGTCGGGGAACAGCGGGATGGCGGCGCTGCGCCTCCCCGCTGTCCCCCGAGCTTGTGGGGCTGCCTGATATCTGCATGAAGCCCGGGGTGCGCTGCGCAGCGCTCCCCGGGCTTCGGGCTGCAATCCGCAAGCCTTCGGAGCGTGGTGGGCACTCCCACCGCGCTCCGAAGGCTTGCGGATAGCTTCCTGAAGCCTGGAGAGCGAGAGGGGTCGGTGCGCACCGACCCCTCTCGCTCTCCAGGCTTCAGGAAAGCCTGCTTTCGCCCCATAGGACGCACACACACTTCCCCTTCATTTTTGGAGGGGGAAAAGTGCGTCCTATAGGGCGAAAAATACGGTACTTTGTATATTTAGTAAATATCTGAAAATGCCAATTCAAAAAAATGATTTAAGTTGTGTCTTCTCATGTTGTCATTTATAAACTACGTTGATTTTATTAAAACAATCCACACTGTACTGTTACCAATAGCCTTCCAGTACAGCCAGGGAAGCACAACAAGCTGCTCTACATTAACATCTAGTCACATTGGACAGTTTGCATCACCTCATGCTTCAAGAACCCCATCACCACAAAAGTGAGTTCCTGAAGCAGAGTGAAAACTTGCAGTGCAATAACACTGGTCTGCATCTGACATTACAGGGAAGAAAAGCAGGCAGTATGGGGCTGCTGTTTTCTGCTGCAGCCCAAGGCCTAATTTCAGTCTTAAGAGAATCACTGAGGCAAATACCTCAGTTGTCATCTTAGACACTTCACAGTATAGTACAGAAATCAGGCATTTGTTTGAAGGGTGTTTATTCCTCCTTTGTTTGAGACCTATCAATTATTGGGTGACAAAATAAATATATTGTCTGTTCACCCGTCTTCAGCAAGCATGATAGCAGACCACCAACATTTTACCAACCAGCCTATGCTATAGTTTATGCCACAATGCATACAAACACAGGGTTTTCAGGTGAGTAAGGCTGCCTCCTGGGTTTTGGTATTTGGAAATAAATGCATTTTGTTTTAATTAATTATATTTATAATATGCATGTATTGTTGCCTTTGTGAGCTCCATTCTCTTTTTCTTCTGCGGAGCTAATTTGGTTCTTGGTACCAGGTGTAGAAACTTCACAGTGACTTGGACGAGTCAACAGCTACCTCTCCTGGCCAATCAAGAACTGCAGTGACTTTCTTCTGTTTCAACTTTTCATCTTAAAAGACCATTTCGCACATTATACAATGGAAAATCCAGGTCATTATTTCAGGTATTTTTCTTAAGCCCATAGGCCTCTGGCTGGCCCAGCCTAAAAGCTAATGTACAAGCTTCTAAGAAAGAATTGCAGTGCTAAACATTGAAGTTTGCAGCAGTAGACAAAGTCTGTTCTAATGAAAGCTTGCTTAAAGTTTGAGACAGTGGCAGAGTTTGCACATCACACCATGACATAGATTGGTCCTCATGACTTTATAGCTCAATGGGGTGGGGAGGCCAAACAAATCTTAGTGCCAGAGCGCATGTGCCAGTACCTTCCCACTGCAGCAGTACTTATTTATCTACTTGCACAGGTATGCTTTCGAACTGCTAGGTTGGCATGAGCTGGGGCAGAGCAAAGGAGCTCACCAAGAAGCTCAATGGTTTAGACTACAGCGCCACCCACTGCCTCCAAGCAACCCATGTGTAGACCACCCCACAGTTTGGTACGTTTCCACCACTTCAAGAAAGCCAGATCCTTAATGATCCTTTAACGTTATATAAAATACAAAAATATACTTAACAGGTTAGCCATCTACTTTCCTATTCTTAAAACAGTTCTGGGTAAGGGTTGTGTCAGCACTGATCAGCACCAAAGGCAACCCCTGCTTTTGGCCAGGATAGACTGCAGTCCAGTACCCTTGATTAGGAACTCTGCCAAAGTGACCAATCCCAGGTGTTATAGCTGATGTTGCCATTTGCAACCTGCATTTTCTGCAGGGATCAGTTGTACTTTGAGGTGCCCAATCGGAACTTAAAAGGCACCCGGCTTGCCAGGAAACAATCAAATGAGCACTTTAAAGCTCCTGGTTGATGTCAGACAGCCCCCCTCCCTGTTGAACTTCCCAAATACTTAAATTTAAAAAAAAAAATCCAGGGAAGTTTTACCTGACTTCTGATTTTTATGTTCATCGAGGGTTTTTTTGGTACACCATTTAAAGACATTTGTGATTAAGCGGTTTATAAATTGATGATGACAATAGTAATTTTAATTACTCCACACAAGGTCTTGTGCATACAAGTTTGATTATATTTCTGTGCCTCTTTCCGAAGACATGAATCCCAAAGCGGCTTACAAAGAAACAACAACATAACAAAACATCACAAGAACAGCATAAATCATAATCAACGAAACATCAATAAAACAATTACAATCTATAAAACACTTAGCAAAGCAGCAACTAAGAAATAGGCTAAACATCTCAATTATAGCGTTAAGCCCTATGATATAAACATTTATAATCCATAAAACGATATGACATTTTGTATGGAGCAGGTTGGCATTTGGTGGGGGGGGGGTTGGACTTAGTGGGCCAAATTAGACCCTTGCCAGGGGAACACTGGCCCACAGACCAGAGAGTCTCCCTGCCGCTAATTTAAAGCATGGGTAGGCAAACTAAGGCCTGGGGGCCAGATCCAGCCCAATTGCTTGCTCAATCCGGCCTGCGGTCCAGGAATCAGTGTTTTTACTTGAGTAGAATGTGTCCTTTTATTTAAAATGCATCTCTGGGTTATTTGTGGGACCTGCCTGGTGTTTTTACTTGAGTAGAATGAGTGCTTTTATTTAAAATGCATCTCTGGGTTATTTGTGGGGCCTGCCTGGTGTTTTTACTTGAGTAGAATGAGTGCTTTTATTTAAAATGCATCTCTGGGTTATTTGTGGGGCCTGCCTGGTGTTTTTACTTGAGTAGAATGAGTGCTTTTATTTAAAATGCATCTCTGGGTTATTTGTGGGGCCTGCCTGGTGTTTTCACATGAGTAGAATGTGTGCTTTTATTTAAAATGCATCTCTGGGGTATAGGAATTCATTCTTCTTTTTTTCCAAAATACAGTCTGGCCCTCCACAGGGTCTGAGGGACAGTGGACCGGCCCCCTGCTGAAAAAGTTTGCTGACCCTTGATTTAAAGGATGCACATCTTTTAATCAAGTTCCACGTTTCCCCTCCTCTCCCAGCTTCTCCCCCAAAGGCCTTTTGCTTTCGGTTTCCCCAAAGTGACTCAGCAGCAGGAGCACAGTGTCTCCCACCCCGCGCGCGCGTGTGACGTCACACGCCTCTCCTCACAGACCCTCTTCCGCGATAGAGTCCGCTGAGGGGAAAGAAGGCCGCCCTTTGTTCCTGCCTCGCCCGCATTCCGAGCCCCCCGAGCCCCTCAGGGGCTTCGCCCAGAGACAGCGCTCCCCCGCCGCCGCCTGCTGCTGCTTCCCTTTCCCCTCAGGGGACACTCACCCCGGTGCCGATGGAACTCATGGCGGCGGAGAGCCGAAAGCCGAAACAACCGTTTCCTCCGCCTCCTCGCCAGCCGGCCTGCTTGCCTTTCCCCTTCGCCTCCCCAGACCCCCTCAGGCAGCCACCCGCTCGCGCTTCTCACCCACCGCTCAACAACGCGCCCGCCCGTTGGACGGGCACTCCGCGCTCCTGGCCAATGGCCTTTCACGCTGGTCTTTTGCGGCCGGAGGGCGGAGCCACGGACGCGTTGCGTGCGCGCTCGTGGAGAGACCGCCGAGTCACTGCAGGAAAGGGCGGGGCGAGCACGCTCGTCAGAAGCGGGGGAGAGAGAAACAGATGGAGCACGCACGCGTAGCTCAAGTAGACCAACAAACCTTCTGCGAAGAAATTTTACGTAGTGCCCGGCTAGCTCAGTCGGTAGAGCATGGGACTCTTAATCCCAGGGTCGTGGGTTCGAGCCCCACGTTGGGCGCAGTTGGTTTTTTCCTTTTGCGGTGGTTTGTTAGTTTATCTACAAAATAAATGCATGCAAAATAAAACCCCTACAGCAAAACGAATCGCTTATTCTCTCAAGAGTTAAAAGAAGAGTCAAACTGCTGGAATCTCTCTCACTCTCTCTCTCTCTCTCTCACACACACACACACCCCTCCCTCCCTCCCTGGGGACTGCATCTATTCGTTTCTACAGCTGGGATTCATCCATCCAAGGGTGTGTTGTAAATGTACTCAGCTCATTATACCCCGAAACCGATTGCAGAGCACCTTCATCAGTTAACGAGTTATTTCTGCACAATTTTTCAGTTTAGCCTAAAGAACGAGGGAAAGCATGCTTCGTTTTTAAATGACAGGCATTGCAATAGGTGTCCCCCCAAGAGAGCTGTTCTTGCTACTGAGAATCTCTCTGACAAAACAGAACTTGACGTCTACTCCTACTCCCAGGTAAACCTACATAAAAGAGAAGCACATGGGGTGAAAGAGATTAAGTAAAATGTGCTTTGAATCAATAACGATTTGAATTTATAGGAATTCATAGGGGAGACGGGAAAAGTAACACATATACTTCATTCACACCAAACTGTGCTATAAAGGATGGGTACTGTTCTTCAATATACCCCATTATTTGTATAATCAATGCAACCACACCAAATGGCATAAATGCTGTGTTTCTTTTAGCCCAGGCTTCCTCAAACTCGGACCTCCTGATGTTTTGAGACTACAATTCCCATGATCCCTGACCACTGGTCCTGCTAGCTAGGGATCATGGGAGTTGTAGGCCAAAAACATCTGGCGGGCCAAGTTTGAGGAAGCCTGTTTTAGCCTCTTGCTACTTGTATTTTTTGTGTCAGTTTCCCCAATAATGCAGTTTGCCAAATTCACAGGGTGAAAAAAGGTTCCCCACCCCGGTTTAACATATTTTTGTGGCTGTTTTCCATAGCTCAGAGCATATTGTGAAAATGAAATTAATGTAATACCCATTGAAACACAGACAAAAATAAAACTAACAAAAACCAAAGCTACAAAACCACAGAACTAATTGTCCATGGAGTGATCTAGTGCCCAGCCTGCCACTCTAAAAAGCTGGTCAAAGCCATAAACCAAAATATGCCTGGCAGCCCTTTAGAAAGGCAAGTAAGCAAATGGAACTATATTAATTCCTGCCTGTTGCAAATTCACTTGGCTGGACGAAGAGAAGCAGAGCTGGGAATATTTAAAGTGTGACCCCAGCACATGGGAAGGATGAGCTTGAGGCTTCCCATCAATCCCACACCATGGATGCTTCCTTTCTGTTCCTCCCTGTGGGAACTTTGCACATTCCAGTGGAAGAAAGGTAGAGTTACATTACATCATGGATTGTGATTTCCCAACACACAAACACAGAGACAAAATCTCATTCTTCCTGCAGATGCCAAGTTTCTCTGTACAGTGCATTGACAGAAGAGGGAGCTATTTTCCTTTGAAAGTGGTCAAAACAAAGCAGAAATGTGTCTTCAGGGTTAGGGACCCATTGAAAGAGATGAAACAGGAGTGGACAGGTAGGCAGAAGCAGCACATTCTTCTCACAGGGATTGGTGAGTAAACAAAAGGAGCAACCTTTGGACATGTGCTTTCTTATTAATCATCCAACGAAAAGTGTGACCACTGCAGTGGGAAAATGCAATAGTCACCTATTACACCCAAAACATGCTGTGATGAGCTCCGTATACCTGGAAGACTGGGGAGAACCAGGTTCAAATTTTCCTCTCAACCGCAAAGCTCACTGGGTAACCTTGGGCCATTCATTTTTTCTTGGCCTAACCTACTTCACATGATTCTTGTGAAGATAAAATGTGGAGAAAAGGACCAACGTGAACCACTGCAGGAAAGACCCTTGCAGGAAAGCCAGCATAGAAAGGTGTTAACTATACATTTTCACTCATTTCACCTACGTTATTTTCATAATTTGTAGAGTTGGAAGGGATGACCAGGGCCATCTACTCCAACCCACTGCAATGCAGGAATCATACATGACAGGTGCCCATCCAGTCTCTGCTTAAAAACCTCCAAGAGAGTCTACAACCTCCCGAGGGAGTCCGTTCCACTGTCAAACAGCTCTTATTGTCAGAAAGTTTTCCCATGTTTAGCTGGAATCTCCTTTCTTGTAACTTGAAGCCAATGGTTCGTGTCCTACCCTATTGAAGTAGATGACAGAACTTTATAAAACCATGTGTGGTATGGAGAAAGTGGATAAGAAAGATTTTCTTCCTGCTTCATATGTTAGAGCTCAGGGTCATCCATCCTGGGAGTGACGAGGTGGGGGTTATTGTTTTTGTTGGATACTACATTGTGTATTTTTGTGTTTTTATATTTTAAACTTCCCTGCGAACTTTGGATAACAGGCAATATAGAAATTAAATAAATCAATATCCGATGGAGCTGAAGGGTGGGAGGTTCAGGAAAGACAAAAAGGAAATAAATTATCTGACAAGGGTGCAGTTAAAACTATGGCATTTGCAGCCACAAGGATAAAGTTATCAGAATCAGCATGACTCTGAATACCAGTAGCTTCCCAGAGGCAACTACAGCAGTTGCCCGCTGTGGGAACAGGGTGCTGGACCAGGTAGGCATTTGGTCTGATCCATCAGTGCTCTCATGTTCTTATCATTGTATGTAATTCATTTATCAATCTTAAAGCATACTGGTGTGTAGAGTATGTGTGTGTGTGTGCTTTTAAGAATTATGTTTGTTTCATTCAATTTTCATTACTCTTTGCCAGCTGCCTCAAACCTCTTTGGAGAAATAGGTTAGGATAGAATTTTTATATATAAAAAATTGTGGGGTGGGAGGGGGTAGCTGTTGTACACAGAATCATAGAACTGTAGAGTTGGAATGGACCCCAAGAGTCATCTAGTCAAACCCTCTGCAATGCAGGAATCTTTGGCCCAACAACTCTCATGTCTGAACCATCTCTTGGTCCCACATCACCGGAACTGATTTTACTGGGAAACATGGCATTTGAGGAGGCGACATGAAAGTGTTCTATCTATTCTCTGGACCACATCAACGAGGCCAAGTGGTGGCGGGGAGGGTCTTGTCATCTGGGCAGCCCAGGACCTCCATATGCACTGCCCAGGGTTGCACCCTGGGGAGGCCACTCTGCAGTTTGACTTTATCCCCCGAGATGGAATCCATTGTCTCTCAGGGACAGATGGATGCCAACAATAAAGGCACAGCAGCCACATGTGCTAGTCACCTCTTAGAATCATCGAACTGTAGAGTTGGAAGGGATCCCAAGCGTCATCTAGTGTGGCGCTGATAACACCAAGGTTGCAGGTTCGATTCCCCTGTATGGGACAATGGCATATTCCTGCATTGCAGGGGGCTGGACTAGATGGTCCTCAGGACCCCCTCCAACTCTACAGTTCTATGACAGGTGGCCAATCCAACCTCCAGTCATAGGACACTGCCTTATCCTGAGACAGACTCAGGGCACAGGAGGCCAGATGAAGCCACCGTCTCAGGAGGCAGATTCCACAGGGGCAGCAGATCCCAGATGCGGATCTCTATCCCCCTCACTCACCCTTTCTTCCCTGGTGGGAAGGCGGGGCACCATTTTGTGGCTTGCCCTGGGGGCGGTTGGCCAAATCATTTGGCCCGTGTACCTCAGTGCTGCCTACACGGAGGGGCAGCAGCATCTCTCCCGGGCTCCAGCCACCCAGGGACGGAAGATGCACGTGGGAACCAGCCCCGGGCGACCCGACCTCATCCACGGAGGCTGGATCCAGCAGAAAGAGGCGGGCAGCGGGGGGGGGGGAGGCGGCGCGCTCTGCACGTCCTCAGAGGCACTCTTTCCCTTACGCTGCGAAACAGGCGCCCCTGAGGATGTGCAGAGCGCCGTGAGGGCAACCCGAAACCATGAGGGACTCCGGGGGTCCAAGTGCCGCCTCCATCCACCTCCCAGAGAAACTCGGGCGAGGTTGGATCCAGCGAAAAGAGGCGGCGGCGAGGCGAGCAGCTGGGGAGGGGGAGCGAGGAAGCGGCGCGCTCTGCACGTCCTCAGAGGCACTCTTTCCCTTACGCTGCGAAACAGGCACCCCTGAGGATGTGCAGAGCGCCGTGAGGCGCGGGGCGGCGGCAACCCGAAACCATGAGGGACTACGGGGGCCAAAGTGCCGCCGCCGCCGCCCCTTTAACGGGCGGGGAGGCGGTGGGCGTCTGCCTGCCTGGATGAAAGGCCGGGCCGACGCCGCGGACGTGCCGGTGCCGCCTCTCCCGCCCTCTCCGCCCCGAAGGCCCGTCGCCGTGTGAGGAGGAGCCGTCGCCGCCTGCTCACGGCTGCCGCCGCCGCTCCGCCTCCTCCTCCTGCTGCCGCTGCCGCCGCCGCCGCTGCCCTTCCTCCTTCCCTCGCTTCCCCTTTCCTGACAAGCCGCCGGCCGGGCTCCTGCTTCCCCCTCAGGTACGTCGCGCTCCGGCTTCTTCCTCCTCGTCGTCGTTCTCCTCCGCCGCCGCCGCCTCTCCTCTCCCTCGGCCCGCGAGGCCGGCGCCTTAGTCAGCAGCCGGGCCCGCCCGGGTGCCTCGGCCTCGGCCCGCTAGGCCGGCGGGCCCTGCGGGGCTCCGTGAGGGGAAAGAGCGGCGGGTTGGCGGGGTCTCCCGGCCGCGCGGATCAGGGGTCGCCTCGTGGAAGAGGAAGGGGG